ATGACCCTGGTTGTTGTGCATCCCTAGGCACCATCCTCAAATGCCCCAGGCTGTTGGTTTCCTAGGTACCGTCCTCATATGACCCTGGCTGTTGTCTCTCTAGGCACCATCCTCATATTACCCTGGTTGTTGTGTGTCCCTAGGTACCGTCCTCATATTACCCTGTCTGCTGTCTCTCTAGGCTCCGTCCTCATATGACCCTGGCCTTTTTCTCCCTACTTACCTTCCTGGTATTTACCTTGCTGTTGTCTCTCAAGGCACCGTCCTGATATGACCCTGGCTGTTGTCTCGCTAGGCACCGTTTTACTATGACCCTGGTTGTTGTGTATCGCTAGGCAATGTTCTCATTAGACCCTGGTTGTTGTGTATCCCTAGGCACCATCCTCATATTTCCCTGTCTGCTGTCTGCCTAGGTACCGTTTTCAAATGATCCTGGCTGTTGTCTCCCTAGTCACCGTCCTCATATTACCCTGGTAGTTGTCTCGCTAGGCACCGTTCTCAGATGACCCTGGTTGTTGTTTTCCTAGGTACCGTCCTCATATGACCCTGGCTGTTGTCTCCCTACTTACCTTCCTAGTATGACCCTGGCTACTGTCTCTCTAGGCACCGTCCTCATATGACCCTGGCTTTTTTCTCCCTAGGCACCGTCCTCACATCACCCTAGCTGTTGTCTCCCTACTTACCTTCCTCGTATTTACCTTGCTGCTGTCTTTCTAGACACCGTCCTCATATTACCCTGCTTGTTGTCTCTCTAGGCATCGTCGTCATATGACCCTGGCTGTTGTCTCCCTACTTACATTCCTCGTATGACCCTGGCTACTGTCTCTCTAGGCACCGTCCTCATATGACCCTGGTTGTTGTGAATCCCTAGGGACCGTCCTCATATGACCCTGGCTGTTGTCTCGCTATGCACCGTTCTCATATGACCCTGGTTGTTGTGTCTCCCTAGGTTCCGTCCTGATATTACCCTGTCTGTTTTATCGCTAGGCACCGTTCTCATATAAACCTGGCTGTTGTCTCTCTAGGAACCGTCCTCATATTACCCTGCTTGTTGTCTCTCTAGGCATCGTCGTCATATGACCCTGGCTGTTGCCTCCCTAGTCACCGTCCTCATATTACCCTGGTAGTTGTCTCGCTAGGCACTGTTCTCATATGACCCTGGTTGTTGTGTCTCCCTAGGTTCCGTCCTGATATTACCCTGTCTGTTTTATCGCTAGGCACCGTTCTCATATAAACCTGGCTGTTGTCTCTCTAGGAACCGTCCTCATATTACCCTGCTTGTTGTCTCTCTAGGCACCGTCGTCATATGACCCTGGTTGTTGTGAATCCCTAGGTACCGTCCTCATATGACCCTGGCTGTTGTCTCCCTACTTACCTTCCTCGTATGACCCTGGCTACTGTCTCTCTAGGCACCGTCCTCATATGACCCTGGCTGTTGTCTCGCTAGGCACCGTCCTAATATGACCCTGGTTGTTGTGTATCGCTAGGCACCGTCCCCATAAGACTCGGTTGATGTGTATCCTTAGGCACCATCCTCAAATGACCCAGGCTGTTGTTTTCCTAGGTACCGTCCTCATATGACCCTGGCTGTTGTCTCTCTAGGCACCGTCCTCATATTACCCTGGTTGTTGTGTGTCCCTAGGTACCGTTCTCATATTACCCTGTCTGCTGTCTCTCTAGGCACCGTCCTTATATGACCCTGACTGTTGTCTCGCTAGGCACCGTCCTCATATCACCCTGGCTGTTGTCTCCCTCCTTACCTTCCTCATATGACCCTGGCTGTTGTCTCTCTAGGCACCGTCCTCATATTACCGTGGTTGTTGTGTGTCCCTAGGTACCGTCTTCATATTACCCTGTCTGCTGTCTGCCTAGGTACCGTCCTCAAATGACCCTGGCTGTTGTCTCCCTAGTCACCTTCCTCATATTACCCTGACTGTTGTCTCCCTAGGCACAGTCCTCATATGACCCTGGCTGTTGTCTCCCTAGTCCCCTTCCTCATATTCCCCTGCCTGTTGTCTCCCTAGGCACAGTCCTCAGATGACCCTGGCTGTTGTGTCCTTAGTCACCGTCTTCATATGACCCTGGCTATTGTCTCGCTAGGAACCGTCCTTATATGACCCTGGCTATTGTCTCGCTAGGAATCGTCCTCATATGACCCTGGCTTTTGTCTCGCTAGGAACCGTCCTCATATGACCCTGGCTGTTGTGTATCCCTACGTACCGTCCTCATATGACCCTGGCTGTTGTCTCCCTAGGCAACGTCCTCATATGACCCTGGCATTTGCCTCCCCAGGCACCGTCCTCATATAACCCTTGCTGTTGCCTCCCTAGGCACAGTCCTCCTATGACCCTGGCTGTTGTCTCCCTAGGCACCATTCTTAATTGACCCTGGCTGTTGTCTCTCTATGCACTGTCCTCATATGACCCTTGCTGTTGTCTTCCTAGCCACCATCCTCATATGACCCTGTCTATTGTCTCGCTAGGAACGGTCCTCATATGACCCTGGTTGTAGTGTATCCCTAGGTACCGTCCTGATATGACCCTGGCTGTTGTCTCCCTAGGAACCGTCCTCATATGACACTGGCTGCTGTCTCCCTAGTCACCGTCCTCATATGACCATGGCTGTTGTCTCCCTAGCCTCCGTCCTCATATGACCCTGGCTGTTGTCTCTCTAGGCACCGTCGTCATATGACCCTGGTTGTTGTGAATCCCTAGGTACCGTCCTCATATGAACTTGGCTGTTGTCTCTCTAGGCACTGTCCTCATATGACCCTGGCTGTTGTCTCCCTATTTACCTTCCTCGTATGAACCTGGCTGTTGTCTCTCTAGGCACCGTCCTCATATGACCCTGGCTGTTGTCTCTCTAGGCACCGTCGTCATATGACCCTGGTTGTTGTGAATCCCTAGGTACCGTCCTCATATGAACCTGGCTGTTGTCTCTCTAGGCACTGTCCTCATATGACCCTGGCTGTTGTCTCCCTATTTACCTTCCTAGTATGAACCTGGCTGTTGTCTCTCTAGGCACCGTCCTCATATGACCCTGGCTGTTGTCTCGCTAGGCACCGTCCTCATATCACCCTGGCTGTTGTCTCCCTACTTACCTTCCTCATATGACCCTGGCTGTTGTCTCTCTAGGCACCGTCCTCAAATCACCCTGGTTGTTGTGTGTCCCTAGGTACCGTCTTCATATTACCCTGTCAGCTGTCTGCCTAGTTACCGTCCTCAAATGACCCTGGTTGTTGTCTCCCTAGTTACCGTCCTCATATTTCCCTGACTGTTGTCTCCCTAGACACAGTCCTCATATGACCCTGGCTGTTGTCTCCTTAGTCACCGTCCTCATATGACCGTGTCTGCTGTCTGCCTAGGTACTGTCCTCATATGACCCTGGCCTTTGCCTCCCCATGCACCGTCCTCATATAACCCTGGCTGTTGTCTCCCTAGGCACAGTCCTCATATGACCCTGGCTGTTGTGTCCTTAGTCACCGTCCTCATATGACCCTGGCTATTGTCTCGCTAGGAACCGTCCTTATATGACCCTGGCTATTGACTCGCTAAGAACCGTCCTTATATGACCCTGGCTATTGTCTCGCTAGGAACCGTCCTCATATGACCCTGGCTATTGTCTTGCTAGGCACCGTCCTCTTATGACCCTGGTTGTTGTGTATCCCTAGGTACCGTCCTCATATGACCCTGGCTGTTGTCTCCCTAGGCAACGTCCTCATATGACCCTGGCTGTTTCCTCCCTAGGCACCGTCCTCATATAACCCTGGCTGTTGCCTCCCCAGGCACAGTTCTCATATGACCCTGGCTTTTGTCTCCCTAGGCAACGTCCTCATATGACCCTGGCATTTGCCTCCTCAGGCACCGTCCTCATATAACCCTGGCTGTTGCCTCCCTAGGCACAGTCCTCATATGACCCTGGCTGTTGTCTCCCTAGGCACCATTCTTAATTGACCGTGGCTGTTGTCACTCTATGCACTGTTCTCATATGACCCTTGCTGTTGTCTTTCTAGCCACCATCCTCATATGACCCTGTCTATTGTCTCCCTAGGAACGGTCCTCATATGACCCTGGTTGTTTTGTATCCCTAGGTACCGTCCTCATATGACCCTGGCTTTTGTCTCCCTATGAACCGTCCTCATATGACACTGGCTGCTGTCTCCCTAGTCACCATCCTCATATGAACAAGGCTGTTGTCTCCATAGCCACCGTCCTCATATGACCCTGGCTGTTGTCTCTCTAGTCACCGTCCTCATATGACCCTGTCTATTGTCTCGCTAGGAACCGTCCTCATATCACCCTGGTTGTTGTGTATCCCTAGGTACCGTCCTCATATGACCCTGGCTGTTGTCTCCCTAGGAACCGTCCTCATATGACACTGGCTGCTGTCTCCCTTGTCACCGTCCTCATATGACCCTGGCTGTTGTCTCACTATCCACCGTCCTCATATGACCCTGGCTGTTGTCTCCCTAGTCACCGTCCTCATATTACCCTGGTAGTTGTCTCGCTAGGCACCGTTCTCATATTACCCTGGTTGTTGTGTCTCCCTAGGTACCGTCCTCATATTACCCTGTCTGTTTTATCGCTAGGCACCGTTCTCATATATAACCCTGGCTGTTGTCTATCTAGGCACCGTCCTCATATTACCCTGGTTGTTGTGTCTCCCTAGGCACCGTCCTAATATGACACTGGCTGATGTCTCCCTAGTCACGGTCCTCATATGACCCTGGTTGTTGTGTCTCCCTATCCACCGTCCTCATATGACCCTGGTTGTTGTGTCTCCCTAGGTATCGTCCTCATATGACCCTGGCTGTTGTCTCCCTATGTACAGTCCTCATATTACCCCGGTGTAAACAATCTTAATATTAAGTTTATAAGTATATACATCCATCCTGGGCATAGCTGTCAATATATAAATACAATACTGATATAAATGCAATTCTTTTATTAATGTTAATTTGGAGATAAACAGTAAAGAGATTTTCTAATATTCAGAGGGATGAACTAATCAAGAGGTATGCCAAGCTACTGCTGTCCCAGACAGAACAACGTGACAAAGAAACGGACGACTACAGCCTGAGTAAAGCAATAACTCTTCTAACTATAATATCTAAAACACTTGAACAGGATCATTCATGTTTAACGCCGCATCAATACAAAGTCCTGATAGACGGTATGACACCTCCTTTAAACGTTGAAGGACAAAAGAAGTTTTGCTCTCAGTTCCAACGCTTACTTCAACAGTCGATAAGCAGGTATGTTATTTCCAACTTATAATATTGAAATAATCACCAAGTTGTTCAAATTATAATATTAAGGATACTATATCATTATTACGGGACGTATATAAGAATTACCCTGTCCGTCCGTCTGTTCATAATCGTTGTAAGCGCAACTTCTCTAAAGCCGTGTGTTTGATATTTTGTAACTTAACATAGTGCAAGTGCATCATTTGTTAATGTACACGAAGAAAGGAATTTGCAATTCAACTCTTATGTCCTAGAGTTATGGCCATTGAAACTTTGAATATCTGTTCTAGAAACCTTGCAACTTCACTATTAGTCTCTTTGTATTTTCCCCCTTTTTTTTGGTGTGGGTGTGGGGTGGGGGTGTTTTGTGTGTGTGTGTGTGTGTGTTGTTACTTTGCACAGTTGAACAACATCATAAGTAGCTGTGCATGAAGATAGATATTTGTAATTATAATTTCCCCCTGGAGTAATGGCCCCTAATTTCTGCTCAAGGGAAATTGTAAGTGAAAGCAGGGGATATATACATGTGAGCTCGGTGATCTTACAGTACACTGACAAGAAGTAGTTATATTAATTGAAAAATAGAATTTGAAAACATTGAGAGATATGAAAGAGTTTTATCTAGAAAAACACAAATTTCTTAAAATAATCGAGTCCATGAACAAACCGTTTGACAAGAATATTACCGTCTCGAAATGATTTTTCATGTTGTAGAATGGAATCACTTTTAAAAAGTTACCTTTCTCAAGCAGTAGTGAAGTGTCCTTTCGATTCGTTACATTAAAGACAGCTGCCTGGTCAAATTCAGAATTTTATTGGAGAAATTAGGCGTTTAAATTTTTATATGACGTAGAACGCCATGATGCATTATATACATGGTTAGTAAGTTAAATAAGTTTTATTTTAATCTGAATTGTAAATCGATCTATAAAAGTATAAAATGTTTTAATACATAGTGAAAGATGAGACGACAGATGAGCGGGATTGTTATATTTTGTTTATTTTGTTTTCACTATAGTTAACATAAAATTATATATTGGCTTTCTGTCATATTTTTTAAAATTTGTACTTATTTACTACAGATACACAGTATAAGTAGCAATGACCTATGCACATGAACTTTTGGTCAAAGTCCACTCTTACTGTACATATAATCTGCTGTCTGTGACTATGCTTTGTTTAATGAGAAAATAACTGTATGTGTGTTGGATGCATGATTCTGACTTGCTTGTGTATTGTTTGTGTAATGTCCTATGAATTCATCCCCATTGTGTTTATCGTGGAGTTATATCTCCCCTGATCCCTTAATTAGTATAACTCTATATACTTGTATATATATATAATTTTTCATTTTAAAGTATTCTGTAATTATTAAATCATTATTGTAACTACATTGTCGATATATTTGATCAAATTTAAAGCCTCTTATGGAAACAATTTATATAGGCTTGCCTGTTATTCAATCAATTTGACCAGAACATCTGTCAATACAATTTGTTGAAATGAAAAAAAGCAACAGACAAATAATAAAAAAGTACTTACACGTCTGAAAAACATCTGCTCGATTACATTATCCAATATTTAGTAAATGCATTACAAATAATATATATAAGTTCATTGATATAATAAATATTAAAACCGGACTTTGTTTTATATGTGGTGGCGAGGGCCATATTGCTCGAGACAATGCAGATGGAAGCAAGATTGGATCAAAATAAATCAGGAATAGTCAGCTTAAGGACACCAAGGAAGCAGCACTCTGCAAGTCTGTAAAGACAAACAAAGATTACATATAGAGCAGATAACGGACAAAAAACTCCTATGTATATTGCTTGATGGAACAGATCGGACGTAAAGATTGAAGAGGATACACCTTTCTACATTGGATAATTGGAAGCGATGCAAATGAAGGACCCGATATATGACCTTGTGATTAGGAATATATTTTACTGCTGATCCTGATTGGAGACTACGCTCTGATGGAACTCAGTTGTCTGGAGTTAAGACTAGATCTGTATCGAAGAGAGAGAGAAGCAACATATGCAGCCATTAAACGAATATGTGGAGAGAGTTGAACTTATTGGACTAGAAGGACTGAAGAAAGCCGAGAAGGAAGATAAACCAAGGGAGGTAACGAAGGAGACAAGAGATACAGAATGGAAATGAATAACAATCTTTTTGTATCGTGTTTATACACAGAAAACCGGTAACGTATCTGGGGAAATAAGACAGATTGCCGTACCAGATACATACATGAAACAAGCTATGGCGCTAGCGCACGAATCAATTGTTGGGGGGCACTTAAGAATACAAAAGACAATTGATAGGATGTCAACGATTTTCTGCTGCCCTGGAATTATAAGTGATTTGACTAGACACTGTAGATCATGCGACATATGCAAAAAGATAATACCAAAGGGAGAGTCACAAAAGTACCTCTGGGGGAGATGCCTTTGATTGAAGAGCCATCCAAAGAGTGTAGAAACCACTATTTACTGGCAGTAGTACTCTGAAGATGTTGCTTTACCAAAGATTGAAACAGAGAGAATAGCTGAAGCGCTACTGGAAACATTTTGCAGAGTTCGATTCCCAAAGGAGTATTAAGTGACAGGGGAACCTAATTTACATCAGCACTAATGGAGGAGGTGTGTAGATTGGTGTCGGTCGAGCAACTGTTCACGACGCCTTACAACCCGAAATGTTACGGCTGGTATGAGAGGAGGTATGGTGTTCTCAAGAGCATGTCAAAGGAAAATGTGCCAAGAACGTCACAGGATTGGGACAGATACATAACAGCAATATTAATATTTGCATACCTGCAAGTACCGGATTCTCACCATTTGAGTATTTGTATGAGAGACCAGTACGTGGGCCCATGCAGGCGATAAGGAAATTTGGACAAAGCGGACGAGACTTCACAAATTAGGAACACTTATCAGTACGTTCCCGATATAAGGAACAGGTTGGACGAATTTTCCTAAACATTTTCTTCAGGTTGGTAGATGCCACTAACAACATCAAATTTGCATGTGAGGAAGAGACCAACGGTACAATGTCCTTCTTGGACACTCTACTGGAACAGAAAGAAGACGTAACCGTGAAGGTATTGGTCTATTGAAAAAAGACCCATACGGACCAATACCTGAACTTCAAATCTCGCCATCCTTTGCCCAATAAGTTTGGCGTCGTACGCACATTGCTAAACATATGTGATACAATAGCCACAGAACAGGACAAAACACAAGAGTAGAATCACATCGCAAGGGCAATGATAACATGTGCATATCCGGAATGAGCCCTAAAACAGGTACAAAAACAGTGTTAAAGTAAGGAGAAGAACAAGAAAAGGCCAATCAAGAATAAGAACAAAATCAAAGGTCAAGTGGTCATCCCGTATATAAAAGGTATATCCGAAACCATTCAGAGGATTTATCGCGGTCATGGCATAGCAACCGCCGTGAAGCCCCACAAGATGCTTCGTAATATCCTAATACATTCTTAGGATAAAACAACTAAAGAAAACGAAGCAGAATGCGTATACAAAATCGGACACAAAAACTGCGACACATCGTATATTGGATAGACTTGAAGGCGATTAGGGGTCCGCGTTGGTGAACCCGGGAAAGATACGGAAACCCAGGAAGGTACGAAATTCAAAAGATCAAAATGGAAGCAGTCGGAGTCCCAGATAAATAAATCGGCAATCACAGACCATGTCACACAGAAAAAATCATGTGATTGATTGGGATAACTCCAAAGTATTGAGCAGAGAGAGTACTCTGTTCAAGCGGCAGATAAAGGAAGCCATATAGATACGCCGCAGTGTGCTAGTTCTAAAGCGAGATGAGGGGCTCATAGACTCTTGCAAATCTATGACCAAGTATTAAGCAAAGTGTAGCTGAATGGAGTCATTTCGTAAAATAAGTTACAACTATTGTACATACGCTTACATCGTAGCCGAATCGACATTGATTTTGTGGACAACTCGTACACGTTTTACACCTTTATGTGCATACGCTTCACTGGTCATTTGTCTGATGAAGGTGACAGTGAACAAACCATACTAGTCATCGAAACGTCACATAGACACTCTTATTGGTTGTGCATAAAGAACTTTTCGTATTTAGGTAGGAGGAAACCTACAAGATAGCTAGAGATAGTCTTCATGAATCACAAAGTGTGTACAAACATCACTATGATAAGAAAACAAGGAATCGACAGCTCGAAGCTCGGTAAAAGGGTTCTTGTCCTACTACCAACACACTTTTGCTACAACTGAAAGGACTATTTGAGGTGGTTGAAGTTGTTAATCACAGGGATTATAAAGTGAATGTCGGTGGGAAAGTCAAATTATGTCGAACGAGGAGACGACACAAAACATAAATTACAACAACTTAAAGCAAACCAGCAATTGAAACAATAGCTAGAATAGCAGTCATCATAGAAGAAGGTGTAGATGAGACAGGAGCGGTGGATGAGAACACTTGTTCGAGTTAAGGCATGTGTCAGAGAATGACCTTCGTAAACGTACAGATCAGCGATGATTTGACAAAGGACCAACAGTCTCAGATAAAGGCCCTATTAGAGAAACTTCGTGACAATTTTACGGATGTCACAGGAACACCACAACTACAAACCCACTGTATTGAAACAACTACAAAGGATCCTATCCGGGTGAAACTTTACCCCATTCCATATGCCAAAAGAAAAGAAGAACAGGTGGAAGTTAAGAAAATGGTGGACATGGGGATAGTAGAACCATCAAAATCCTCATACAATGCTCCAATTGTCATGGTGAAGAAAAAGGATCAGAGCAATAGGGTATGCATTGACCTTTGAAAGTTAAATTATGTAACTAACTTTGACTCTGAGCCAATGGGAGACTTCAAAGATATCCGAACAAAGCTTGACAAGAACAACTATTTCTTGAAACTTCACCTAGCAAGGGGTATTGGCAAATACCAGTCGAGGAGAAATCACGACACATGACAGCCTTTTCCATACCAGAAGGATGTTATCAATTTTGGAAACTTCCGTTCCGTCTTAATAACTCCGGGGCCACATTCAACAGAATGACGAGGAAGATGTTGGGTGGTATTAAAAACATCGACCACTATGTGGGTGATAAACGTGGTCACAATAGGACATGGAATGAACACATGGATGACAACAGAGATTTATTTACGAGGATAATGGATGGTAATATAACGGTTTGACCACCTAAATGTATGATAGCATACAGAACACTAGGATTGTTGGACACATACTTGGTGAGGGCACCATTAAGATGGATGCTAACAAAAGTTAGAGATGCCTACCATCCCAAGACGAAATGACAAGTGCGAGTTATTATCGTAAGTTTGTACCAAACTTTGCGGATGTTGCGAAACCACTTACAGACCTCACTAAAAAGGACGACCGAGGTTTATTTCAAGTTTATATCCAGTCGCAAACGCCAGTAAGAAACTGTTGGACAGAGAAATGATCTATTCAGTTATTGAACGAGAATGCTTAGCTATTATGTTTGCTATCAGTAAATGCCAAATGTAACTGTATGGACATGGATTTAGCTTGTACACTGACCACAGGCCATTGTTATTTATTCAGAATAGCAAGATAGAAAGTAGTAGAATTATGCGGTGTGCACTATTCTAACAGAACTACAATTGTTGCATTAAAGCTATCAAGGGAGGGGAATGTAGCTGCAGACTATCTCAGCAGACAGTAGTAGTTCGAAAGATTGTCAATCTAGGTTGAGGTAATGTACACTATGGTAAAAGTACCAAATATGAAAATATTGATTTTGAGATTTTTTCTATGTTTTGAACATGTTTGATAATATTTTCTTAAGTGGGTGTTTGCTAGAATAAATGTATCCACTATTTGTTGTATGTGTTAATTTTGAAAGTGTTAGTGTTGTAATTACTGTGTATAGACTGATTGACAGTTTGGATGGACAGCACGGCGCGGGAAGGAGGAAACGATTGGCTAGGATGTGGTTGGCGCGATAAAACAGAAAGTGAACGTTGTCCGGGAAGAACATCATACGATCGTGGTAATCTCATATGGAGTCAAAAGTGAACTGACTGTTGGCTGGGATTCGCTTGGAAATTCCTCCTTTTGGGGTATTATACATGTGTCATCGCGTACGCGTGTGTCAGTGACATTTGGTGAGGCAACATCGTGCTGTCCCTAACATCGTGTTCTACGATAAATGGTTGTTTTTAAAACGATGTATTGTTATTATATATAAATGTTTAACTTGTTTCAACGCCTCTGTTATATTTCACAGCTCCCACAAACAAAAATTTTAATAATACCCAACGAAAGATCCCTTACAAACAAATCCAAAGATTTGTACTTTGAGAGATTTAGTTTTTTTAGGTTTTAATTATATATGTCATTTTATATTATATTCTTCTCTTTAGACATCCATGTTCTAATTTATTTTGAAAGGCAAACGGCTTTTTAGGGGGGAGTCGGAGGGGGGAGGCAGAGTCCCAACAAGGTTACAGTTTTCAATCCAGTGATGTTTAACGCTTTATGTAAGCAACGCTTATCATTGTATTGTACCAATAGGCATCCCGTTTACCTGATGAGACTTAGGGAAATATAATCTGTCTATATTTCAGGGATAAACTGAGACAAACAGTGACCAGATTTTGCGAAACATCAATGGAGGTGTTACCGGTCAGAGAAGCTTATTGGCTGTTTTGTATACCATTGATACATTTGCTCTCTGGCCAAATGCCGTTTGAAGTTACCAGGTTTAGTTTGGAAGAGAAGCCTCGTTTTGAAGATAAAGGTTTAGATGATATCGTCAATAAGACGGCACAGCAACTCGGGAGTATAAGGTAATATAATGTTCATGTTAGAAAGCTACATGTTTCCATATATGACGGGAAGCGTATGCATCCTTACCACTAATTGTATTTATAGACAGTTTTAGACTCCCTATCTTCAGGATTGCCTTTCGGTAATTCAGGATAGTTTAAAAAAAAAAAATGATTTTTTAAAAAGTAGTTTTGACCTTGACAATTGATACTGTCGATATTGGTGTTGTAATATGTAATGATTATGATAATTATGTTATCCATTTATTTTTTATCCAGCCATTTCCCTTTCTTGGAAAATCACCTATGCTTTTTTAAGTTGGATACACTTCTACCAAGTACTCTAACGGCTTGTGTACCGGCAGGAAAATTGATGATTTTCTTCAAGGAAAGACTTTGGGTGTCACGTGATGTGGTCATCGCCGCAATTATGAGGCACCTTTGCAAGAATACTAAGGTCGACGCAACATTTGAAAATGTGAGTTTTAGACTTTAATGAATTAATTTGACTTTACAGTGTTTATTGACGCAGTAAAGATTTTAACTTAGTACGTTAATTGTCAGGGTGAAGTTAATCACTTGAGTAAAATAGCATGATGGTGTTACGCAGTCGGAAGGATATTAAAGTCAAACGGTGTTCTATATATTAAAAATGAGTATTTGGACCTGGAATCTTTTAAATCATGTACTACCTAAACATTTAAGAATAAGATGTTGTTTATAAAGGCAAAAATGTAAAACAAATCTTAAAATAAGGCAAATATAGGTTAGGCGTTATTTCGAATTGATATATCAAAAATCTTAGGTAGTCGAAATGGGAATTATTTTGTCAAGATTTTCGAGTTTGTCGGACAGGAAACAAAGACGTTAATGGCATAGCCCGATCATCCTTTTTAGTCGAACTGATGCAGCGTTATGAGATAAAAGGATACTTGCTATTTATGTAATACTCTGCATGATATGTTCTAAATAGGGTTTGATATAGGTCTGAACCTCTTATTACCCCTATACTTACTATCATTTGTCATATTTTGCAGGACCTGTGTCATCTCTTGACTCATATGGCAAAAGATATGTCGAAGGAAAACACCACTTTGCCTGTTAGGTATGATTTTGCTTTTTACAATGCAATGTTAGAATGTTAAGGATATACGGTAATTACATATGAGCATCTACGTCTTAAAACTCGTCTTATTTTGTGGCCAAAAAGTATCTGTAATATCTAAAGGAAAACTAGTTTGATTTAGGATTTTCGGTGGAGGTATATTAGATTTAGAAAATATTTCGGCAATATGTTTTGTACCTTGTGAATATACAACCAACTTAATCTACATATATAAAGTTTATGTAATTACATTTTTTATCCATCAGGACCATTTGTTCTTACCCAATTCATAAACTTTGACACTGAAATATCAATGGGAAATTGTTTAAAAACCTACTTCCTTTTTGTATGTAAAAGATCTAATTGAAGTAATCTAATTAAATGGGACTAACATTCTACTCTTTCTTGAAACATGGCTCTGCACAATATTTTCTAATTTTCATTGCCAATATGTCAATTGTAAAACAAAACAAAATGCTTTCTAGATGAAATAATGACCAAGATAGCTTAGCTAAAAGTTGATATATGTAGCAGAAATGACGGAAAACTTTAAGCTAAATATATTTTATTTGAGGTTAAATCGCCCTCGCTTCTGGTCCGTCTCACGAAGTAGTTTACAGAGTTTTATTCAATCGCATATTTTGGTTTCGTTATGAAACTGATAACAAATTGAGGTAACTCTCAGGCAGCCTTTTACTATTGAAAAACAAAATCAATGCAATATATAGAAGAATAAAGAACATATCTTGCGATTGCGGATACCACGATCCATCTAGGATCTGTTGTTAGATTTTTTATTTCAAATCAGCAAAATATCACCAATTTAGGCAATGACAGATGATATTTTTTGCAATCTTTGAGTGAACTATCTGTATATTTTAATGGGAAACTCGGTGGTCAGGTTATGAAGTGGTATCATACTAGCCTTTCAAATACACGGCGTTGACTCCCAAATCGAACGTAAAACAGAATAGAGTCACCTGCCCGACCATGTGGATTTTCTCCGAGTACTCCGTTTTCCTCCCACATTAACACTCCGTGCGATTTTATCCGGGGTAACAGAAGTGATTATTATAAATCGAAAAAAGTGTTGTAAAACACATAAAGTTCATATAACACCTACCCAACCTTACCTCAAAGAAACAAATCAGTACAGGAGATCGAAAAGAAGCAAAATAAAAAAATTAAAATAAAAATAATGTGAAGTGTATATGTATGCACTATAAAGAGACTAAAATTGGCTTATTTAGACGTACGGATATTTTTGTTCGATCGAGAGGTATACTCTATGTTGACAGTCTTCTTTTACAATTCAGACATACCTACAATTGTATCATCAATATCGTCTTTTTCACGATAATTGTACGTCGTGACCCAACTATGTCTTATTTATCAAATTAAAATTGTGAATAATTAAAAAAACTATTTTCTTTGATTTTATCTGACAGCAATATCTCATCAGATGATGAACTAGCAGAAAAATACACCACTGCTAGACAAACGCGTCGAGCAGCTGAACAGCTGTGTGATATTCTGAACCAGCAGGAGCATCCCATCGGAACGCTCATTGATTCACTACGTTTGTTTGTCGTAGCTGTAAGAGAGCAAGGACGATTAATTCCCTTATTAAAGAATACAAAGGGTGACGCATATAAGATGACGGAGTTAGACGAACCTTTTTCTAAGATAATGCTTGTGACTGAACAGTTGTTTACACGATGTGAGGGGAACATTGAAATACTTGCTAAGGTAACGATTACTGCGAAAAATGACCCCATAGGAAGAACTTATGAAATCATGTATATTCAATATATCAATATGCACCTTTACTGCAGTGTTCGCTCTTTCATTTATTTTCTATATAGACTTCAAAAAGGAGATACAATACATTCATAATTTTTGTTAGTTTACTATTTGACAATATTTCGATAAATTAACTATATATCCTCGTTTATATTGACTTTCGCGTCCATTGAAACAGCCTCTTTCATAGCAGAGCCAATCGTGTGCTTGAACGGTCAACACACGTTTGTTTTCGATCGTAAGCAGATGAACAGACGATTCTGAATGAGTAGATAAAGCACTCGATAGCTTTTCATAAATTACGTAAATTACGTTGGGAAATTGCTTCATAAAATGACTATGTTATGTATAGGTACAATGATACCTTGAATGTATGCATAGTATTTAGTGATATTACGAATTTCTTAGCGCCCTCAATCAAACATATGAAGGTAACATATCTGGACCTGGAGAATCAAAAATTATCTGTATCCCTCAAGTCTATAATGTAGTGTATGCTGTTGTTTACTAAGACACTCGAATATTACGAAGACGACATTTGGTTTCAAACTAACACATTTGAATGATATTTTCTACTAAACACACATTGGTAAACTATATTTTCTTACGCATACATTTTCTTCAGAATAACTTATCGTTTAGATAATTCTTTTGATAGTATTTACGTTGATGTGGTTGCATTCAAATTATAATAAGAATTGTATCAAGATAATTTGGGTGACTGTAATAACTTAACGGTAGACGAGAACATAGCTTGATTAAGTCAGGAACCTTTCGGGTGATAACTGGTCACTGTCTCTTAGATTGATGGTGGAGCAATTGAAACACCGTTTTTATGTCTTTCCTTTTTGTTTTGGTGGCATTTTGGTTCCTGTTGATGCTTTTTTTCGGTTGGACTGTCAGTTCTGATTTTCTTCTTGTGTGTTAATGTTAATGCTTAAGTTTCAACAATGATCATTGGTTTTGCAAAGATCTGAACTTCAAACCTTACAAATATGAAAATTGCTTGTTTTCTTTCTGCCATACACCATATCTCAATTACTTACTAGATTTTGAACCTTTCACGCTATTCTTACTCAATACTACCTATTAATAATTATATTCACTGCATCAAAAGTGGAACTATTCCATCAACACGATGTATATATCAATTACGTACAATAATTTCTGTCAAGCTGTAAATGATAATTCAATCACATGTTTTACCAGTATTAAATACTGTTCATTTACAGACCGCAGACCGATGCATGGATTTTGAGAGGATTGGTGTATCAAGCGGAAATAGGAACATGTAAGATATTTTGATTATATATATTCATGTTCCTTCAACTCAAAGATAACCCAACAGCAAATTGAAGTTGAAAATGGCCACCGAAGGTGACATTTAATGACAAATTATTACATAACATACATTTGATCACAAGTTAACTTACATAACCTATGAAATTGATCACGTGAACTGCTTAAATATAAGATATATAAAGTTCTCTCGTGGAGGCTGAACGCAAACTTTTTTTCTGCTTCAGCTAGAAGTGACGCTACAAAGTGCGCATGCGTGTCAAGATTGTTCCTTAATATGGCTTGACCAATCAAATTATAGGAAAAGATTCTCATCCGATTATATATATATATATAAAAAAAATGAAATGCTTGCCTTTTAATATAAAATCATACAAACATAATTTAAAAGTTTATTCACTTAATAATTGGGGGGTATTATCATAAACTGAGATCAATAGGTTTCTATGAGTTTTTCATGGCATAATTTAAGCTAATAAATTAGCTGCCTTATATATATATATATATATATATATATATATATATGAAATACATTAACAAGCGAGATATCCGAACCAGTTCTCGTAGGACGTGTACAAATCATGTTTTCTTTACAGAATGGCATTAGTGAAAACGTGGGAAACTTCCATATGCAATCACTTTCGCCAAAGCGTAGAAAAGGTAAGTGCTGTTATATAACAGTACATCTTTACCAATAAATAACTCCTGGATACAAAAGGTTAAGTGTTTATAGCAAGACATGTGACCAAATCCAGGCCTCCGTAAAACTTCCGCCTGAAAATAAAAACTCTTGATGATTCAATGATGAAATTGGGAAACATATTTTCCGATATAAAAACTGGCTTGTAGAAATAGTACTTTAAGACGAGTTGTAAACAAGGGAAAACCCACTTCGTGTTTTGTGGCATATACAATTTAAGTCTACTAATCATTTTGAAAATATTTATCACTCGTATGGCATTAAGAAATTAGGTCTGTTTCAACACCTAATACCTCCATTTTGTTATCCAAGTCGTCTTATTTCGTGATGAGTCAACATTTTTCTTTGTATAGGTCGGCGCAATTAAGTGAAAATAAGCGATTAATAAAATAGTTAACATATGCCACCATAACGTATAAAAAATACGTCACTAACTAAACAGTAAGTTTTGTTTATTATCGGCTTGAGAGCAGAAATTGCTTCATGAATATTCAAATTGACTTTTTACAGGTACCAGCGCATTCTCTCTTAACTTATTACTGCAAAGCTGACAAACACTCAGTCCAATTAGACGGAATCCTCACAGAGATACTAGAAGAAAGATTAGAGGAAGCCTACAACCACGTATGTTTAGCAGACCGACATAACTGAATTCTAATAAATTCTGCTTTACTATAGGTATCAATCGAAGTGGAATGGTAACAATATTTGTTGTTGACTTTTCAAAATTGTTTACTTTTATTCATACATTCATTTATAGAAATTCCTCTGATTAGGATTTAATAATTGTACTGTAAACACTATGCAAAGTATATAATTCTACTGTTTTGTTATAATGTCATGTGTCTGAAATACATTCAGCATCGCCTTGCATTCTTTTATTTAAACTGTGTAACAATAACATGTTTTAACAGAATGATGGAAAAGACTTTTGGAAACTAGGACCTGCGTTTTGGAGGATATATTCAAAAGTGTTGGAGAACAAAATGAAAAGTCTTTCTCCCAGAGATGTACCACTCTACTGTACAGTTCTGGATTGGCGTATTCTTCTTCCAGGATTAAACATGCTAGGTAAGGTTACACCTTATATTTTCCTTTATGCCACCGTGTCCAGACACCGCAGTTATTTTCTTCACGACTTAAAATACACTATGATGTTTGCTTTAACTTAAGGAATGAAACTTATTTTAATGCGATTCATGGATTACGTCAAATAAGCAAATGTTGTTATGACCTCATGAATGTTTAAAAAACTAATATCATTCCTTATATTTAGATTTTTAAGTGTTTGCATTTTCCCATGCAAGCATAAATAAAACAAAAACATGCATTTTTTTATTTATACATGTAGAGCAACGCAGTAAAGGGAACGGCGTGTTTACGCAGGAAAATGTAAAATATTTGATGGGGCTCCAAGCAACAGCATGACAACAAAAACAACAACTTATAGTTCCATTTTCAGGGCTTATAGATTGGCAATTCCCATCCGTCCGTCCGTATGTCTGTCTGTGTCGATCGGTTCTTCTGTTTGCACTAAGGTTAAGAAGTATGGTAAAATTCCGTTTCCAAGTTATTAATTATCCCTAATCAACTTAACTTAAATGGCTTATGTATCTAAGAATGCTAATCACATACGATGCTTCGGCTGCTTGTTCTGACCTATATTTCACCTTCAGTGACCAGGTTAAGAAGTTTTGTTGAGGTCAGGCCCCATTTGCACTATTGTTAAGAAGATAAGTTTAGGTCAATTACCAAGTATCTACTTGTCCTACATCAACTAAATTTGCATTGTTTTTGTATTTTAAAGGATGCTTATAACATGTAATGCTTTACATGGAAATGTACTGTAGTAATCCGGCCGTATCATTGTTGGCGGTTTCCTGTTAAAATCTAATTTGTAGAATTCATACAAGTCGTATATTATTATCATTCACTCTTCACATCTTATTTTAGCTGTAAAATTAAGTCAATCATGCTGAATTTATATGAGCATAACAAAACTACATCGATGGCTGTTTCACGGCGGACGTGAACCAAGTACGATCTGTGCTACGTCATTGTAGTGTACATATGAGTATGCAGTTATGCGGTCATCTGTGCTATGCACAAATAAATGTCAGTTTTATCAATGGGTCCAGGCATACAGAATGCAAATATATGCATAGTGTTATAACTATCTGCTTTGTTTGTATTGACGTTATATTCTAAATGAATGTGCAATGTATACTAACGGGTGCAATACTTATGGATAGAAAAAACAGATACATGCCAATGCTGGTCAAAAAATTAACTTTCATATGCATTGATAATTGCATTTTCTTTATTGGTGTCATTGTTATTATTCTACATGTATATAATTATTTTTGTTTAGATAAACTTAAGTGCGACAGTTTTACATATTTCAAATTTCGCTAAAATTAAATTATAGATATGTTTCATTCCTTAAAACTCATATCGTCTCAATATGAAAACAAAACGTGATTGTTTTAAAAGTAGCAAGCACATGTATGTCTAACGATCATCTGTCAATGATTTGAGCACTAGAACATGGACCCTTATGCGATTTTGTCATATCTTATGATGTAATGGTATTCTTGTGCAATCCAATATACCATTTTAACATTTTCGTTTTCAGTTAAACGCAAGACGTTTGGCGTAACAGAAGAAGCGATGGAAATTCTAGTAGAAGTCAGGGCAGCGATTACGTCACTGATTGGAAGTCTCGACAGTGAACAAATTCTTGTCAGAGACTTAAACGTAATCAAAAGTAAAAGAATGTCATTTCAGACGTTTGCCCCAGTTCTTGGATACAAGTTTTCTGCGATGGAAGGAAGAATGCAGTCCTGTTTCGAAGCGGTTGACAAATTTAAGATCACATGTGAAAGTATTTCCAGTTTCTTGGAAACTACCAACGAAGAGATTGGTATGTAGTTCATAAAAACAAATATCATCGCCAACAAGCACTCCTGAAATTAGATGATCAAAACTTGTAGAATACACGCACGCACAAACGGGGTGTAACATGACGCGATAATTCTTGCAAAACCTCGCAGACATACTGAACATTTGGTGGGCATTTTCTAATGTGTCATTTTATATGTCATGCACTTAATTTGTTGATCGTGATTGTTTTAATAATAGAGGTAAATAAACAAATATCTTGTTTATATATTTATGAATAGTTTCCAGTTATAAATAGTTATAAACAGAACCTCAACAGTATTTCATTTGACGATCGTTTCAACGAAATTTTACTTAATGATCCACCTGTAGAAAGACAAATAAAATAGAAAATGTATTTTTTTTTGTGTAAAAAAATGATTCATTTTATATTTAACTATATGTTATTTCCAATTATTTGACCATTTAATCTACAATTTTGACAGGCACTTGTCGTTTACATTATTAAGAAAATATATGTTAATTCTCACAAAATTTGTTAAAAATATTGAAAGGGTTGAAAGGCATTTTCTAAGAATGAATTATAGCATGCGATATTGCCAAAGCGCAAAAGTATGTGAAAGTTCAATAAATTGGTTTCCAAATGCAAATATTAAAGTTATATTTCATTCAAACGTTTCTTTCTTGTAACCAGATAAAAAAAAACCTCTAAATAATCTTATTTGATAGAAGAAGAAACAGAACTACTTGACTATCTAAAGATCTGCGACAACATCACTATTAAGACAATCAGACAACTCAAAGAAAAACAGAGTGATTTGTCCAAGCTTCTTGGAATAAGTTCAAAAGAGCTACGGAAGATTACAAGCTGCATGGAAAGTTTGAGCTTCAGAAAAATATGGAATGACAAAAAGTCAAACATGAGCAACCGCCTTCATTCGGCAACTGAAGCAAGACGTACGTTCATAAGAACTTGGAGTGACCTAATGCACTGGGTGTGGAAACCAACATTCCAAGAATGGCGTAATTTTGGACATTGTATTCAAACTGGCGACATCACATTGGAGGAGGTTACTGGAAAAATAGGAATACAAATTCAGAATAAAAAGGACATGACAAATCAACTACGAAAAGAATTTGCCATTTTAGACAGAGAGCTAGAACATTTACGACTTGCTGAAGTCACTGAAAAAAGGCTTACAGCAATAAATGACGTGTTTGACATTCAGAACAGTGTAAAAATTTCTGAAATCATCATGAAGATCAAAGAAACATATGGATTTACTGGAAATTTTTCCATAATAGCCGCCATGATGAAAATGGTAATGAAACAGAATGTGGACTTCTTAAAAAAACAAATATATGTTTTCTTATTCTAACAAAAATGACGTTAATACGCTAAAATAGTATTTGCATGTACGAAACGTAAATGGTGTAAAACGTTGTTTCCGTTTTATATATGGCGTACAATCTTAATTTAATAGAACAAAAAACAATCTAATATATAACATAATGGTTTTTGTTTTTTACTTAACCTTATTTCTTTGTTTAGGAAAAGAAAGGTATCGTCCTAAGATTAGTTGATAGGAAAACAGTCGACCTGAGCAAACTGTTGGCGTCTCTTCCTCCTACAATGTACAAGTGTCTTAAAAGTTTCAACAAATGCCGAAGACTTGTTGAATGGATAAAGACAACTATGAAAGGTATATCCGGATATTCAAGTTTGAGTAGCTTTTTATATGTGTTGTGCAATTCTGTGTTATCCTCTTGTTGTGTCTTTAACAGTGATGTATTGATATGCTTCAAGCCAAGATTAAGCGGATAATTAAACCTTCATGAGTTTTAAAGAATAGTGGCAACTTTAACGCAATAATATATAAAGCTCTTTTTCTGTGTTCAACTTTTAATCAAACAATTACACTAAGTAAAAAGTAATTGAAATACATTATTTTTTTATATACAATAATACCAAACTAAGTTTAGAGGACAGACAGCAATTGCCACAGACGCCGAGCACCGAACCCATTCCTTTCATCTCTCCAAAAGTTGACCAAACGCAATTTTAATCAAAATTACACGACAAAACCTAACATAACATAATTTATTTAAACAGTAAAGATTTGACTGCTTTCTTCATTGTGTATGTTACTGGCCTAGTTCTACACCATTCGAACTACTTTTCATTTTTCCATTTTGGTATTTTACCCTTATTGTTTAACAGAACAGAATGATATCAAGACGTTTGTTGACCTTGCACTAATGGCTATCGGAGAGAGTGACCTTGACATTGCGGTTGTTCGCTGTTTACATTCTGCAGCACTTGGTTACTCTCGTCTCATCTTCATGCCAACACATTCTACAGTGGAGGACTTCCTAATCCGACTGAAAGATGTACAAATGGCGTTTGAAAACGACCCACAGCTACATAAAAAACTCGTAAGAATTAGATTTAGTTAGTGTGAAAAAACTACACAGATGTACTTAAACATGATGGTTGTGTTAGACACGTTTTGAACTGCTAACTGTGTCACACAAATCGGTAAAGGTTTAGATTCAGTATTCAAGTTAGTTTAACAAGAAAATTAAATTGAAACCTTAGTGTCAATATAGATACATGTATATATACAGACATACATATGTACATGCATATATATAAATATTTATACAAATGACATTCCTTACGTTCTGGGCTTATGTACGTCATTCTGCAGAGTGTGAGAGTACAGCTCCGGCAACGAATATGAAATTTTTATGTGTCACAGGATTGACGTCAAACATAATACCGCGTTCAATACGAAATGCAGAAAGAAGATAATCTGCTATCAAATTAAAGAATAAAAGACATATCAATGTACAGTTATTTAAGGTCAAATGCAAGTCCAATAAATATAATATCTTCACTGAAAGATCATATTTTTGATTGGGTTGCGGGTGTATGTAATTCTTAAACATTTTTCTTGGTTTCTTAATGAAAAACAGTAATAATTTACGAGTATGGTGAAATATTTTGATATTTTCTTCATCCGCCCGAAGAGTTGTCTGGGATATATCTTCTATACTATTTCACCTGGAGTAAATCGATGAGCGATTTGCGAGACATAAAAGTACGTCAGTGTGACCTAAGGTTTAATCTTTGACCTCAACCTTTGAAGAAATCTGTTTGAAGCATATCTTTTGTACTATTTCACCTTGAGTACTCAGATATGGTTAGCAAGTTTGTCTTGGCTGGCAGAGTTCAGAGTGCAAGATATATGTCACTGTGACCATTATCCTGAGATAGGTGTACAGCTTGATAAATAAAGAAATCATTACCGGTGGAGGACTATTTATTGCCTTGCAATGCCTTGTTTTTATTCAAAACTATATAGGGTAAAATAAAATAAAAGAATGTAAGACAAGGAACTATTTTATTTCACCCTTTCTCGTATTAACGCCTCATGCTATACATGTATATATAAATACTCGTTCGTGTGTTACATAGGAGGACGCAAAGGCTTCTGTCAATAAACTGAAGTTCATACACACCACACAACGTGCAACATCAGACAAAAAGTCTTTGAAGCAAGCCGGACAAGTTATCGAGTTCGGAACCTGTTACGTGGGATTCCACGGAGGAACTGATTTGGTAATATCTGATTGAATGAGTACAACTTGCTGGTAATCTACAGTGTCTATTGTAAGAATATGAATTAAACAGATAAGTACGTGTAGACTATGCAACAGCAAAGTGAATGACAATATATTATTAATACATATTTTGTAATCATGAGTATACTATTGTTATAGAAAAAATGGGTAATATTGAAACTGTTTTATTACATCGTGTGTAAAAAGCCAAATCACATGAGAAATAACTCGTATACAAGTAGTGCCCTTCCGGATAATTGCTAGTAAATATGTATGACTTATTACTTAACAAATAGTGTGATTATATCTAATCTTGCAGTTCTTTGAAGTAAATTTATCCTCCTAATTTTTTTTATAAACATCATTTGTAATCGCTGCTGCAAAGAAAGCATATTTTGATATATGTAAGTAGTAAGGATTTTCAGTCAAGGAGCATCTTTTTGACAAGACACGTATCTATTTGTTCCTAAAGAACATGCGACAGACTACATATAATTACCTTTTAGTAGCATATCTATAGCCCTAAAATGAATTTTGGTATATATCAGTGAGCATCACTTAGAAGAGGGGATACAATGCTGTATTCATTGACTGACGGCTTTCACCTCCTTGACGAGGGATGTGCACTGTAAAGTGCATTTTTATCATACTGTTATTTGTTGGGGGAAATGCATTTTACCAAAAGCATATAACTCAACATTTTAGAGCCATATAGAGAAATACAGCAGAAGGAGGGAGCTGTCTAATGCATTCTTACATGTATAACTTTAAAAATCAGTTACCGTTTTGCTACATGATGTTTTATTCTTCAACAAGTACTTCATGTCATTTGTGTCAGAATATCTCTTGTATTTATGTTGCTTTTTCCTACAGGAAAAAAAACAACAACAAAATAACAAAAAAAACCATTATTAAATGTAGATTGTGCATGAATATCTCTATTTTTTCTGCCGCAGTCATATTTTGAAATTTTCAATATTAGAGAATACAAGTTTTATATTGTGCTGCTACAATGAATATTACTTTTATTCAAACAGGTACTACCTAACGTCATACGAATATGCGTTCAAAATGAGAAAGATGGTGAAATCAATTTCAGTTTTGCGGACTTGGAAGACATCCAAAGTCGTCTTATGTTAGCCGGCAGCTCCGAAGACTTGAAAGATCCAAAAACAAAAGACTCCATGTCAAAGGAAGAAACAATAGAAAAATTCACAATGGTTAAGTTATTATTTCGTTATCATGTTGTGTGTTTTTTAATATGATATAACCAAAGAAAGATTAACATGGGAACGTTTGAAAACATACCATGGAAAATAAACGCAATTTGTCGATATGATTTGTAGAAGTTATTATTTGATCCAAATGAATTTCGTAAATTTCCAAAATATTTCAAGAACTTGATAATTCATAATTAATCATTATGTAATTTTTATTTTCATTTTGGAAACAAATTTCAGATTTTTGATAGTTTAAGACGGCTTGGTTTGGTATACATACGTCTCAATGAACTAGGATGCCTATTCTTTAGCCAGATGGATGTAGTTGTATGCGGACATACAGGCGACAGAGATGTATGTAAGTTATCGTTCTGCGGTAAAGCTGCTTTAACAGTTGTTAAACAAGAAAATGACACACTGGATATGTCTGTTATTGTGAAAAACATAGCAGGAGCTTTCGAAAATTGTTTGGAGACATGGAATGATGAAATAAAAAAAGCCCGAAAAGACTTCTACTTTTTAAATCATTTCACAACCAAGCAATTAATACTGCTTCAAGACATTGTCAATGACACATCCAGCGAACAGGTAGGACAGCATGTTTTACCATTGTTATCTCTTGTATTGCCGGGATGTTCCCGGAAACAAATGACGACGGCGTTTGAAGAAGTCTTTACAAAGGAACGTCCACGACAAGGTAGGTGTATTACATCATAACAACAATAGAAAAAAGAACAAACTCGTACACAGAATTGATATTTATATCCGTAATTTGAAAACCGTCTAAAAGGAGTTGTTTTGTTCTGTGTTATGAATTTCGCTATTATATTTCATAATTAGTATACATAATGGAAAAATAATAAAATGCCTCTCAGTATTTAAGTGTTTGGAAAGTGATCTGTAGAATTAATACCAATGCATTATTATTTCAGCAGGACCTGAAACAAGTAGTAAACCTATATTCACACTTCTTACCGACCTGGTACACGAGATGACCGAGGAAGTAAACGGGTAATTAAAATCAGTACTTTCACAATTTATTCCATCTAGTAAAAGAATAAGTTTGCAACATGTTTTAAAAGAAAATGAAATTTCACTTCATCGAGTAAAGTATCTGCAACCATTTTAATTATGTCGAGAAATAATGATAATTATGGATCCTGGTCCCATTGCACTGTCTTTGTGGTATATATTCGTTTTAAATATAAATGCAGCATCAGGGCAGTTCCGTTGACTACATAGTTCAGTGTCCAGTTGGTGAGAGGGACAGTAAAACAGGGAATGAATCCTGGTTTAGACATGCCCTTAATTACAGAACACTGTTTATCACATTTTACTAATTGCATCACTATAATGTTTTATAAAAGTGCAACAAGCTATGGTTTTCGTTGAAAAAAATATTTATGAAAGCTATGGTGATGCGGAGAAACAATTTCCAAAGCTTAGCTACAGTTTTTTTAATGGAAAGGGTATCCGAATGTCGGCTTTCCGTCATATGTAAGTCGACTTTTATCGCACAAAATGAACGACATTTATCATTTATGTCGACTTAGCGAAATAGCAATCATGGTAATGCAACTTGATTACTGTAAGGATATATCACACTTATGTATCTCCACGTAAATTAAGTAGTGGCAGGATGTTCAACCATAAAACTTCCATGTATCGAGTAGGCATGTAACTGTGACCTTCAAAAGTGTTTACGTTAATTGGCATATTCAGAACGGCTTATTATTTTTTCATTTTTAAAGCACTTCTAACGTGGAACACATGCTTGAAATCTTCAATACTTTATGGGAAGTTTTTGTGACAACGTTGACTGATACGTCATCTGATTTCCTGAGCTTAGGGCGTCTTGGGGAAATTTTAACCATTCTTGGTCAGAAAGGTAAACAATTCTTTCTTTTAAAATGACACGAACATTTTACTATAATTAATCTTAATATAATTCAGTTGAGCAAACTTACTATTTCATTGTTATTATTATAACTCGTTTTTTTTTAGGATATACATAATGGGTTAAACGTTCATGCCGTTAGGAATTGAACATAAATGCCGTAATTTCTATACATTTGAAGAAGTAAAATTATCAGTTAATCCATATACAAATTTGATAATGTAACAATATAAACTTATTTAATAAATAATCAATAATCATTATTTTATCCCAACATTAAATTATCAAATAGGAAAATGTTATAGCTAGCACTGCAACGCGTGGATCATACATTTATGGCTCAAATAACAGAACAGCACCTTCTTTTGTAATCAATACTACGGTTAATCTGTAGATATGCTAATGTAAATGGACAAACTTGCTAACTAAAAGTAAACATTTGATTCCAGTACCCAAGGAATACCGTATAGACAGGTCATTACCAGAACCACTGAGGAGAGGTGAACCAAATCTCATTGTCTGTCCTGAAGGTATGGTGTCATCAACATAACGAGAATAACTGTCACTAGGATAACTGCAAACATATTTATCAATAAAAAACCGTTTAGTTTAACTATTAAGTTATAAATGAAGAGTGTTGGTCCTTGTTTAGAGCATTGTTTGGATTCTTATCATTATCATTCTTCCTTTAATGCTTCAAGAAAAATAATACATACACTTTATATATGTCCGTAAATCTAGTGCAGTGGTTATTTTTAAACTAGAAATATTGAGATACAAAGCATGGACACAATTTGGACATATTCACTATAGTGCTAGTATATGTATGTGGACGTTTACGGTATACATGTACACACATTTGCTTTTTAGTTACACAAGTAATGTGAATGGCCTTTGTGATAAGTATATCTACAATAAACTGTTACTTATAAAAATCTGAACACTTATATAAAAAATAAATGTTGTGATAATTATGCTTGTCATATGTAACTATGACTATGAGTGTAACCATAGGGACAAATTGTAACTATGGTGATATAATGTAACTATTATGAAAACGTGAAACTAAGCTGATATAGTGTAACTATTGTTATAAAATGTAACTATGCTGCCAGAGTGTAAATATGGTTATGTCGTGTAACGGTGCTGATATACAATAAAAATTGTGGCGATACTGCGTAACTAGTAATTTTAAAATATAATGCTCTTTATGGTGACATAATTTTAACTGTGGTGATATATACTATAATGGTAACATAATTTAATTATTTAGAGATAGTGTAACTATTGTGATAACATATAATAGTGATGAATTAGTAAAATTGATGTGATATAGTGTTAGTTTGGTAACTAATGTAACTGGCAATAGACTACAACTTTGGTTCTATAGTGTGACCATGACATTTTGTACTGTGTATGGTAATATAGTGTAACTGTGGTGAAAACGTGAAACCATGATGATATAGTTTAACTGTTAAAATACTACAGTGCTGGTAGTGTGTAACTGTTGAAATGTTACTGTGATGGTGAAAGTCTAACAAAGTGACTGCATCGTTATTAATAAAGAAATGTTTGTTTAAAATGTCCGACATGGTTTGTAAATAGGGATGCTACCATAAACAAAGAAACTTCAAATCGAAGTACGGTTTTGTTAACACTTCGGTAATCTTGTTATTTTCCCTGACATTTTCGTAAATATGTTCAATATTTTTATATAATGGAAATACTTTTGTTTGTTTCTTTAGCGGATATAATCAATGCGTCATTGTCTGTTTACTTGTTGGATAAAAACACTACACGCAACCCACTTCCAAGACCAGAAGAAATTCTGATGTGTACAAGTGAAACAACTCTTGATGAGGTACTACTACCGTGGGCGATATTCGGATAAACTATTATATTTTATTTAAATAACATTATTCCGGTTACTGTGATTGTTAAATAGTTTTTCATTGTTTCTTTTTCGCTTTGATATAAACATTTTTGAAGTATGATCACATGACATTTTTATATAATCCTAATCTGTCTAAGTTATGAACAAGTATCACGATGATCATATAACGACGTCTGTATAGACTTCTTGTAGAACACGTACATTTATGTATAATCTTCATTAGTAAGACAAAGAACAAACTAATACCAGTAAGTATGATATGTATCCAAAGATAGACAGTGAAAACAAACGCATTTGGAAAAATATCCGTATAACTACCTGTTATACAAAGAGTTGAAGAATGTAATGATGGTGGATTTGGAAGATAGGAGACCATTCTGTCTTTTATAGAAACAAAATATTACCCTCGGCAGATATTAACTTGCATGTCTATTGCAATATCACGACCCCTTTAAACTTCATAAAAGTCTTGGCACTTCCTGAAGTGAATTGTTTGTGCTCAAAATGTGGGAATCATGACAGATATATCTTAGGATTTGTTCCCTTTTGCCGATTTTGTTTGTACAGTTTGCGTTGGTAGCGTGTGTTACGCCTCATTGATTTTGCATTATACGCCTTATATGAAAAAGTGCAACGAAAAATTATCAAGTGCAATATGTGTGTGTCAAGTATCTACTTTGCAATTGTATTTTTTTTCTTCCAGATTATTATATCTATGGTATTATATTTAAGGTGGAAGCCTTCTTCAGACGGTCTCTGCAAAAGCACCCAACAAAGGAGAAGAAGATTTACACAATGATGTATGCAGATCAACTTAGTATTGATGTTAGCTGTGAAGCTGAGACTATTCTGAAAAAATTGCAAGCCGGAAAAAAGAATGGTATTTTTGATTTGTTTAAATAATAATTCTACAATAAGTCTTTCGACCGCTACGGGTATTCTGATGTTGTACCGTCGTTTTTGTATCCAAGTTTTATGGCTCTTTATCTTACCATATTATGATAAAAAAATCTCTTGAGCATATTTTTACGTTAGCGTGAGCTGTCAAACTTCTGTTATTAAAAAGGAATCCATCCCCACTATGTGTTATTACTCTAGCAGTCACATTTGTTTACAGAATTGTTGAAGTTTATCGTGTATGTTTACATCAAATTCATTGAAATATATTTGAACATTACAAGGATTTTTACAGGAAGAGGCTTCTATAGCCTTCCTCGCTTTCTCTAGCTTAGTTCATGTTTTTACTAAGTAAATGAAAACAATACGTTCGTAATAGCGTTTTTGTCTACGGTGATATGATTTGATAACTATTTGTAAACACACAGAAAATACAACGAACCATACAAAATTGCTAGTAACAGTTATAGCTGATGCTATTTCAGTCTACTTTTGAAATGTTTCAAAGGTTATTTTTTGGGGATTAGATACAACTAACTAGTTAAAAACACCCTTACCGTATCTGAAAAAAAGTGTGTAAGTGGCATAGGGTCATTCATATGATAGAGTCTATCATATCGTATGCAACAGTTGATGCGAGAAACGCTTACTCTTTTATAGTATCGATTTTACACAGGGTTTTGTTGAATGAGTTGATGGAGATTTTACATTGTAATCTCGCTTTTCCAGTTAACACGTTACAGCCCTATCGCTATAATCCGATTTGTATAATAGCACATTACCTCAACATTATTTGACATCTGTTTTTGTTTCACGTCTCGTATTGTCTTGTGTGTAAACACAGTTGATTTGTTATTTCTCTTACCTGCTCAATACGCCGTTATCAATTGTGCTGACTTAATGGTATGAATCTGATTTACATTATATCTTTACCACCAGAATTTCAATTGGTAGTACTGAGTAGCAAAGAGAATGAAAACAAATCGGTGATGGCAGCTGCTTTGGAAAAGTACCGGAGATTGTTTCCTGTCCTTTCCTCAGACATAAAGGATTATGTGACAAAGAAACTCGTCCATGACGGACGGTAAACTTTGCATTGGAACATAAGTTACTCTCGTACCTTTGATAATAATCTCCTAAAATTGTTACGACGCTATCTAATTTTGTACTGTAAATGGTATCATTTCGTGAAATGAAAAAGATTCCAGAAGATATCTTTCAGCATGTTTATTTGGGTAAAAAAATCCTGTACGATTGAAATCCATGCATTATACGGTATTTTGTTTTGATACACTTCATACCTTCTAATCATCCAAAAATGCAGATTATACTAAAACAAGTGTTGGCTAAAACAACGTAGTCAATACATATAAGCAAATGGTTTTATATTCGAATTTAACGTCAATTTTCAGCTCAACAGTGGATGTTGTAATATCAAAACGGGCCGGACAAGGTAAAACCCTCTACAAAAACAAAATCCTGAGAGAATTAAGGAAGACGCAAAATACAGACATGTGCTCCATAGGCATTCCAATGAACGAGCAAGCAGTAGATGTTGAACAAGTTATGTCTACGTTACATGATTACATCGGTAGTTCCGATAAACGCCTACTTCATATAGATATTGCACCAGTGGTAAGGAAAATATATGATCAAACATTACACATCAATTCCTTATTTGATTGTCTTCATTTAAGCATGAAATAAAAACAATGGATGACAAAATGTCACGGATAGATTAATTAACGTCACTTGCCATAAGTAAAATTATGCTTAAATGTTTGGAACCTTTTATTTTTCAAATTTGTCGATTTGATCGAAGGAAAACAGCATGATTTCCAGCTGAAAAATAGAATTCGACTATCGGAGTAATACATCTTATATTGATACAGTGTGAAATGAAGGAAATTGTATAGCATGACCTGAAAATTAGTTCTTACGCCAGAGCAAGATTCCCAAGATGTGTAAACAAACATACTTTTGTTACTATAAATATCACTCTTATTTTGGTTTTGAATTTTAGGCGATACATAGTAGTGGATCTGTCATAAGTTTCCCTTCATATTAGATTTATGATTAGAGTCTCGCAAATATGAAAAATCCGAAACGAGTATCATTATTCTAATATGAAGGGAAACGAATGACAGATTCTTTTTTTCATATAATGCAAAGTAAACAGTATAATTTTGATCTGAAACGAATATTTTGCACTTAACCGCCACTGAAACGATGACAATTGCGTCCGCTTTACAATGACGTCACGTCACATTGATTGTTCCTATTCGAGTTTGACGTCGTTTCCGGAGTGATATTACACACGTTACATAAACATAATTCATATAATAAATAGATTTTGGTAATGATATAATGATTAATGAAAACGTATTTGTATTCATATATCTGTTATTACATATCCATTTTTTCTTAATTTATTGCACTTCCTTTTTCATCCATTGTTGCGTTACAGTAATTTTGTTAATGACTGGACAATCCAAAGACATCTTCAAAAGTGAATAACGATAATGTATTATACCGTCATTTCTCGGGCACATCACAAATCAAATTATGTTTTGCAAAACTTACCTAATTCATCATGAAATTTGTACAATGTGTTCTAATTTGAATGTTAATGTAGACTATTTATCTACAAATGTATGTAACTTTGGTTGGCCTTTAAACTTTCGTTGTATCAGTAAGTAATTGTACATGCCTTACATAATGAACGATGAACTTCAAACGAAATGACCACTAATGGTATATGTGTTTGGTGTAGGTGCAGTCTGGTGTGGATTATCTGATCTTTCATCTGCTTATTGTCGGCTGTCTGTCGTCAAGATCCGGAATTGTGTGGCTGAAGTCAGACAAAGATTTATATGTTGTCGAATGTTTGCAATCGTCTATCATGCATACAGAAGGGAAGGTAAATATTTTAGATAAAGTTTTCATGATAGATAAGTTATGATTCAGTTGTATATAATTAAACGCTTAATTCGTAGTGTGGGATATCAAACATGCATTTATACATGACATCTGCTCAGTGTTTTTAACATGTTCATCTTTATTGAATTATTGGTGATTACTTCTAGCCATCTGTGGTGCACAAGACGTTGTGTATTTTACCGACAAAACGATGCATTTCACCACGTGAATGGCTCAGTCATTCATACAAGGAACCACAAGGTAGGTCATTGTAATTATTTATTTATCAGTGTTTCTAATAAAGGCGATACCTGATACGTTTGTTCACGATATGATCACTCAAAGAACTTACGGTTGTGAAATACAACTTTATGAAATACTCACACATAACATTTTCAGATATTATCGATACAGGCGTATTTCTTTAACATTCTGCTTTCTGGGCATTTGTGTCTTATGCTGATTTAGGAGTTCCAATATCTTCTTGGAGGAGGTTTTTACATTAATTAAAATATAATAGTATCGTTATTAACCTCAGTCAGTTTTGTATTTGGCACTTTTCCATAAATGAACATACATAAGCAGATCTTTTCCAAAAAAGGCGAACAATGTAAGTAGATGAGGACTATGGACGCTATCATGATCACGAGTGTCATTCTTGAGCAGAAGACACTTACGCTTGAGAAAAAAGACGTCTTCATCTCTTTCATATTTTGCCTTCATGTTATCGCGTTTGAGCTGAAACTACGGTTTTGTCGTTGACCGGCTTTTTGTCAAAGATCAAGATCGCAATAATAACAGATATTGGTGAAAATCATTTGTCGATGGCATCGGGTAATTATCAGGCTGTATGCGAATCAAAACGACAATCTTGGTCTTTCGGCGTCTTCTCTAGTTAAGATAATTTCAAGGAATCCAAAAGGCCTCTTAAGGTTAGATTTATGAACTTCTTTTACGATTAAATACCTATAAGAGACTAAAGTAATCGAATGAATCATTGTATATATCTTTTCCGTACAGAAATGATAGTCGGGTTCTGTGAAGAGGAATATCGCACAAACACTTTCCAAGTTCCATATGATCACCTTCGCCGGCCTAGAGAGGAGAAAAGTATGGAACACTGTATTAGCACGCTGCTTCGGTGAGATGATTTATAAATAGTAAACTATGTTTTCAGCTGAATCATATGCTAAATACATTTGTCAATGTCTACATTTGAACAATATTTGCTTTATAAATGATGGAATTTATTTCGATGAAAATTACAACTGATAGAGTCATTAAATATTCGTTTTGTATAAGACGGTATACATATAACAAAATACTCTTACATTATTAGCTCACCGGGTTCGAAGGACCAAGGTGAGCTTATGCCATACCGTGGCGTCCGTCGTCCGTCGTCCGTCCGTCGTCCGTCTTCCGTACGTAAACAATTTCTTTAAACGACTTCTTCTTCTTAACCATTGGTTGGAATTTAACGAAATTTGCTTGCTTGGAAGCATCCCTAGGTGGTGGGGATTCAAAACTGTACAAATGGTGNTCCTAGGTAGAGGAGATTCAAAACTGTATAAATGGTGGGGCTGTCCCCCCAGGGTGCTGAGGGGCGGGGCCAAAAGGAGGCAATTTGACTATATTGCTACAAACGACGACTTCTGTAGAACTATGCCCTGGATATCAATCATATCTGATCAAAAGCATTCATGGGAGGCAGAGATTCAAAATTATATAAATGGTGTGGCTGACCCCTAGGGGGCTGGGGGCTGGGGGCGAGGGGGCTGGGGGCGAGGCCTAAAAAAAGGGATTTTGGCTATATTGCTTTAAGCGACTTCTTCTCTGGAACTAAGTGATAGATATCAACCGTATTTGACTGGAAGCAGCCCTAGGTGGTGGGGATTCAAAATTATACAAATGGTTGGGCTAATCCCCAGGGGACTGAGGGGCAAGGCTAAAAGTTGGCAATTTGGCTATATTGCTACAAACGACTTCTTCTGTAGAACTATGCACTGGATATCAATCATATTCGATCAAAAGCGTTCATGGGAGGCAGAGATTCAAAAATGTACAAATGGTGTGGCTTACCCCTCAGGGGGCTGAGGGGCGGGGCCAGAAAGGGTTATTTGGCTAAATTGCTTTAAACGACCTCTTCTCTGGAACTTTGTGATGGCTATCAACCATATTTGACTGGAAGCATCCCTAGGTGGTGGTGATTCAAAATAGTACAAATTGTTGGGTTGACCCCCCAGGGGGCTGAGGAACGGGGCCAAAAGGGGGCAATTTTGCTATATTGCCACAAACGACTTCTCTTGTAGAAGCATTCATGGGAGGCAGGGATTCATAATTGTACAAATGGTGGGGCTAAACCCCCGGGCTAAGGGGTGGGCCAAAAAAATAATTACTTGGAAATGGTAGAGATCCCCACCGTATGACTTTATGTACAATTGCTGAGTATAAATAGAAGAATGCACATTTGCTTCCAGAATGGCCCTAGGCCTATGGTATGGCCCTACCCTTGGAGACATAGTCCCTGGGTTATAACTTTGAAACGTTTGAGATCCCCTCCCTAAAACTATATATACAAATGCTGGGCATAAAAAGAGACAAATGCAGTCATGATATTATAATAGACCCTGTGGTCTGATTGAACCCCTAGGGACCTAGTCACAGCTTGGAAGCAGTTGAGATTCCCACCCCATAACCATACATAAAATTGCTGGGCATTAACAATTTTATACAGATATGCTACAAGGATTTGCCTTGGGGTCTGCCATATTCCCTTGGATCTCATTTGGAGAATATTTTGTCATGATTGCTTTGATATCCAGGTGAGCGATAAGGCCCTCTTGGCCTTTTGTTGATATATTCACGAGCTAGTCAAACACATTTTCAAATATGCAGATATTGTCTTACCGAATATTATCCCCTTTCCATTTCAAGTAAGGTGATTTGGCACTTGATAACTGTTGTGGTCTGTTTAATCATGGATAATATGTATTGATTATTGGCTTCCAACTCACGACCTTCGGCAACAAATCGCTTAGCCGAGAAATATTAACAACCCTTTTTATTTCATCGTCGAGGCTTTATGATAGAGGAAATATTGATATTGCCATGAAAGTTTGATGCCCATGATCATGGTTTTGATTATGTGGCATTGTTTCACTTTATTCACAATATACCGTCCTTTTCTTCTTGGCTGTTTTACAGGAATTGCGGCGTTGGAGATCCCTCTTGGGCAGAGTTGAAGCAGTTTGTGTCGTTTTTGCACGTCCAGTTGACAGATTACAAAAAATCAATTTTTTGTGACCCTATGGTTGAGCCTGACTTACCTGGATTTGCAAACTTCGTTAAACGATTCATGATTCAAATGTCACAGGTAAGTTACATGAATGATTGATATGAAAGAGAACACATACCGATATTTTAAGATGTCTTACGTGATTATATGCTATTTCAGTGTGATTTTGATTGCTTTAGTTTTCGATATGCTAAAATATTTCGTTCCGCTCTTATTGCTTTTGTCTGTATCGACCCTTAAATATGAATGAGTGCTTTGTCGGCATGTTGTTTTACTAACTTAGTATCAGTTTAATATCTTGATTTATACTGTTTAAAGGATTTTGCAACGCGATCCCTGCACATGAGTGAAGAATCATTTGAACAAGTAGAACGACAACAAAACGCGAATCAAGATGGCTTGCAGCCATTTCAAATGAAACGAAGATGGGAAACGAGGTAACGTTATAAAAAGAAACGATTTCTATTAATGATAAAAAGAGTAAATATTTAATCATTGACGTAAAGCAAAATTTAAATAATTATAATCATCTGGAAGGAGTAAAGTCCCGATCAGCACTTAATGCAAAATTGTGACTGATTTGAGTATGCTGAAGAAATATTTCAGTGTATTAGCTAAATCTTTTAAACTACATTTAATTTTATATATGTTACTGCTCACACTGAGGAGCAAACGTACTACGTATGCCTCATATTGTATCAGTTGTGACTTTAACAAAATAAGCACTGCGATATAACATGTTCATCTATGAACTGATATAAACATTTTTAAGATATAATCATATCTATTTATCAACTTGTTGTTTCTGTGCCATCACTGCAGCCATATCGATTATGATCATGCTGACTTACACAATTCCTTTCGATGTCTTTTTTTTACCTTCATTACAGTACCACGGTATTTTAAGTGTAGCATTTATACATTGGCTCTGTAACAAAATCTACATTTGTGTGGCCAAGAGTTGCCAGTAAAAGTTTATGACCAAAAGAGTCTTAAACTTGATACTGATACCAGTAGCATGATAGAAACGAGGTCTATATTTTATTTTCAAATTATTAATGACCTTTCCTGAAATGCAAGGTCACGGAGGTCAAATGTGCTAAAATTTCAATGATTTCTCCTGTATATTCCAGAGGCTTACGTCGATGATATTTGCAGACCCATTATGCCTCTTGTTTTTCGATTTTACAACAGTCCTCATCCATATCTGTTTTTCAACGAAGACAAAAATACTGTCACATTCCTTGGATTCAATCTACGGAAAGGACAACATGATCTGTATGATTTAGTCGACAACCAGAAAGGCAGTAATGGAACTATTTTGGTACAAGGTATCATGCACAAAGCCTTATACGATTCCTTAATCAGACAACGCGTTCCACTCGATGAAAACATTGCTGATCTCCCAAGGTAAGTATTTCTAGATGAAAAAGCATTGATATTTGTGATTTGGATTTCCAGAGGGATTGTGTAAAGTAGATAAAATTATAAGGATTAACTTAAATACATGTTTTATGTTATGGAGCTATAACAAAAAAATCCGTAGTGTATTCTTATCATAAAACGCGAAGTTAATCCTTAAATAAATAAATCATACTGATTGCAGGATGATTGGTTGTTACAAACATCATTTTGTAAAATAAAACAAATATAACCCTATATAATGAAAGGTTACATATAGTTTTAGTTGATTCCTTACTTTGCATTCTTGTATATGCGAAACACGCACACAATTTACAAATTTTTGCTTTAAGAAAACACTTTAAATAATGATTTGTTTAGATTACAGCATACTTTCTTGATTATCAAAATCTGATCTTAATGCAGAACATATATCATACAACTTCAGATACTAATACATAAACATAATACCATAAAATATATATTGGGTGTCCAAATAGATTTTAAAACAATTTTAAATATAGTATATCAACATAATTCATCCGATGCTTTTAAGTGTGTTTTGTTTTGAAATGTTCTCTGCTTTTTATACCGATTTCATCTTTATTTTATTTTAATAATAGATATATTTTCGATGATTCATGTATTATGTTTACATCAATCCAAAGTTTATAATCCATACGTGAAGGACCGATAACTCAAGGTAGTTACACATAGATATTGCCTGAAAAGGTGCATTTCAGTTCTAATTTAAGCTTGGAGTTACTTATTTTAATAATTAAAAAGAATTACTTTCTATTTTGGTCAAGTTATGAGATGGTTACTTATGTTTAGCATGTGTAAATTGAATAGAAAGCAAAAAAGATATCTACAATACATTTACTTTACTTTGTCTTTTTCAATAAATGGTTTATACATAATTTATTAGCTGACCTGGTCTGAGGACCAAGGTGAGCTTACGCCATACCGTGGCGTCCGTCGTCCGTCCGTCCGTCGTCCGTCGTCCGTCCGTCAACAATTTCTTTAAACGACTTCTTCTTCACCACTGATTGGAATTTAACTAAATTTGACTGGAAGCATCCTTATGTGGTGGGGATTCAAAACTGTACAAATGGTTGGGCTGACCCCCCTGGAGGCTGAGGGGCGGGGCTAAGAGGGGGCAATTTGGCTTTATTGCTTTAAGCGACTTCTTCTCTGGAACTGAGAGATGAATATCAACCATATTTGACTGGAAGCACCCCTAGGTGGTGGGGATTCACAATTGTACAAATGGGTGGGACTGGGCTGACCCCCAGGGGGCTAAGGGACGGGGCTAAAATGGGGGTAATTTGGCTATATTGCTACAAACGACTTCTTCTGTAGAACTATGCATAAAGGAATATTTGGCTATATTGCTTTAAGCGACATCTTCTCTGGAGCTAAGAGATGGATATCAACCATATAAGAATAGACCCTGGGGTCTGACCGAACCCCTAGGGACCTAGCTTCTTGGTCACAGCTTGGAAACAGTTGAGATGCCCACCCTATAACCATATATATAGTTGCTGAATATAAAGAGATGAATGCACATATGCTTCCAGGATGGCCTTGGGGACTACCCCACCATTGGATACTTAACCACTGGGTCATAACTTCGAAATGGTTTAGATCCCCACCCCAAAACTACATATGCAAATGCTGGACAAAAAGAGACAAATGCAGTCATGATATTAGAATTGATCACAGCTTGGAAACAGTTGATATCTCCAACCCTTAACCGTACGTAAAATTGCTGGACATGAAAAATCTAGTACATATATATATAAGGATTGGCCTTGGGGTTTGGCATATTCCCTTGGATCTCATTTGGAGAATATTTTGCCATGATTGCTTAGATATCCAGGTGAGCGATACAGGCCCTCTGGGCCTCTTGTTCACTGGCCAGATCAGTGGACACAAATTTCATTTACAAAACGTATCAAAATGTGAATAGTTCAATATGAACATCAACCTGAAATGTACATAAGCTGTGGTTAACTCCGCTCACCTCTTCTGTAGATGACGTCACATCATTGTGTCTCATTCGCGGAATTTTGCATAGCTCCGCCTACATGTATTGTTGTCGACGTCATGGTAACTTGACGCGTTCTATGGTCAGGTTTATAATGGTTATTTGGTGAATGTCAATGATGACGGTACATACATATCAATTCAATTGTGAAACTTCTGTCTCTTATAAATGAACAGCCTATATTTTCATTGAAGAACACAACGACTCGAAAAACTACGCAGAGTAATGGGAATAAAAGAAAATGGTGACCCCGACGCTAGCTACGAGCTGACCTCGGACAATATGAAGAAAATTTTGGCAATTTATATGCGTTTCCGGTAGGCGATTCATTTAAAAATTGTATTAAATGTATAATCAACTTAATAAAATTCATAAATATTATGTGCTAATTTCCTTTTGATTTCAGTGAATTCGGATATTAACATTATAAAGTTATCAACTTATAACGTTAACATAGTGCTGTTTTCTTTACTTTAGGTGAATAAGATTGCTTGTGTGGCGAATAAATAAATTTTGTTTTCTTCACATGTGATGATATTGTTCCACGTATACATACATGCTTACCTGCATTAATGTTAATAAAATACCAAATTATTTCAGGTGCAACATACCTGTCATTATCATGGGAGAAACGGGGTGTGGAAAGACAAGTCTCGTAAAATTTATGTGTCAACTACAATGTCCTGCAACCGACGTTGTCCGTAACATGATTCTGATGAAGGTAATGTCTCTTTCCTTTATCATTTTAAAGCAGATATCTTTTTCTGAATGTCATTCATTTATTCATTAATACGTTTGTTGAAAATTAATTTTAAACTTATGTTTGATATTTCTTCTATTTATTGAAATTGTACATTACTCTCGCTAGCAAGATAGTTTTTGTCATTTTCGCTGTGCAGTTCCGCATATCGTTGTTTAAATAAGTAAGCTGATTTCCGTTTACCTATTTTGATAAGATATTTTAAAACAAATAATTGTCTCAGTCGAACACAATACATTAATTTAGCGTACATTACGCTCAATTGATTAGATCAGGCTAAGTTGCAGTTAAGAACAAACCGTTTACTTTATTCATTGAATACGAACTCTTTTCTAAAGACGTTGCGTGTTATGTATCGTATAATGTTACATTAACGTAATTCTAAATATGGCATATAGGTTGTTTTGCGTTTCTTTAAAATTCACGATCAGTGATTGCATACTATTTGAGGGATTACTAAGCTTCAAGCGAAGTAATGCGATGACGATGACATGCAGCATACCTTAATAGTGTGGATAAATAATTTATATCATATGCTCGAGTAGACAGACGGATCCCAATGGATTTAGCAAACAGGGCATGTATGAGGGTATACGAAGGAACAGCATTTATTTGGAGACGAGATCTCGATATTGTTCCACTTGTTGAAGAAGGGAATGATCGAATATTGGCGATACGTGTTCGTCTAGTGGATCAACCAGACGTCTATATGATGGGAGTACTCATGCCGTTCACATATCCACATATCTTAGTATTGACAAGTATCGGAATACAATGGAAATACTAGAGTCACTATATGATAAGTATGCAGAGGAGGGAACAGTTTTCGTTCTAGGAGGCATGAATGGGACATTATCTCGTGACTATGGCAACACAAACTCATGCATGCTAACACAAGAGGTAATATTCTTGAAAGTTATTATCCGAGAGGCAGCTAGTTTCAATTAACAGTCAAACTTGGGCCGCTGGACCAGATTTTACGTTTTGCAACGGTAATTTAAAATCGCTCATTGACCAGGCTTTAGTTCCGTATCATAAGGTTGACCTGGTGAAATTTGTTCTGTTACGGACGATGAGTTAAATAATATGACCGACCACTTTCCTGTTAGATTTGAGTACCATATCCCTTCTGTCATTTTTTGCGAAAGCCAAAGTCCTTTTTGACCACCACTAATGGGAAGAAAGCTAACGACCAACAGCTAAACAGACTCAAGAAAGTGAAATTCGAATCTAAAATTTGTTGCATAGACGTGCTAAACGGATATTTGAAAGCTTGCACCGAAATTCTTATTGGAGCAGCTATGACAAATTTACCGCACAAGTCTTTTAAAAGTCATCTAAAGCCATATTCGAATTATGGTAACCTTAAGGAACTGCTCTCAACAATGAGAAAACAGCGAAGAGAGTGGTTAATTAATGGAAAACCACGGGATAATCCTGCGACATCTTACAAGAACTATAAATTGTCAACGTGCAACTTCCGACGTGAGCAGCGAAGAGCGCGCGAAGCATACGAACAGGCCCAGTTCCGAGATCTGCAAGAGAATGCAAGTGTAGATATTAGAACATTTTACAGATTCGTTCGGAAAGGTCGTTCTAACAAAGAAACCTGTCATTAGCTAATAGTCGTTGGTAAAGTCATGAGGGACCCGGAAAAATTCCACCGCGTATGGTATTATCATTACGCAGGACTGGTGAAACCGAATGATAGTATTGATTTCGACCAAGAGTTTAAATCTCACATAGAGCACAAACTCGTGAGAATAGTTGTAACATGGATGATACTGCGTGTGTAATCAGAGACGAAAACATCACAAATACTGAAGTTAATCGCGCTGTTAAGGATATGAAATCAGGGAAATCTCCTAGCCATGACAGTATTGTAATCACGGATTGCAAATATGTAGCCGAAGAACTTGTTCATTTTTTAACCAAATTATTTAATGTCATTGTCATGAAAGAGAGATATCAAATTCATTTAAAAAAAGGATTGTGATAACGTTGTATAAAGGTGGCAAGACAAATAAAAAGAATGTTAATAGCTATCGTGACATTACACTGACATCGGTATTACAAATAATATCCGAAAACACGATATAATAGGGTTTTGCGAAAGTCAGAAGGCATCAGGTTTCCTACACAACTTAAGCAAGGCTTTCGATCTGGTTGTGGTAGCATAACGTCGGATTTTATTATGAAGGAAAGTATATATCATTATATGGATCGTGAATCCAAGGTATTTGTTGCATTATTGTTGTAGGCATTTGACTTGGTTTGGATTGATGGATTATTTTACAAGCTGTTCACCTGGCAAGATATGGCGGTTACTCCGCGACTCATTTAGTACAGTAACCTCGCGTGTGCTTTTTAAAGAATACTTATCAGAACCGTATGACGTTATGCAAGGCGTCGGTCAAGGCCGAGTACTATCTACCTGGCTATTGTTAGTAATGATAAATGATCTTGCCATATAACTTGACCTTGCCATGCATAGACTTCGCATAGGTGATATCCACATACCGGGTCTGTTCCTTGCCGATGATACTCTCGTTTCTGCAGCGTGTGCTTCTCATCTTCAATGTACTCTGGATATAGTACATAGATACTTAGTAGTCCTTCTATCTTGGACTCGTCAGTCTAATACAGTACAAGGACAGCGTTGTCTATGCTGGTCTGCTTATGACGTCATCGTCGGCAAGTGGTGAATGCATTTTAATACAGATGGAAAAGGTTTAAAAGTGATAGGATTAGGAATAAAAAAACAACGGAATGTCTCCAGCGCTTTGTGTTACTATTTTGAATAATATTTTACTTCCGTCACTGACGTACGGATGCGAACTTTGGAACAATATTCGTCTGTCAGCAACATGGAGATATATTGAAATACTCGATGGAAAAGTAGCAAGAAGATGTCGAGGATTCGAATATGACTCACCTTCATGTGTTACAATTTCTCCATTAGGTCTATTGGAAATCCAGGCATATGTGGACAAGTGTAAATGGATTTTTTTGGAATCGTCTGAACAGAGGAGATGCAATATATATATGGAAAAAATGTAGTTTAAGGCTTTATTCCAGATATTTTGAGAATTCATGAAAAGTACAACTTTCACAGCCTCTTCAATGATTTTTTTTTTATTATAGAGACATCATTGGAAAAACAAGTTGGAGAAATTTCGTAACAAATGTTATCTACTACTACCAAGATAAGAAATGGAGGATTTAACTAAGTGAACGGGATAAAATCTGCATCTATTCAGACATACAAACGAAGTTGACGTTACATCCACTATGGGTCTAGGCGTAAAATATCCGCCTTATATTTGGAAACAAGCAGAAATGATTAAGTTATCATTTCTGATATAGTTACATGTAAATTGTGTGGACAGCAAGGAAGCAATGCCATCGTACATTTTTTAATACAGTGTGGCAAACTATACGAGATGAGAGATTCTATATTTGACAACGTGGTAAACATATTAGGTACAATGAACTATATTGGTTGTCTGAACTGGAGGACACTGAAATGGCAAAAATAGAAGAGGATGCATGGGATCACTTCATGCTTAAAAACAGCGTCAGCATTGCTGCTTTGACCAAAAGTTTAGTTAAACGACTCTGTGGTTAGCTGTTAGGCCGAATGCCTGCAGTAATGACTACAATATAACTGCTGTAAACGATAACTCTTAAAGTGAGCTAACTCTCAATGTTTGATTGTCATGATAATGGAGGAAATAAAGATATCTATATCTATGGTATTATTTCCTTTTTCATTCTTTATTATTTCTCTCCAATTTTCTATGATATATGACATGTAATATTTTTGTATCGTCTCTACTTTTTGTTCATACGAGAGAAACTCCCTGCTTGAATAAGACTCTTGCAATCTTAAACTTTTTTAATCATTACTTATTGATCAATTGTTGTATTTTTGTCATTAATAATATTATGTTAATTATTTAACTAGCCTGCTTTCTCCACCTTACTTGATTTCCAGGTGCACGGCGGAACTACTAAATTCGATATCATCAAAACAGTACAAAAAGCAGATCAAATTGCCGAAGAAAACAAGAAGAAATATGGATCTGGGTTCCTCACGGTTCTATTCTTTGATGAAGCTAACACGACAGAAGCAATCAGCTTTATTAAAGAAATTATCTGTGACCAGACAATGAACGGAAAGAAATTAGTCGTGACAGAAAATCTCAAGTTTATAGCAGCTTGTAATCCTTACAGAAAGTGAGTTGAACACCAATAAACGTGTAGTATACATGTCTTCTATATATTCCCCGTTATTTAAGGCGGTCTACCATGTTGAGATATATTTTGACCATACTCAATATTAAGATATATTTACTTAAGCCGTTTTCAATATGGATATAGTCGATATTAAAGAAGTAAGATTTTTCTTTAGAATTACAGATGTTTTGGATAAATTTTGGTATTTGGAAACAAATGAAAATTCACAGGAAACAAAAGTTCAAAGAGTGAAATGTGGAACTCGTCCTCTGCAGATCCTATATTTTACCAATGTTGCTGGCGAGGGAGTATCAATGCAGAATATCAAAAAAAAAAAAAAAAATGCCAGAAGAAAGTTTCTATAAGACAGATACAAACTCATTTTACGCTTTCCCCTACCTATGAAAAAGGACGGAATATATTTTAAATGAAATGCTCATCGATTCTTAATTTTAGCATTTTATTTATTGTGTCATGACAACAATGCATTATATATATTGAATGATGCCGGTATCCTATATGAAACAGCTATTTCAGACTACACATGCGGAAACGTTTCCTTAACGCTCTCAAGCGAATGAAAACGAAGCTTGTTTGATGCAAATATCTTATCCAAATACTTGGATTTTTTGTATTAATTCTAGAGATTTGGTATATCTGATGGATGCATCTTTATTTACAGACACTCCGCGGACATGATCAAAAGGCTGGAAAAAGCGGGTCTGGGTTACCATGTCAAACAAGACGAGACGACCGACAAACTCGGTGAGATATCTCTTTGTTGATATGTTAATTTTTAAAATGGATAAGATTTGTTATTTTACATATAAATAGCTAACCTTACATAATCGCGGTATATGAACAAAGTAAGCAAACCTACCACATTCTCATACGTTTGTCAATCTTCTGATAAAAAATAATATCCTGACAACTAAATAAAATTGTAAATGCATACAATAGGTACCCGATTATGTCGTACATTTTGGAGATCATTTTTTTCTACTTTTTTCCCCCAGACTTATTGTAATTTTCGAAACTATTTGACTGATTCCGAAAAACATTGTAAATGAATTAATAAAAAACTGAATAAAAGTCAGGTGATTTATAGCCATAGTTGCTCGTGTAAGCACGGCGCGGAAAAAAACCCTGCGAGAGACGTGAGGTCGCTGCTGGTCAAAATGATGGACAGGGTCGCTCCCTCTTGACCAGGTAGTAAACAGAGGTCAAATATGAAACCGTGGGATAATGTGACAGTATCTGGATAAACTGGATAAAAACAGTTCTAGTGTGATGGTTTTTAATACAAATTATTATCAGGGCTAAAGTTAATAAAGGAAAAACCTCGCGCGAATACCATTACAAATATGTACCGGAAATGTCGTCTACCATAGCAACTCGTCAAAATTATTGCCCTTTGCAAAATATTCGCCCCAAAAATAAATTAAAAAGAAACATAACCGAAAATGAAAAGAAAAACAATTTCATATCAAGTAAAACGGATTTGCAGAGCGTTACTTCCAAATCGTTTACAGGAGATTTGAGAAGAGGGTGGTATAAACAAAAATATAGAGATATATTATTTTATTTACCCCTTTTATTATCAATCTATTTAAGGACACATTCCTATGCGCCATCTTGTTTACCGAGTACATCCCCTACCTCACAGCATGCTACCTCTGGTCTGGGACTTTGGTCAGCTGAATCAAGATATGGAGAGACAGTACATCACACAAATGGTTGCCAAGCAAACACCTTTGCAGATTTCTGGAAGAGCGAATGTAAGAGTGATGTTATGGCTATCACTAAATATCGGGCAAGCAACGTATCTTCTTTCTGTAATTTTCATTGTATAATATTTTCATAATAATGCAAGGCAAATCAGCAAAGGGCTGAGTAGACCTTCAGCGGATTAATAATTGTTTGTTGGACTATTCCTCCATCAAATTCAAGAAATATTGTTTATTACTATAATATGTAATTTATCTATACAAATCATGTCTTCCAGACTGCCAGCCAAATTCGACGTATTAGTGCCCTTGCTGCATCTAAACAAGAAGACACAGTGGTTGTTTCCATTTTACTCGCATCGCAGTCCTATATGCGGGCTCAAGAGGTTTATAAATAGTTTGGTCATTATAGCAGTAGCTTCTGATTTTAAATTATGTGTGTTTTTTATGCCAACTGCACTATATCTTACCGATACACGCATGGCATGGCCATCTAATATTGCTTTAATGTGAACTGATCAATGCTTCTTTATAAGTTAGAAATATTGAAATCATACCGAACATGATTACTTTGGTTGCGTGGATCAGACATTGTAGTTCACATAAGTTCCCCGGTAAAAAATCAGACGTAAAATGGAATTACTGAGTGGAATAGTTATTTATTTTTGTGTACTAGTGTATGACTACTAAACTGTGTCAAATTGTTAATTATTGCATGGGTACTAAAAATGTGGGAATGTGATGTGGGAAACCTGTTAGGGATTGCTTCGATAATATTCAAACAAAATTGACACTTATCTGTTTTTCTTTATATAGGATGAGTGCAGTTTTGTAAGCCTGCGAGACGTTCAGCGAACACTTCAGGTCATGTCCTGGTTTATAAATCAGGGCACACTCTTGAGAGCTATGGAGGAAAGGGTATGTGTTATGTAAATGAAAATATTTATAATCTGTCCAGCAAGCATCAATTTATATGCATGAATTTCTATCCCGTACGTACTACTTAAACTTAAGCCCGAAGAACCAAGTGGGTTTATGCCGTGTTGCCGCGTCAACTTTTTACTCAAACCAACTGCTTAGCATACATGGATGAAGGGTGACCAAGTTCGTCAAATGAGTAATCTTCATCTATAGTCAAGGTCACAGGGGTGAAGGGTATTGCAATATTTCATCTGAATTACCGAAAGGTCAAGGATATATGTTGTCAGTTATATGCTAAGATTAAGAGATACGAGGTTCATTGTCCGAATGAATGGCCTTCATCGATACCCGAGGCCACATGGGTCATATGTGTTGAAAACATTTAAACAACTTCTGACTAACTGAAATCCATAGGATGGTGATATTTGGACAGCAGCTTCCTCAGATGGAAAACTATCAAGTCTGTTTATTTCAAGGTCACATATGGTCAAATGTAACAAGTCAAAGGTCAAAGGGGTCATATATGTTTAAATCTTTCAACAGGTTATTTTGAATGACTTAGAGTCACAGTTACTGATTTTTGTACCTTTACTTAAGTCCACTTTAAGGTAACAAGTGTACGATCAATAAATAACATGTGAGCGAAATCGCACGAATAATTTTTTGTAGTAACGCTTACAGTTTGTTGTGATTTATTCGTGATGTCAGGTAATATGCATTTCTACCGCCAGACCTTAATAAAGGTCGTTAGTCATCCGTTCGTAGATTGACGTCATGTTTTGTTCTAAAAGGGCATGGTGATATATATCTAAGCATATGTTTATTCAAATCAAATATTACAGTGTGTTTTCTATTTAACAGATGACAAACAAGGGCAATCCGGCTTTTGATAGTATTGGGACAAAGACGAGAGCTCTTGTACTGGCATTAGGTGTGTGCTATCTTTCTGCGTTGAAAGATAAAGATAAATACATAAAGCACATTTCCGCAACGTTTAGAGGTAACTGTTTATTGCCTGGAGGAGCCGGCAGATTTGAACAGGAAATACGGATGTAAGTTTTTTTTTTATTAATAATGTCATAAAAATAAAGTTCATTTAAGTTCTATAATTAGTAAATAGACACTACCTCTATGGTAAATTTATCTATGCATGTTTACTTGGGAACACGACAAAGTTCATTTAAATTACTGAGTTCATGGTTGACAGTTTCAATTTTTAATGCGATAGCAAGAGGTTTCATTGCACCCTTTACTTGCTGAGTTGTGAATGTTGACATATGGCACTGTGTTGTACCTTTGAGCAAAATAATTGACTCCGCTTGTTCCAGTCTACTCAGCTGTAAAAGAGTTTAATGCTAGCTGTGAGCGTCGAAATGGCAACACCAGCTGTATGCTCCGAAGGAATTTGAAAACGATGTTGGCTGGTTTCAAAAGCCCTATAAATGAATTTGTAAACCGCTTTGAAATGACCTACGAACTAGGTTGTGATAAAGCGGTATTATTATTATTCGTTTTCAAAGACACATTATTTCGCGAAATGGCAAATTTAAGCGGGTTTTTCTTTTTGATACCAGATGTCAAGAAATCATTTTGGACGAAGCCACAATAGGACCAAATATTGCAAGAAACCAAGCCCTCAATGAAAACGTTTTCATGATGACAGTATGCATCGAGCTGCGAATACCTCTGTTTCTTGTCGGTAAACCAGGAAGTTCCAAGTCTCTTGCGAAGGCTATTCTTGCCGACACCATGCAAGGCGCTGCTTCAAAAAAGGATTTGTTCAAGACTTTCAAACAGGTAAATAATATCCATAATCACCAGGAAACTTCAAGGTTGATGTTGTATTTTTACACGAACAGTAACAATGTGAGACATACACAACAATATGAATATAAACCATTCTACCCCTTACTTAGGTGAGGGTCCTAAGAGTTATTTACATTTACATTGGATACGTCGTAATTACCAATGATGGCGTGACACGACGGGAGAGAGAGAACATGTTACTTATCTTGGGTGTTTTTTTGAAATGGCTGATCTAAATCCCTCTACGCCTTCTGCGCACACTACTATATCATCCAGTTGGTTCCACTCAAGCGGTGTTTTGATGAAGAAGGAGTTCTTGTATGCTTCCTGTTTGTATCCTGAATGGACTTGAGTTGTTGACAATGTTCCTGTTTACTGTTGCTGATGTTTCATAGTTCTGATAACGCTTTGTGTTTGTTTTTCGCGTCCTTCCAGAGTGCTGGATTATCTGATTTGGCGGTAGGGCTGGTATTAACCCCTCTTCTATTTTGTACATGAATACTAGTCGCTGTGATTTCCTTCTGTTTTGTAGGGTTGGCAGTTTTAGGTGTTGTAGCATTTCTGTGACACATCCTTCCTCCCGACTTTTGTAATTTCCAGTAATTAGGCGAGCTTTGTATTCTCTCTAGTTTTTCAATGTCTGATTTTAGATGAGGGTCCCAAATAATACTGCCATAGTTCAGACTTGATCTAACAAGTGATATATATGCTGTTTTCTTGCACTCTTTTGGGCAGTGTTTTAAATTTCTTCTCAGAAAGCCTTAAGTTGAGCTCGCTTTCCTTGCGATGTTGCTTATATGAGTACTCCATTTTAGGTTGTTTGATATCTAGAGTCCTTGGTATGGATTGTTTTGTACCTCTTCCAAAATGTGGTTATTCAGACTGTAGAATTTTGATGACTTTTTCTAAATTGACATGATGTAGCATTTTTTGGCATTAACTTTTATGCTCCATTTATCTGCCCATTCTTCAAGGTTTTGTAGGTCATTTTGGAGGATGTTATGGTCATTGAATGTTTTGATTTGTCGATACAAAAGGCAGTCGTCGGCGGAAAGGCGTACTTGTGATTTGACTGAGTCTGGTAGGTCATTTATGTGGCAGAGGAAAAGGAGTGGTCCTAGTACCGTACCTTGAGATACTCCGGAGGCGACGTGTTCCTCCTGGGACGTTGTGCCTTCAAGTACAACCTTCATTTTCCTCTCACAGGAAAAGCACGATCTGAAGTCGTGATTTAGATTGGTGAGTACTCTATGGTTTTCAAGATGTTTAATTTCTAGCATGTGTCGACAGATGATGTGCTCCAGAAGTTTGCAGGGGACTGATGTTAGTGACACTGGGCGATTGTTTTCCGCAGAGTGTTTGTCTCCCTTTTTAAATATGCATGAGATGTTGGCATTTATCCAGTCTGCTGGAAGTTCTCCCTAGTTAAAATGATTTTTGAAATATTTTTGTGAGTCCTAATGATATTTCTGTTGCGCATTCTTTGAGGATTCTGTTTGGTATTCCATCTAGTCCTGAAGCTTTTGATATGTTTAAGTTCCTGAGTATTTTAGTAACACTGTTTGTATCTATGTATAGTTTCGGAATTGTTTCCTGTACTCGGTTTGTTGTTTCTTGTATGTTGATGTCTTTGTCGATGGTGAATACCGATTTAAACTGTTGGACTAATATAGCCGCCTTTGATTGACTGTCACTGATGAGAGTACCTGTGCTTTTTAGGGGGGCTACTCCTATTGAGTCTTGCTTTTTTGATTTGATATATTTCCAAAACGGTTGGTTGTTGTTATTTTCGAGACCTTTTAGAATGCTGGTGTTAATGTACTCCCATTCTGCTCTCCTTAGGTTTCTTTTGCATTCCCTTTGATGGTGTCTATAAATCTTCCAATTATTAGTTCTTTTGGCCTGCTGGTAAAGCGTTTTTTTCCTAATCATTTTCCGCTCTTTAGATTTCATCCATGGTAGTTTGTTTCGTGTTCTTGCACCTTTTGATGGTATGTAGGTGTCCATAGCATTGCGCAGGACCTCTTTAAATGTTCTCCAGAGGTCATTGACATTTGCATCATTTTGGTAGTCATGATCTAATTTATTCGATGTTTTGGTGATGTCTTCTTTTAGTTTATCCCATGATGCACGTGAATATTGATAGAACTTCCTCGCTGGTGAGGAATTGTAATGAGGTTTTGTTTGAATGTCCGTAACTACCATTTCGTGGTCTGATGTTCCTGGTACACTGTATGAGCTCTTGGCAAGGCTTGGGTTTGTAGTAAATATGAGGTCTAGCATGTTGTTTTCACGTGTTGGTTGGTCATGTATTTGTGTCAGATGTGCTCCTGTTGTTATGTTGATAAGTAGGTTTTGTGTTTCTTTATCCTGTCCACCCTGGTTTACAGTCATGTTGTTCCAGCAAATGTCAGGGCAGTCGAAATCCCCAGCCAATATTATTTTTTTGTGGTTTGAGTCCAAAATCTTTGTCAGTCCTTTATCGAGTTCCATTAAGTCTATGTTGTTTCTATGCGGCTGGTAACAGGAACCTATAATGTTTCCCCGGAGCTTGATTTTCACCCATTCTATTTCACAGTCCGTAACATATTCTGTCTTTTCAACTGATGTTATGGATTTTTTCACTAGAATGAATACACCTCCTCCTAGAGTTCCTCTGTCATTTCTGTATACTTTGATGTATCCAAGTGCAGCTTCCAGTTCTTGTTTTTTTTTTATCTATAATGCTTCGACAATTTACAGTGAGGATTCTGAGGTTATCTTTTTGAGGCAGGTGGAAGATTGAACTTTCATTACTACTTACAAATTTTGGTGTTCCTGATGATTTCACACTGCTGTTATTCTTATCCGTTTTGGGCTACTTGTTTTTAGTGGGCTAAATGCACTTGCAGATGATACACTCTCTAATGTTGTGTTTAGTTCCGATAGTGGTTCGTAGAAGTTAGTACTATTTAGTTCATAACTGTGAAAAGTGAATGAGGTTACATGCAGGCTGTCACATTTGTAGCAGTACCATTGGACGTTTGATCTCTGGAGCAGTCGTAGTCTTTACTGCAGAGTTCAATGCATAATCTGTGGTGCCAGATACAGCACTCGTCACAGTAGGTTCCTTGGTTTGACCATGTCACTGGATTTCACATAAACCGCATGGGTAGACCGGTGTTTGTTTTGGACCTGGGTTAGATTCTATATATCCAGCAAGTAACATTAATAGCATCAGAAGAGATCTATTCCTCATGCTTTTGAAAGGGGTTTAGTTATTGGTCGCCTTACCCATGATGACATACTGTTGTTAAGAAGATTGTGGAGCATATGGTTGTGTTCCTCATTCTGAACATTACTTTGTTAGTACATCCGTTCTTCCGTACAGGAACGTGCGTGCGTGCGTCCAAAGTAAATCGTGTTTCTTTGTTTAGCAAATATTGTGACATGATTTGATTTAATTGTGAAATAAGGAAAACTAGTTATTACAACTGTTTCAAGCAGTTCAACGTTACTTTACCGTTACCGTTTTTCTTTTTTGATATCAGGGTAACAATTTTGTATTAAACACAAGAAATCAAAACAAAAGTACACTTTACATTCCCGATGCGATTAAAAAAATTTCATCAGCGATGTTCGAGGCCAAAATTTTCTATAATGAAAAAAGTATTCTGGCACAGATCAGTGTTGAGCCCTTCTCTAGCCGACTACTTATATTAGTGTTTTGTAACCTCGGTTCCTTAAAAGTCGCTCTTCGTTCGATTATCGGCTATTATTTACTTTCATATCAAACTGCATTCTTGCGATTAAGCAAGTACAAACCTGACAATTAGAGGAGGGAACTGATCAACTCTTTTCCAGTTATTAATACGTAGAGGATTTGATAATTGTCTTTTATTTGTAGGTGCAAATGGTGTCCTATCAATGCAGCCCCCTTTCAACTTCTGAAGGAATCATACGAACTTTCAAGCAGGCTTCAGAATTTCAAAAATTACAGGACCTTCAGAAATTTGTGGCGGTTGTCGTTCTTGATGAGATTGGACTCGCAGAGGACTCACCTCATATGCCCCTAAAGGTCAATATTATAATTGCAACACCTCTTATAACCAATTTCCTTTCTGAATTTAGGGACTTGAATGCTATCGGGAAAAAAATAATTCCATTTATCCATTTTTTTGACTACAATCATCGGATTGTGGGCTATTCAAACCAGGTTTCGTCCATGTTCCGTGGTCCGTCCGTCCGTCCTTACACAATTGTGGTTTGTACTACAAAAGTACTTTCTCAAATTTCTTATGCTGGTTCCCCTAGGTCGTTAGTTATGTATAACTAATTTTCAAACTGTTCGGAAAACTCAAGGTGGCCGACAGGTGAAATTTTGAGACTGAACGAAAAACTAAGATGGCCGACAGGTTTCCTTTGTCCTTGCTTTATCCCACATGTCCTTTGTCTTTTGTTTGAATTTGAACTTTGTCTGTATACCTAATGTCACGAATACCATTTATTTATTAATCATTTATTTATATATTATTTTGTGTGGGTATGTAGCTGTTATTGTGTGTGTGAGTGTTTGTGTGTATTCTTTTTTTTTGTATCTGTATATAAGTACATGTTTGATAAGTGAATTAAAAAACCTATTAGCAACAACTCTCAAGCTTTAGTAGCTTTAACAAAGGATTGAAAATGAAGATGGCCATCTTGAATTATGTGAGTTAAGGTTTGTTTGCTTTATTCCTCAGAGAGGAACGGAGTACGATGGTCCAAAGCAGCCATCTCGGCCACTGCGTTATTATTTAAGAGTTGTCATAATAAAAGTAAATGTCATGACAATTACGCAAGTAAACAGCATTTTGCAGGACGAAACGTCTCTCGCAACTGCTTTTCTGAAGCAGTTGATTTGTTATGCATTCGCATGGCCCATATCAGGCACTCGGCAAACGTCTGTCTTCTGACATAAATAACATTCCATACTGACAACGCATGATATGCAACGCCGCACATGTGTGTTTTATTTGATTGGTCCTCAAGGCATATATTCATGTTGAACTTCCTCCTTAATAAAACCACTTTAAAACATGGTATGGTCCGGTTTGATCTCGTGTGGTCAAAATGTTTTGTTTTCGACATTCAGAGGCCAAAACGGTTGATGTTTTTTTCCCTTTGTTTTGTTTCATCTGTATCGTTCGACATTGTATCGATCAGAAAATGTAAATGCGTCAATATATAATTCAATTAGATTATTGGAAAGGGGTTATTTCGATTATTTTGACATCCAAATATGAATCTTTGAAGCCAATGTCGGAATTAGTCACTGAAACGTATGAAGAACTTCAATACCTTGAGGAAAAAAGGGGTAACAATACCATGCAAAATTCATTGTTGATACAACCGACCACACCAATTAATCCTGACACATTCAACTTCAATTCACCAAAGTACAACAATGCAATAACAAGTTTTGGTGACTTGAAATATATGCTCTAGATACAAAAAACAACAATATTGTTAGACTTAACTTCCCCTAGCGGGTTGTATGCTTGGGGTATGTCGAAAAGGAGTACGAAAGATGGAAAAGAAAAGGTATTGTTCCAAAGAGCAAAGTTGCGATAGGGGCAGCAAATCAATATTGGTTTCTTTAATGTGTTCCAAGTAGAAGACACTGAAGAAAACACCTGATTCTGTATGGGGTCCCTCATCAGTCGGCTTTCAATTACGACATCAGGGGGAAATAGCCTAGTGACTTAACGAACCTGAATGGGTCCATTGGGGTTGTCAAGATTAAAGCAATCTAGTTTGTAGATTAGGCTTGAATGGATTTAGATCATAAATGCCTTCTTGCCCTATTTTCACGAGGGCAAAACGTGGAAGGAAATTGTACAAGAGGTTAATTGTAATGATAAGTTGTATGGATGTCACTGATACAGTTTGAGGGTCGATTACTTCCTCCTTTCTAAAAATATTAAATACAGCGAATACCAACTGGCTGAGACAGACGCTACATAGCACACGTTTAGTTCACAGGGATCACTGTAGCTATTATGGTATACATTAAATTACTGAATACAACTGGCCCCTTCCAGCAAGGAAATGGCTGTTTATCTAGTTCCGTCCCACAAACAACTTATGACGTAAAGCTAAACATTTCATTGTTTTATTATGTAGACTAAATATTTATATACAAATGAAACATACAGTGATTAATTTCCCTTATACTATTTGTTATATAGAGTGATGATATATGCTACTTAAGATATATATTATGCATCATTTTTTTCTTATCAATTGTTTCATCTCTGTCTTTGTCATGTCAATATAAGGATAGAACGTACATATGTATATATGCCTAGCTTGCTATTCTATCCTATTGTTAACTCAATAACATATAATGAAATGAAGTCTAGATAGTAAGTTTTTTCCCGGTTATGTTATATTCCTGTTTGTGAACGTGTATTTTTAATGTTGTTTGGCCCTAAATTATTTATGTACCATAAAACGATACAAAACCAAAAAACAAGCCTTTCCTAACGATCCCATACCTACCGTGTTACATACGCGTTATCGGTATAGATTGTTAATTATGTCAAAAGCCAGGCGTTTGCCGAAATGGCTGATATGGGTCATGCAATTGCTTGGTAATATTCATCTGCTTTACTAAAGCAAATGCAAGAGACATTTTGTACCGACAATGTTTACTGAAGTAGAGGTAGTTGCAATGATAATTACATGGAAACTGTAACGTTATGGCGCTGAAAATGCATGCGGGTATTTTATTCCTTGACGTCGTCACAAGGATATACAGCGTTGCATCCTTGCGAATGTTGATCAAACTTATTATATTGTTTCAAAATTGTGAACTAGAAAGTATATCTCATTATTATCCAATGAATGAAACACCAGAAATATCGCACCCCATTTTCTGTCCATCAATTCGAAATGGCGGACAATGGATGTAGACGGTTGTCAGTGGAAGCGAAATTAAAGATTATGTCCATGAGAAGCAAAACTGACGGTCAGATAACAAAAATCCTCGATATTTCAATACACGTTTCTTCTTATGTACTAAGGGTACTTTCGTTTCGTTTTTAGTGTTTTTTATGTGTTTTTTTTTTAAAACCCGTTCTTGTTACCACAAACGAATCGTCCATTTGTAAGCGTAGAAAAGCGTAGGAACGCTCGAAAGAGTTTCATTAAAATGCCATGCATTGGAAATGTACTAGAATACTCAATGTCTTGCTATGGTTATTGCTGTATAAGTTTCATCAAAATTTTCTCATTTATCAATAGATAAAGAGGTGTTTGCTTGTTGCGAAGTAGCAGGGTACAGTAAGATTTGTAATCATTTACCACATTCGAGGGAACTTGTATCGTTTGCAGTGGCCTGTTGCTATGAATGTATGCTTATTTTTTTACCAGGCATTACATCCGCTGCTAGAAGACGGAACAAATGAGGATCTGTTGCCACATGAGTCGAATGCCTATAAGAAGGTATGTTATCGATTTGAGTTTAAACTGAAATATATTCTACTTCATTTTCGTATGATTCTTATTTGCATTCATGCGGTTTTACGTTTGCGATATCAGTTGAACTATGGATGAAAAAGTTTTTGGGTACTCCTTGAGGATGTTTCATCCGAAGAAGTCAAGAACCAAATGATGAGAGTGAAGATAGATGTTTGTTTTGTTTTTTACACAAGTAATTGAGTTCCCTTTTTTTTTTTTATTTCATTTCGGTCTACAAGAAGCTTTAATCGCATACGTAGAGTTGGAACAATCCAATCGTTTTGATTATATAAGTTGGGACGGCTTGTTCATTGCAACCAAGTAAGGTAGCACTCGCCAGTAAGCCAAAATAGCGTCCCGATTTCCACGATTAAATTTTCGTCATTATACAACCGGGTTTTCATTTAAAAAAGGTCAAATATGTACAGATTTCAAAACAAGAACTAGAATTTCGTTCTTATTGCATACCTTATTGCAATCTTACTAAGCTGATAAATGGTCAATTCAAGCTGTGTGATAAAAATGTATGTATCAAACGGGTGTGTGATACCGACCGGTCTACTTTTCAGGGAATCCCCTTTCTTTCTTATTTATTCATATTTTTGTTCAAGTGTGGCATCTTGTTTCACTCGTTTTTATTATGCTGAACACAGAAATATATAACTTTATTGGGTCCTTTTCACTTTTTATTTCTTTAAATGAACATGGATAGCTGATAGGGAAAGCAACATGCCAGACATAAACAGGACCATTACTAACAGATTGCCGCCTATGTAGTCGTTTCCGCCTGAAAACCCCATCCGGATCTAGAATTTTTAATAGCTGATACACCGTGTCGCGGGGAAAAGTAAAACCAGCCTGTACTCATTTGTTATGCATCCATCTAAAACCATGAAGTTGTCCAGAATTCTGCAGTTCATTAAACATGAATACCGCAATATCACATACAGCCGAATAATGTTTCCTTCTCGTTAAATGTAATCGTTTCAATATTCTCTTTAATGTCGACTTACTTATGATGATTTTATTTGCTATTGCTCAAAGACTTAAAATTTTAGCTTTAGATCAGCCAAGTTCAATTTATTTCGCGAAAAATTTGCGTTATTACGCAATGGTTTCGCAATATTTTGCGAACGCTTCGCGTTATTCTGCACTAGTTTTTCGTTATTTAGCGATAATTTCCCGTTATTACGCGTTAGTTTCGCGTTATTACGCGTTAATTTCGCGATAGTTTCGCGTTATTACGATTCGTTTTGCGTTATTTTGAGAAAATTTGGCAGCGTTACGCGTAGGTTCGCATTATTAAGCGAAAATTTTTAGTATGTCGTTTCATCCATTTCTAGAAAGTAAATATATATAGCAACTTAAGCGTTTTTTTTATTTTAGTTATCATGTAAACTTAACTACCCATCCGACCGGGTTAAATTCAATCAGTTACCCGTAATCTTTATCCCTAATATCATGTTCTTTCTGTTTCTCTTCATAGTATCTTATGTACATATTAAGGCTATCACTGCGAAGTTTTACATGTTTTATCAGCAAAGCGTGTTATATATGATGAAATGTCTATGTATTTGTGCATGTTTATTGATATGAATAAAATATGGTTTAAACTAAGAGTTTTGATAATTTCGCGGTTTTTTCTTTGTGTAGGTCAGCTTTCTGGGAATTTCAAACTGGGCCCTTGATCCAGCGAAAATGAATAGAGGAATTCTTGTCCAGAGAAACATCCCGTCTGTTGAAGAATTAATAGAGAGCGCTAGGTCAGCTAAGTATATGTTTTTTATATATTAGCTACCTACATTGATCATATAGTGATTATTATATTTATAAACGGCATGCTGAGAATTAATTATTTATTTATTTATTTTAAAAAACCGAAGTGAAACAAACTAAGTTTAACTAGGGGCAAAATATGAATTATGAAACATTTACACTGAAACCCTTGGAAAAGTAGCCGAAGTCACATTCTTCATATTATTAACTTAAGAATTGGAGTAATGAAATCGAATCCGCAAACACACTAATGAGTATATTAAAAAACACCAATAAACACTGAATTAATTCACTTGCATTATCTATATATTGACGATATTCTTTTGAAGTCATTATTGTTATGAATTAAGTGTCAGCAAATCAGAACAAATTCCAGTATAAGCAATATGTTTCTATTAAGAAATTATTAGATCTTGTTTTGACAACATTCTTGAGATGCATAAAATGTTTTCGACAAAAAATTATATCTTCCGAAACGCTTGCCAGAAACATAAATGTACATGGACATAGAGAAATATGAAGGAACGTGTGTTACAAACACTCATAATTTGGTTACGTTTTATCCTTAGTTTAACATGCACCGGTTCTCATTTAGTAAACGGGGATGTGATGCTATTAATCATATATGGTATATAGAGATAATGATTAAGATTATTACATAATGATTGACATGTTATAAAGGTAAGTTTGTAAGTTGTTGATATATTACCCTCTCAGGAGTTTTGTTCACAATTCTTTCACAACATGTGTCGTATCGTGTTTATCTTGTGTTTGATACTTATAAATTTCATTCATTTGTTTACATACAGGGGCATTTGTGAAACCGATAAATCAGTCCAACAAAGAGTAGCACCATATCTATCCCAGGTGGCAGGAGCTTTCAGCAACATATCAACCGGCAGATTGACAAAAAGAGAGTTCTTCGGTCTGCGAGACTTTTACGGGTAATACATTGATTGTTGATATGGTTTTACCTGACATTACCAAGTTAGAGTTATAACTATCTTTCACTTGTTTTGTTGTCATTAATCGGTCAACAAAGCAAATAGATATTGGGAATAAATGGAACACATAGTAAGACGCATACATTGTTTTGTCCGTGTATGTGGCGCTCGTGATATCACACATGGATAATATGACTCTTCTGTAACGGAAGGTTTTTAAACTATAAACAATAATGATCGAACAAGATGTCATAATCTTAAAAAAGATGAATATCTAATTCTTAACTACAGAAAGTACTCCTATAAAGAAAGATTGGTTAACTATTGGAATTCCGTGCCAAATCACGTCGTCAAAACACAAACAATAAAAGCGTTTGACGCAGGGCTAGATAAGCACAGCAGAAAGCAGATTGTTATACAATCACGAACTTGACTATAATGAACATTCACTGTCGGGGCGTCAGTATAGATCTGAGAAAACATCTGATCTGGATGTATAAACATTTGCCTGCGACCAGTACTTTTATGTTATTATTATCATTTTCTAGCCAAAGTAAACGAAGCACTTGCTGCTTCATATTACCATGATTCAAACGAAACACAACCTCATCTTTGTTGCTTGATTGTTATGTTGCTCTAAAAACAGCTGAACAAACTTTCTTTCTACAAACATATTCTTGTGTTCTTCCCAATCTTCTATTAAGACTGCTGCCAGTTGATGCAAGTTCTTAACTGAACGATATAACTCAGATTCGACATCTTTCGAATTATTGGACATTTTATAAAGAAATACTTTATTTGAGTCAAAAATAGAAATAAGATTTTTGTTTCGGAAAAGGTTCATAGAAATGATTTAAATCTCAAAATTGTGGCTTCAATAAGAATTAATTTTATAAAGCCAGACACGTTTGCATGTTTTTATTTCAATATTCAAAATCATTAGTTTCATGTTTAAATTCGTGCAATAAATGACGTTTTTTTACTGCACTTGAGCATTTCAGGTAAACAGCATTCGAAATCATTATGTATTATTTAGTTGAGTAAAACAGAAAAAAATGTACCACTGTGTCAATCCACTCACTATCATAACGGATACAGCATTTCCTATTGTTTGTTTCAGATTGATCAAGATGATGTACGCTTTCATTTCAACTTCAAACAATCCACTCACAACCTTTGAACTGAGGCATTCAATTTTGAGAAATTTCGGTGGACTCGACGAAGTGAAACCGTTGGAGATATTCAGTTCCCATCTACAGTTTCCAAACACAAAGGTACATTGGAAAAAAACCTGTCTATTGTAATTACGTGAATTTCGGATTCTTATATGTGGAATTATCTAACTTTCTTTGATTAATAGACCCTCATATTTCAGTGGTATCTCTTTTACTAATACTGTCCGATGATAAGCCTAAAATTTTAGAAGGAAGACGTATCTTGACATTGATTCATCTATTCATTTTGATCCTTTTTGATGTATTACATCTTATCGATATATATTGAAAACATGTTCAATTTTACAAAATAGCTCTCATTATACTTTGCAAAGGTACAGTTCAATAAAAGATCCTGCGCAGGCATTCATGAAACCTTTTTCATGTTCAAACATTAATTCTGTATTCCAACTGTTAGCTTTCTTCGTAGAGCAAGACATTGGTCTTCATCTGAAACTCGGAGACCAAATATTAGAACGCTTTCATGAATAGGCAAATGTTTGTCATGAAACCAATTATCAGGTGGGAGAAAAATTGTTTAAAACTTTGTATATTAGTGTCTAGTAAATTTTCATACACATAAATATTTTGTGGTCATCCATTTCCAGCCACGTAGCTCTGACCCTGACTGTTCTCAAATGGGACTGATCAAGGCAGCCCTAACGTTCAAAGAGGCTGTGGATGGGTACGTAAATCAGTTGCAACATCCAAAAGTTACTTGCGATGCTGACGTCTATGAGTTCACTGTAAAAACGTCTGATATATTAGGTAGTCTATGATGCATATTTCTTGCTTTTTAAGCTCACAAGAGCCAAATTAGCTATTTCAATCCGTTCTTGTTCGTGTTCTTTCTATCAATATCTTTCACACAAGAACCACGACGCCAATTGTAACCAAAGTTGGTAGAATAATTCCTCAAGGTGATGACAATTCTGATTATTGGAATCGAAGGGGCTGGTCCCCTCGGTTAATGCTGACCAATAAGGGGCAAAGAAATGTTCTTGTAACTTACAAGGGACGGGACCAACAGGGGACGCTGTAAAATACGCTGTGCAATATGTAAATGTTTTAACACGTAAATGTGTTCTTTTTAGGAAACCAAAATATCTAGAGCGGCGGTATTTATCAAGTGACTAGCTGGTGTTTGAGTTCAAATTAGGAAATTTAGTAAATCAATGCAGATTTCTTTTTAATTCACAATATGGTCATTTCGTTTATTTAGTTCTCATCTGTTGCACAGGGTTGGGAAAATGTATTTATAAATTCCTTTCCAATGATACAAATAAACAATTCTGAATACAACAGATCACTTAATATTTTCCTTTTTAGTCTTGAAAATCGGTACCTTTTGCTGCTGACTGAGAACTACAGCTTCCTGTCAATGTTACAGCACCAAATACTTACAGTGAAAAATCTTCGCTTGACCACATTGTTTGGAAGCAGCTTCCCTAAGGACCAGGAATACACACAAGTATATATATATTTGTTTTGAATATTTCATTACATAAACATATTTGATGTAGTAACTTAAAAAGGAAGGGAAAAAGTTGATGGATATATCTTCAACTCATGGTATTTGTATAATATATGGTCGTAGTAAGAAAATAAAACATTGTTTTAATTGTAGATTTGCCGAAACATCAACCGTATCAAATTGTGTATGGAGAGTGGACAGGCTGTACTCCTTTTGAATTTGGAAAACTTGTATGAAAGTCTGTATGACGTCCTTAACCAGGTTTGTGATTTGTTTTCAAGGTGGGGTCCACTCCAATGCTAAAAAATCGCAAATGGTCGGCCCACGCAGCGATGTCTTGTTTCATATTTTGCAACAACGTTGCCGGACTGTATTGGAAATGATGGTCTCAACTGCCTATGGTCTGATTAGGTCAAATTGGAGCTCCTTGTAGTACTATGTCTCAGATCATGAAGTCATACTTACTCAAGAGCCTGGCAAATCACGATTTAAATCTTAAGCTGATGTTTTCCCATGTAACGCTGTTGCTCAGGTGAAGTTGATCATTTCGACACCAAATATGAATTGCTTACTAGAATCTGTGATACCAGTACTGGGTGCGTTGTTAAACTGGAGTCCAAAATGAGCTCAAATGAGTAGTGGCCTAACATCACCTTCCTCCTGTTATGTTTCATAGTTGCAGTCAACCAATTTGTATTGCTGATAAGTTATGCTTTATACATATTCTTTGTATGGATTAAATGTTTCAAAATTCTGAAACCGATAAAATGTATTCCAAACGCTTTAATTGAAGTGACCAATATTTTTGACATTTGCCATTCAACAACCTGCATGTAAAGTATCGTCAAATTCATCAGGTAATGTTCTTGTAGGAATATTTACACCATACGCAGTCACTAACAGATTCACACACATGTCTAAAATAGGTGTGTTCCAACTTATGATGTTCTAATAGGTCATATTATACCTAGCTGTTCAGTTTGATGTGTTACTTGTACTTCATGAAATACCTCATCTGGTGTGAAATTGAGACATACCAACCTGACACGCCAGAACCTTTTTTAAAGTATATTTGGAGGCTTGTCTCCTATTCATTTGCTTTATGACACCCTTGATGACATTGTCATTTTTGTCACAGTGTCTGAGTTTAACCGTAGAGTAAGTACAATATGAGCAGAGTCATTAATAGAACAAGTTGCAAAGTTAGGCTCAAAGATTTGAATAATAATTGGTGCAAGATAAGATAATATTCTTCAGCTACAGTGTGGTTGGCTATGAAGCTGGTTGGTTACATCTAATAAAACCTTACATCTGAAGTTGACTATGAGATATGTGTGAATAGCCACTCAGCAGACGTATTATGTTAAAAGTGGATTAAAATACAGCTACAGGCAATTTATCAGTACTTAATTCAAAAGAACCCATTGAAAAATTTAAACATATGGCCCCTGTTACTTAGAAAGTCGAATAAGGACATTACATTAAACAGACTTTATCTTTTAATCCCAGCATGCTTCTGGCCAAATATCACTCCCTAGACCCTTTGGTTATTCAGAAATTGTTGAAATATATTTTAACATATTTGACCCATGTGACCTTGAAAATGCGCAAAGGTCATTTACTTTGAACAAAGTTTGTAACCCTTCATCCCAGCATGCTACTAACCAAATACCATCACCCTAGGCCTGTTGGTTATAAAGAAGAAGTTGTTTTAATGTTTTAAACATATTTGACCCCTGTAGCATACGTTATAAGCAATAACATTTGGTGGACTGACACTGTAAAGCATAACACGAAGAATTCGAAGTTATGTTACGTGATCCTTTTAGCTCATTTTGGACTCCAGTTTTGACAAAGAACACAGTACTGGTATTCCAGATTCTAGTTTGTAAGTAGATATTTGGTATCACAATGATCAACAACACCTTCGCAGCAGCATTACAAGGGAAAGTATTAGCTTTAGATTGAAATAGTGGTTATTCAGGCTCTTGAGATAGTATAACTTCATGTCCTGAGCAGGAGCACGTTTTGATATCATTGAACTTTTTCTTAAGTTTGTCTGAAGAACTCCTTCATACATTCTCGCAGATATTAAATTGAAATTTGGTACACATCATCGGTAGTCTACTTTGTTATGCGCTTGAGATGCTTTGGATTTCAACTAATTCTATAGGAGTTGTTGTCATTTCAACCAAATGACAACAAGAGATAAAATAGCAATATTCATATAATAGGATTTGTATGTAAGAAGTGTAAATATAACTTGTTTATTGATAGATAACAATGTTTGCATGTTTTCGCTTGGACTTGATAGTTTATAATGAATAATGAAAGTTTTGAAGTTTTATCTATCAATTTTAATAATGATATTTGCATTATCAATTTTATAGTATTATGTTCTCTATGGAGGCGAGAGATACGTGGATCTGGGACTAGGAACCAACAGAATGAAGTGTAAAGTTCATCCAAACTTCAGGTACAGATGTGCTTTCTAAAAACATGCCGGATTGAGATGGGATTGTTTTGGCATTGTCACTACTGAAGAAAGAAGTGTTGTGACTCTGAATGAGAGAGTGTAGTGCCCGGTCACATGCACCTGGAGTGTTTGAAATCATACTTGTTTTCAAATATGTCTTCTCAAAAAAGGATAATATTGTAGCCCTGGTACAAAATAATAATCATTTCAGAATTTACCAGTCCAAGGTTGTAAATTCTTCATAAGCTAGTCGGGGACATGTTGAACATTGTTTTCAGAACTTAAGTCATTTCGACTTTCATGCCTGTTGGATGATATAGGCATACATGTAATATGTATTAATCGTATGTTTTTCATACAAATGTGACCAGATTCAGACACGCTTGATCAATCACAAACAATGAACATAACTTAAAACTCGTTATTGATAAATTTGTTAGATGGGAATTTAAGTACAAAATTAAGATATGATCAAAGTGCAATTCTGTTTGGCGCGTTAAGTTGGCGACTGTTAAATCATATGAACACCTAATCACCGTTTTTCAGACTCATTGTTGTTGCTGAGAAGCAGGTTGTTTACGAAACTTTCCCTGTCCCACTGATCAACCGCCTTGAAAAACACCTGCTACGAGCTGATATGTTGCTGACAGAGGAACAAAGCAATCTTTCAAAGGAACTCGACGATTGGATGGTGACGTGTACAACAAATGGGTAAGTTTCTATTGTTTTGTGTTGAATTTACGAATAAACGTTTCACAATAAATACACATAGCCCCTTAAAACATTGCAAAAGCTATGCAAAATTAAAATAGTTCAGCGTAAATACAGGGTAATTCTTGAAGTAATGGAAAAGGAACATGAAAACCACTAAATGCATTTAAATATTAGTACATCATTTCAGTATGGGTTATGGATAAAACATGTTACTATTATTACTTGTTTTTGAAAGGAAATTTACTAGAGTTGTCTCATTCTTTCTGTAGACGCTTATGGAAGTATTGCTTCCTCCATATTCCAAGATCGCAAAAGATAAACTCGTAAACTTATTTATTTTTGATTCTGAGTCAAAATCGCGATTCTTAAACATTTAGATTCTGACGACACAATTTAAAAAATGCTTAAATGTTTTATACATACCATAACATGTAGAAGTGTACTTACTGGGGGTTCATCTTGTCAAAAATTACCAAACACATCCAAAAGTTAACTGTATATTCACTGGTCCGTAAGACCCTTAAACCAACAGTAAATAAAAGCCTATCTTACCTAAAGCATTTACATAACATGAACTAGTCCAACTTTCGATCATGCCGATAACCAAACAGGGTTAACGCACCTGGCAATGTTAACGACATTCCGCTTCACTATAAAAGCATTATTAATCATAAATACTGACTAACCACTACAAGTAAAATACACACATCGGCATAACGCTTACATAAGGCGTAGGCTTACACATATACACAAGATATAATCAAATCTGTATGTACAACAAATACACTAGTGATTTACACTACCGACACATATTAAATAATTTACATGAACGTACATGAGGCCAAAAAGGGCTCTCAGAGAAACGTACAAAACCTACCTCTTCATAGGTAAGAGGGTCTTTCCATTGCCGGACACCCGCACAATAACGATATACAAAATGTATATTGTGGACACTACTTGTGGACACTACAAGTAAGAATTATAAAAGAATTACAATAAAAGAGAAATGACAAAAGTCCTTGTTCACATACAAAATGGCGCGAAATTCAAAATACCAATTAATTGAACGAGCCAATTATTTTACAATATACAAAAAGGTATACGATATACGCGACATTACACGTCTCCGTACACAGTACATTACAAAATAGTCACAATTAGCGTGGTTTACGATCATCAAGCTCAGTTGCAATGTATACAGGTACAGTACGTCAGCTCAAGTAGCGGACACATATAGGAGTGAAACAGCACTCGCGCGCAATACACGTTGACCGCTCACTGATCACTAGCTAAACTTACAGTTGTGGGATCGCACAACGTTACTCGATGTTCGGTATGCGAACGATGTGTGCACGGTGTGTGAACGATGTGTGCAAGAAGTGCGAACGATAAAAAATTGGACGATCATTGTTTGCGCACATTTGTGCGGACGATCGACGAACGTTGGGCGATAACAATCGTGGTTGGTGTAAATTGAGGAATAGCGGTTTCGTGTATAACATATAAACTCGATTTTTTTAGTTTGTTTCTATATTCTAGCTTCATCTATATGCTTAACTTTCTGTCTATACTTTCTTAAATTTAGAAATGGTATTTTCGGTGTTTTTTAAACGACCTTAATCGACACATGTAAAATTATAACACAGTCTCGGCAACACAGGTAAACATAACCACTTTGTACCTGGACCGTAGTTTTCCCCCGCCTGGGGCACTAACTCGCCAAGATGTGAAAACCAGGTGAAGGGGAGCTATAGACCAAACCGGATGCAAATAACAAATACTAAATATGTGTTTTCATAACGGTCATACGGTATCACATAGCAGCTCTATGTGTCAGGCACAGGCCAGGTAAAACTCCGGTCACTCATCAAATTGTTATTTACTTGTTCTGTTACCTAGCTAGGAGCCAAATACATTCTTTACAGACTAATGGTCACTGTAATGCTGTGTTACACGCATTGTAAAATTGAACAATATCTTAATTATTGTGATGAGAAATTACAGCTATATATACAGTGTACGTTATTGCATACGAGCCTTCCGTATATTTTTCAACCCGTAATATTGAACAACAAATTGTACCAAATCGCACAGTTGTGCGGAGAGAAGCGCACAACGGGGCGAACGATTGTTAAATCGCCCAGATGTGCGCACCATGTGTGAACGATGCCCGGACGGTGTGTGAACGATGTATGCACGGTGTGCGCATTGTATTTTTGATGCGTTGTGCGGTCACACAACTGTATAAAAATAGCTAACTTTCGAGCCCAGTCAAACAGGTTTACAATCAATATTAAAATATGTATTATTTACATGTACGTATCACAGGCACTTGCAAATACAGACTTTGCACATACATGTAAAGATTAAACGCTAGATATAATACATTATATCTATACATGTCATTAAATGATGACACTGCTACATGATCGTAGCCTATCTCTGACATGTACGTCCAATGAACAATGTTAATGTTTATATATATTTAAGTTCACACAGGGATTTGACATGTGCAGATGTGTTCATCGGATACAGTTCGGACATGGCGCCTTTGACTATTCTCAAAATTTGGGGAGACGACATGCAAAACAAGCAGAAGAGCTCTGACCAAAAGGTAAAGTTTATAAGATACTAATGTCGTATGTAAATATCCTAGAGCAAAGAGCGATAGGTTAGTCAAAATGTTTATCACGATATAGTTTATGCATTAGCTAAAAAGTCCGTGTTAGTCATTTATTGATGTTCGTACCAATCTGTATGCTAAACTATGTTTGTCCAACAGATTTTGGAGACATGCAAAGAAACTGTGATGAAGACAAGTACGCCTGATGGCATTCTGCGTTTGGGACAATCAGCTTCTAGTTCAAAAGAAACTAACTACCAGGATTTATATTTCAATGGAATGCACGATAGTGTTGTCGGTTTGCTGGAATCTTTCAATGTCAAGGAAATCACGTCAGACTTGTTCATACAGGTTGGTAAATACGATTTATCTCTTCAGTTCAAACTGTTGCGGTATAATAATCTGCTACAGATATTTGATATATTTGTGTGTGTTATAATAACTTATTAGGTATGTGATCCTTAATGAGCATGATAATTGATTATTCCACGACAATATGTGTACAACACGAAACTGAAACACGAAATGCAAATAAATAGTAACGTATCTTTGTGTTCGATTTACGATTAACGTCGATATACATCTCGAGTTGTAAGCCGTTTGCCGAATTATAGTTTCATTCAAATAAACTTCGGATATTTAAAACTGTCGTTAACATCATGTAGACTCGTCATTTCCCTATTACAGTGAACATTGTACCTATGTACTACCTCTCAACTATCACACTTTGATCTTCTTGCGTTATATTGCTTTATTGCTATAGCATTAAACATTAAGTCCTGTTCCCTAAACCTATCGTTTTGTCAATTTACGCCTAGCCATTTGCTGGTTAGAGGTGTAGTTTGATTAAAAACCATTCATGCTATTTGATAACTATCAAGAGGCACCGATTACCTCTCACACACGTTGATTATGCATATTTTTTTTCGTTCCTTTGATAAACACCTCTTTTATATCATATTGAGACCGCTTTCAAACGTTTCAGGTCACTACGTATTCCCAGCTGTTGCCTGCCACAGCAAAGGACGACATCTGTGTGCTATTCAAACTACGTCCTTTTCAAGTAGAGATTTTAAATGTCAAAGCATTTGATACAGACCAAGAATTCTGCAAGAAAATTCGGTATTATATTCCTTCTATCCTATCAAACGTGATTGGATTCACATTCTCTTAAAAAGTCAAGTTATTCGAGAAAACTTAAAGATAACATCAAAATTGGCATAAAAGCATCTTAAGTGTCTCGGCCGGAATGATTTTGTCGTATTATCAGAATGACTTTGTCGTCCTACTGGAATTATTTTGACGTACAACTGGACTATTTTGTCGTTCTACCGGCATGTTTTCTCGTTGCATCGCTGATGAATTAATAACACGTCAGAATGAATATGAAGTCATTGAACAAATGACAGTTGCCGGCAAAACGTTAATATTTTCAAAACAAAAATCACTTCACTCTTGTTATAAATGTATGACATTAATAACTCCCTCGGGCGTATACTATCTTCTACACTAATTATTAAGAGTTTCAAAAAGATTATATTATAGAAACGTGTTAATGTTTAGCATGCAACATTTCACTTACATAGTATAAAACCTGGAAAAATACGCCATTCGTACATTCATCTGTTTTAAATTTCTAGCTTTTCACACTTAAAATCAGGCAAAAGCAGGACCACTACGTTTTTCGAACTAATAGACAATCATACGTTTCAATTGTTTTCTGAATATGAATTTATGTTTTTAATGAATTTATTCAAACGAGTAATGTTTTTCATGAAACATTCACACAATTAAGAGAAAATAGAATTATACACTTGAAAGAATAAATCGGAGTTTCTGTAAGAGGAAATGAATCAAATACAACGGAATATCCAATGACATATTAATGTTCGATAGTACACCATTTAAATTACTAATTCTAGGGGTTTTGTTTCGGCACTTGAGTTTGAACCGGAAACACAACAAAAGGTTCTTATCCTTCAATGCGATTCTGGAGATCAAAATTCTAATCTGATTGCCTGCGCACGTCACAGACTTCAAGATGTCATTCACGACATGGGCAGTAAAAAGGAGTTCACCCTTTGTGTCATCCTTGTTATTCAGCTGCCCAATATAAAAGGAAGCTGTTTCACAGGATTTCAGGTAATCTGTATCAAATATTAATAAGACAAACATAGATTAGTATTTTAAACAACTTATATAAATGCAGATGACAATAAGAAAAGATTAGAATGGCAGACATGCAACATATATACTATTACATTAAGCAATATTGCTTCACCAACAAAGATAAACGCTATTCCTACACAATTTATAATACACATCGCTTATATATTCCAGAGTGGTCAATGGATGTCTGTACACATAGACGATATCAACATGGAAACTAAAAAAAGGGACCTTCGAGGAATATGCCAAATGACCTATGTAGAACTCTTACAGAAGTCAATTGTTTCAGGGCAGCAACAAACAGCTATCGATATATCTCAACTCCTCAAAAACTGTCTATGTCTGTCCCTTGCAAAAGTTAAAGACCCTGATCAGGAGAGGTCTAACCGTGGCTTGAAACGAATCAGTTATGTGATGGACCTCATTCAGCTGAAACCAAATTCAGAGAACAACCAAGGTAAGCAAAACATATAAACAAAACAAAAAATGTTTTTTTCTGATATTTATAAACGACATTGTTCCTCGTGAATGAATAATATATTTGACTTTAGATGAAGACAGTTGTGGGATATTGCTTTTATAGTGTATCCTCCTTGCTTTGTGATATATTCAAAGTATTAAAAAAAAGCAAAAAGAGGGGCACGTATTTCTATAAAAGCTCATATTTCTTACAAAACATTCTGTATAAACATGGACCAAATCAATGACAAAAACTAAGTATGACATCCTTATACAATAATTGTGTCATAACTAAATAATGACATCCTTTTAAAATATTTTTTGTCAGAATTAGATAATGCCATCCTTTTACAACAATTGTGTCAGAACTAAATAACGACATTCTTTTACAATCATTGTGATATTCATTTAAGCTCAAGACTTTACTAGACAAATGTTGTTATCTAAAGGATATTGTACAGTATATTAAACTGGGTTACAGTTATCTGTGATAGCCAAATTACTTGTAGAGTATGATCATGGTTCATAATATACAGACTTTACTTGTGATAGGTATGAACCTAACCTGTTTTCCTACTTTTTAAGTTCATGTAATTGCACGATTGGTTTCCCCTGCCGTTTCTGTATCTATTAGGAAAGTTCATGTGTGCAACCGTTTGTGTCAAACTATCATCTTTCGAAATACAAGGGGGTAGGCTCTGCTGGTGGATTGGGCTGTAACCGTGCTAGGTACAATAATTTCTTTTGGAAATTCGAATGGTAAAAATATAAACTGTTTCGTAATTCATTATTAGTCTAAAATTAACCACATCATCTTTTGTTTTTAACATTTATTTAATTGATGTTATCATGCTTCTCCTCTTCAGTTTTAAGAGTAGTTTATATCAATCTAGTTTTCCACCGTTTTTGTCCTTGGCCTAACGTATATTTACCAAATTGTATTTGTATAGGCCATCACAGAATTGTAGGAGCCAGTAAATAAGTATTTGTCGTGCGTCGTTCGCCATAATTCATCGGTTAAGTTCTTTCGAACATAAAGTCTACTGATTCTGTTATGATGAAACTTAATTGGAATACATAGTAATCTGTCACTTTCCTTACAAATCCTTCTGATTGTCACATTACGTTTGTGGCCAATGCATGTAATTTCAACGTCAAATGGAAATCTAATTCATTCTTATTCATCATTGTGTTAAAATTGTCAGAGCACAGTCCTGACATTATATGAAATTTCAATGGCTGATATCAATTCTGATTGTTTTTGCGTACTGTAACATCCAATGATCTGTCAAATTGACTATGAAAACAAAAAACTGTACGGGAGATATTAATTTAGTTATCGGGGTATACTTTTTTTCTATTCACATGGAAAATGATCCAAACAACGCTTTGTAAGCAGAACATTAAACGTATCGTACTGAGACATTTTTTTAGTATGCTATTGTTTTTACAAACGTAAGTATTCTATATTTATTTTTTTACTGTTAACGTCATCTCAAAATAAATTCGATTTTGTGTGATTTATCCCTACTCCATTTGTAGCCCCACAAATCAATTTTATATCAAATATCTGTATTCGCAAAGGTTTCATGGAGTGTAACATGATATTATGGTACCGATTAGGTAAAAGAGAATCCAACACTGAACACGACCCAAAAATTAAACCGTCTTTCAGGCACACGTAAAATGCTTTGAAAATCATTGTACAAATGATCGATGATGCTGAGCGATTGTTGGTATGATGGTACTTACTACCCACAAACAATGAAATATTTTGAATCATAATTTTGTATTTCAAAAATAGATGACACTGTTCATCTTTTGTTACCATTTGCTTTGGCAATCAAACTCATGTTAACTTTAAGGCATATTATAGACTCTGGAGACTTTTGTCGAGACATATAGAGTATTTAATTATTTCACCTTCAGGTGTAGTGATCAAAACGTTCATCTTAAACATAATTCAATAACAATCCTTGTAGCTTTGCCTTGAAATGTTAATTATTATATATTTATGAATTATTTTCCTATAGGCAGCGTAACATTTGTTGATGGTATAGTGAATATCATTCTGAGCTTACAAAAACAAAAGGATGAACGGATGGCTAAAGTATCCGGACAAGCTCCTAAGATTGCGCGGGAGGCTTGTAACTCTGACAGTGTACGTCGAGCAGGCACTTTCAGGTAACTGACTCATTCAAAATCTAATTTAGGAATAAACTTCCAGTATGATGCCATATTACAGTTTTACGAAAGCATCATTATATTTCTAAGTTCGAGTAAAACGTTAACCTGTTGTATCTCAATACAGTGTATCGTGAAAAGCAACTAACGTGTACCCTCCTGCGTATTTCTCAAATATGTTTTTTTGTATGAAAAGAGCATCTATCATTTATTCTAACACGATTCGTTTGCAACGCGTGTTTTGATTGGATATGGACAATATTCTAATCTGCGATAGAATCATGGTCAATCGTGTTAAGCTCCTCCCATCACACTTAAGCCACGCCCCGTTTTTAACAAAAACAATATGGCGTCAAGCTCGCCTCATAGTGAAACCCCGCTGATAAGGCTAGTAGGCAACAGAACAGAAACGACCGATGAAATGCATTTGTTGAATGAATAAAAAAGTAAAAAGAACGTATTCCTTGTTCTTACCTCCATTTATTACTGAAACGTTCGTTCCATCCGTGTAAAGGCATCTATTTAGCTCTCGCCAGTATGGGCGGGGCTAAATGACCGATTTTTGAAAGCTTCTTTCCGATTGGTCAGTCCGCTGAGGAATGACACTTCGCCATTTCAGGTCACAAAGTACTTTTGTACAAGGAACTACAATGTTTCTAAACATATTAGCGTAGTATATTTGTTAAGGTGTGTTCGAATAAGGATAGTACGTTGTTTTTCGTGTCTATACTGGCGATTAGAACATAAAATTTGGGTTTGAACTCGAGACAGATAGGTCGAGAGTTTAAGCCAAAATTCATGTTCTAATCGCCAGTGTAGCCACTCAAAACAACGTACTATCCCCCAAGTGTATGTGAGCGTATGCAATCGTCTGTCCAGCATCAACAGTTTCCTTAATTAATAAAGGTTAATAATATGATATTCCTATTAGAAGTGTTCTTTCTTAGAAGAGAGTTAGACTTCTTTCAAAGTTATTTGAATTCGAAAAGTTTCCTCAGAGGTCACGGGTAAAATGTATGTAGACTTTGAACTTCATATATTTAGTATTACCTACTTCTAAGGTCACTGAAATTGAATGTGTGTAATCTTATGTAATAAAGGTAACTATTTTTTCAATACCTCCGCTAGAAGTTGAACCCGGTACAAATGTACCTCTGACTTACTAGTCTTACGCTCTACCGAACGAGCTTAAGAAAAATTCTCCCTAGCCGAGTCAGCAGAAAGTGGCTAGTATTTTACTATGGTGAAACTTTATTGAAACCGTGAGACAAAGGGGAGTGTTATTCGAAAAAGTTTATCTTTATGTTTTCAAACGCTGATATTTTCGAAAATATACCTTTATGTACTGTCAATGTCATTATGGTAAATGGACTTTGATATTCAGACGACTTCTCGTGAAGGAAGAGACGTGGACAAATAATGTTTGTTCAGTATCTCGGTACCGTTAAATCAAAGTTGTTTAGGCATATTAACTTGTCGTAAATTGATTCTTTTTTTATACTGTTGAGTCAATTGTTTGCCACATCATGATCTAAAAGGGAAATATTCCTAATACCTTAAATACACCATTAATAATAATTTCCTTTCATTGATACATAAGTCAACTACATAAACTATAGACAAAAACCATACACGTTTATGTCAAATCAGGAGTATAATTACTTCCTGTAAAATTTAAAGAAAAAATTACCTTTTCATCAAGTTATTCAAACGATTCTCGTGAAACATGTCAAAAAAATGTAAAGGGTATCACAAATCAAATGTTTATCAATGACAGCCAAATTTGGCTTACTGATTCATGTAAATTCAATGAGCAAATTCACATTTCTGAAACATTGATATTGAGAGATAAATAGAATTCAGTTATTCAGAATTTGTTTTTAATATTTTTAGGAGATCTGTTACGAGAAGTATAGAGACGAGGATATCTACCTCTTTGTCATATGCAATAGCATACCTGGATACCAACCAAAATCTCGATCTCATTACCAGTGCCAGTTCTCTTGACGAGCGCATCAGTTGGGCAGCGACTTTCTTTTTGAAAGTCTTAAACAATAATGAAAGTCTGATGTTGCAATACAAGGATATGCTTAGTACAGGTGGAAAAGAACCTAGCCTGTTCTATGTGAAAACCACTGGTTATAAAGACCAAGCGTTTCCTGCAAAGATGCCTTTCTCCTGGATCATATTTGCTAATATTGACAAGATCTATCGACGTATCGCTGCTGACAAAGAACACGGTAATACTTTCAATATGAAGAAGAATACAATAAACTGGAAATCAAAATCAAAACGAAACGATTAACACTCACCTTTATCTAAGTTAAATTCAATACATCTTTGTAAATTGAAAATATGTTTGTTGACAAGCAACGGTATAATCGATACGACGTGACTGAGTATGATTTAATATGTATCATTTAAGAAAGCCAGAAACAAATAACATAAAGATTGTTCTTGTTTTTTCAGAATTCTCTAATTCAGAAGTAGCAAAGATTGTATCTACAACTCTGTCTATAGTCGGAGATTTGGACGGAAGTCTCACGTCTAAGGAGGAGAGAGCGGAGGCTACAAGACAATACCTTCACGACTTCATTCACATGACCTTTCAGTGTGAAACTCACTCTGTGACCAAGGTTATTAACATATGATATAATTTTGTTTTTGTTACATAGTTTCACCACCATATACTGCTGCAGAGCAAAGATTTGGGACCGAACAGAAAGCTAGATTGTTTTGGTAATACAAAATACAAATTAAATAAAACACAATGTATACACTGTACTTTCCCCTTTTCTTATTGAGACTGTTTGCAGATCATTTCGACTTTTAACTGGCAGAAGCATTATGATATTGATAAATTAGTACAACATTGTGAGTCGTATTACCTTCGTGTGCATTAATACATTTTATGTTCATCGCTAGAAATTTTTCCCATGATCAATTTATTTAAGATTTGAAAGTTTATTAACTTTTGGCTATTGCAAACCCCATGTTGACATGTATGCTTTTGCTTTTGTAAGATTTTGGAAACTACGTTTCATCAAGCCTGTAAGGAAAAGGGTTACAACATTTATGCCAGCAATATGGCCTTGAACCTCGTCAACATTCATCACATTAGGACTGTTTTGTATGAAAGACTAGAAAACTTTCAGATGCTGAGAAGGATGTGGCCTCAATGTGACGTTTATGTGAATAGAGAAATGAAGTCAGAAGGCAATGAGGTTGTAAGTTTAAAAACTCAAACACCTTAGATATCTAAATATGATTGATTAGCTGGTTTTAATAAAACGTAAATAATGTCTTGTCATTATTATAATAATTATACGAACTAACAGCTCATAGAGTTATGAACGCGAAAGCAGTTAACATATTTGAAATAATATTTTTTAATCAGCAGTATATAAAATCGGCATAGCGTTTGTCACCGGAACTCAATATTTAGCATATATATGTCAATCGTAATGTTGCAAAGGTCTTATACAAGTGCGGAAGAATCATTTTTGACATGTGTTTGCATATTGTAGACAAGCAATAAAATACGACTGAGAACAAGCTATTGTTTCTTGTTCTCGCGACTGCGCATATTTATCATTTATCATCATTCTATCACTACTACCCCAGATGTTTGATGTAGTAGCCCTACGAGGACAGGTGGAAGACCTAAGTGAAGCTTGTGGAACCGTTGAAGCAGGAAATTGGCTGACTAGGGTGGATAGATGTGCCCTGCTGATTGCCACCATACTAAAAGGAGACGGACATACCACTGGCTATGGCAAAACATGCGTAGAAATGTTAACTACGATACGGTAGTACAATTTTAGTAAAACACGTTTTACAATTTTTTTTATGTTTGTATGTGTCTGTACCTTATTGTACCTTGTACCTAGGGTGTATTTGATACTGTAGATGGAAACTGGTAAACATCTGGTTTTTTTTTTAAAATCAACACCATTTTGATCATATTTACGAGTAGAAAAATCTCAGAAAAGCGTAAAGAAGATCCTACCTTTCGGAAGGCAGTGCAGAAAGCAAAACAAAGCATTTTTTTCTACTGCGCTCCACGAACGTTTTGTCCATGACGGAAACAACAGTTGTCACATGGGTCAATATTCACATAGGTAATTACTACAGATATAACGGTGGTACATATCTGTGTGTACACATTTCCTATGTCATAACTGTCATTAGCGCCTAAAGGATAAAAAATATCAAGACTCATTGTAAAATATTTCAATATTAAAAAGACGTTTTTAGAGTAATGAAATGTTTATACTATAAAACGTGATTTTAACGGTTTCAGAAAAGAATGGAATCGAGTTTTGGCATTGAAAATGCTTTATGAAGAAGTGACTCTGAAGTCAGAGACTGAACTCAAACAAGTTTTCGATATGAGAACGGTGAGTTGACTGATTATTGATTTATAAACATGACTCTTATCAAAATGACTCTTAATGAAAAACAACAGACTCATCAGTGTACCTTTGCATTAGTGTGATCTTAAAAGTATGGGTTCGAGTTATTACTTATACATCATAATTTAGATTACTTACATCAATGAAGTTTCAAAATATTACTAAATTATCTTTATCACTGTTGTCGTTACAGGTATTGGAACCTCTCAAGACATTCTCACTCAAAGAAAAATCAGGACTAGAAAAATTAGATGAGTTCATGAAATCATGCAAAGCGGCAGCTTTAAAGTAAGCAACTACAGCTTGTATATAATCATTTGATAAAGATTTAAGATTCATGATCTCATTGGTACGTGTGCTATTTCCTTTTTGACATTTTTGTAAATGGGCTTTCTTTCATTGTCACTTCTAAAGCCTTCGCTTTGAAGTTATTTCTCCGTTTTGATTACTTTTATCCTTATATTTGTCGATTTGTATTAAAACGAATTATCGTTTTCCATGGGATAGAGCATGTTTTACAAGGGGCGATACCAAGTAAACTACAGACCCGTACACGTTCGCTGTTCCACTTTCAGCGTACCGTTTGCGTAGCATTTCCGTACCGTTTGCGTAGCACTTGCGTACATGTATCACTTGCGTAGCATTTCCGTAGTTCCTCCGTACCATTACCGTAGCATTTCCGCAGCACTTGAGTAGCGTTTCCGTAGCACTTCCGTATCGTTTCCGTAGCACTTGCGTCTACATCTTTCCATTTAAAAACCGTTTGTGATACGTTCGGTCGAAAATTTTACAGAATATATATTTGCCGAAACGAATTGTAAAAAACCCATTATAAACCTCATGACGTGAAAATTATTCCAACCATCATAATAATCTGAAGGGAAAAACCCCACAAAAATGACGGTTTACACATACATGGACGTAACAGCCCTCCTCCCATGGGCCTACTGTGTTTTCCCCACACCAGCATCTAGGCCTTAGGGGTAACTTAAATAACAGGCATACAGTTGGCCATGTGGTAATGACCTGTCCCTTGTTTAAGGTATAAACAAATTTAGTGTCCGTTATAAAGGTTGTTAGGGCAACAGGACCACCCGCTGACAGATACATTTCTTTCAATATGATATCTACATACCTGATAATCTAGGCAGTGATAATGCATTGATCATTCACCTGTGGTCACATTGGATTCTGATGTGCTGTACCTGATCAAGGTCACATTCTGTGATTTCAAGTCAATTAAGTCCATGTCAATTAATCCAGTTCATTGTCTATCCACCACGTACAGCTGTATGCAGGTAAATCAGTTCAAGGTAAAAACCTACAGGTAAGATACTTTGGCTGTCCCTCGATCAGGAAATGACAGCCCCAGGCACAATTTCATTTCACAACAGTGCCTTAACCGAGGTAAACTAATATTTGGAACTTGGAATTCCTAATTTAATATAAAAAAAAGGTGCCTTATTAGGATATTCAACTTCTGACGTAGATGATTTGTTTTAAAACTAATCTATTTTAAAATAATTTATCATGAGTTCTGTTATCAGTGAGCAAGGTTGAATACTAACCCGAATACGTAACAAACTTTTCATATCAGATTATTGAAAATGATGATATTTTTTCAGTAATCGTTAAAAAAAATCATTATGAAGATAACTTTATTGTCAGCATGTGACTGAGTTCCTGAGTAAATAGAGTCTTGTCTATAGCAGAGACATATATATTACAAATTGTCTCTGTCTATAGTAAGTTTGTTAACGGAGTGCCCTCTCTGTGTGTGGTAATTATAAAGGTGTAAAAAATCAGTCAAGCGGTTCCGGGCTAGTGTACCTATGAAATTACGTGGTTCATTGAAAAGGATAATTGACCTTTAAACAGCTGACCAATTAGTACCACTTAGCGCCTTTAGCAAGTAACACAGTGGACAGTATATATCAAAGGCTGGGATTAACCTGGCCTAGGGTATTTTTGGAAATATTATTAAAACGACAACAAGATTTATTAATTAATCAAAGAAAGGTTTATTGATATTTTCATACAATGTATACTTAAACAAGAATCAACTGCATTTTCATAATAAAATAAAAGATGTATAACAAAAGAAACTGTTTATCTGTGAATGAAATTTAATTAATAGACATGGTATAACATTTATACATTTCAAATCTCCGATGCATGTATTTGCATGTACTAATAAGTAAGCACATTATCGGTCTCAAAATCCTACGGAAAATCTAAAAGTGTATGGAAGTATTAAAGACGATATAAAAAAAATAGAAATAGAGGTACTGGATCCTTAACACAGGAGTCTGAAATTATCTCATTTTTAATTATTATTAGGCTTATTAATTATTACGTTTCTCGTTAAAAAAAAAACCGTAACAAGTTTACTTACTGTCAATATTAATTGATATTTTATTCGGTAAGCAGGTAGAAATATCTCTGACCATAACTTATTATTATCTGATTGTCGCGTTGATCTGTTATTGTATGTCAGGTCTTTGTGATGGATATATTACATCGATCTACCTTTATCCTAGTAGCCTACAATGTACTGACGTTTCTTCCTATGCATTGTGGGTATGTTCGTTTCGTTTTAGATATTTTATATGTTTCCGCTTTTTATGTAAACCCGTTCTTGTCACGACAAACGAATCACCGTTTGTAAGCGTCATCCGTAGCACTTCCGTACCGTTTGCGTAACACTTCCGTACCGTTTGCGTAGCACTTGCGTACCAATTCCGTACCGTTTGCGTAGCACTTGCGTACCATTTCCGTCCCGTTTGCGTAGCACTTGCGTACCATTTCCGTACCATTTGCGTAGCATTTCCGTTCCGTTTGCGTAACACTTCCGTACCGTTTGCGTAACACTTCCGTACCGTTTGCGTCCAAGGTGGAACAGCGAACGTGTACGGGTCTGTATTAATCGAGAGGAAATAATTCCCTAACACAAGAGCAATGAACGGTTTCCTATACAAATAAATAACAATAACACAGCAATATAGATGAACAGCCTCATCATTGTTGCTATGTGCTCAAGTCTTTTATTATATTTTTTATTCTAAAGAGGCCACAAATGAGGGAGAATGGTCTTGAGAACCTCGACTGCGTGAAGGAAATACAGTGTCATATTTTCCCGTTTCATGATCAATATAGTTTTGTCAGAGAGCGTGTATAATGTAAAGTGTAAAGAGTCTACTACAGTTCACTCCTGATATTTGATTTTATCTCTTTTATTTTCAAACGTTGCCTTAGGCACACCACCAAAAACACTGAAGAGGCTGATGGCAGACATATAGACAACTTTTACATGCGTGTCGTATCACAACTTTGTTTTGCCAACAACACCCCTCCATCAGATGAAGTGGTTAAGATGCTACTGGACCATATGACAAGTGGATTAACTGCAAATGAGGACGACAGACTCCAAACATTTAGTACTGGGGCTGGAACGAAAACCACTGCGAAGTCCTTCTTTCTTCAGCTACTTCTTCGCACAAGGTATCAATCATGTTGCCATAACAATCTTCGTTTTTGAATATTAAGATGTAACATCCAATTTTCATCAAAAACATCTGTTCACTGACCAAGTACTGATTACACCTTATAAGATTTTTGATTCATCTGCAGTGAAGTTAATTGTAGACACTATTTACCAACGGGTTTTTTTTCCAGAAGGGTGTTGTCCCTCTGTTTAATTATTTTTTTCAATGAATTTTGCGGTTTTTATTATAAATGTATTGACCTCATCTTTCATGTAACATTTTTTTCATTTGAACACATTTTAATGACAGATGTAATAGTCTAGTGGATTGAAAAACAGGCAAGCCTATATAAAATCTTTCCATGGGTGGCTCAAAATTTGATCATATATACAATTTAGTTACAACAATAATGATTAATTTATTTAAGGATACTTTGATTGTAACATCAGTTACAGAATTCAATCTTTGTTGTAGAAGATTTTTCCCTTTCACTTTACATTTTTATAAGTATCAGTTGATACATGTGAATATATTTCATTCTGACGCTTTTTTGTATAACAATACCAACAGAATATTGAAACAAGTCGTTGGTGATTAATGTATTAAAATGGGACAAAAAGATATCTGTATTATGCATATTATATTTTTTCTTTATGATACGGCGTTCTTTTTCACATAGAGGAGACCTGGTAAAACGACATATAGAAAGATTCTTCCATCAGGCTAGATCTGGTTTAATAAACTTACTCAAAAGGTTTGTTGGATCCGGTACGAATCCTGCAGACATCCGAATACTGGAATTCTGTTCCATGGTCGTGAAATGCATAGAAGTGAGTACCAGATACGGTCATTATCACATGATTTACTTGTGTTACACCGTAAATAACCAAACGACTCACTTTCAATAACAGGCGGACAATTTCATGGGATTGGTATTTAGCGCATTTATAAAATATGTGCCATCACTTAACCGCAAAAATTCAGCGCTTTATAATATGATAAATGAAGTAAAATGTAACTTTAACAGATCAATATTATCAGCGATTCATCACTTATGTTTAATAAAAAGTCAATACTTGAATATTCCTATTTAGTTCTGATAGACAAACTGTTACATTTCGTCCGTCAGCCTCATTCTAGTGGTCATTCGTGAAAGTTAAAGGATCAAAGGTCACATTGACCACTTCACAGTATAATCTATTGTGTTAAAGATATATGACGAACCCTTTGAAAGATTTGGTTTACAGTTACATTGTCGTAAGGTAACATCAAATTCTCCACCTCATTTAATTATACATATCATCGGTCAAATTTAAAGTGTGACGTTTAACCACTTAAACCAAAAAGGTGGTATACACGATAAATTGTTTAGCATGAACAATACAACATATTAAGTTATATTTACTCCATAGTTTGATAACATTGAGTTTTACACATAACAAGGTCTTGGTGGAAGGCTAAAGGGGCAAACGTAATAAACAGAACAGAGTGTTTTTTGTTGTATAATTAGAAGACAGTAAACGTTTGTGTATTGTCGAAAAAATATTTGTATATTTACAGGATTCTTATCGGGCACGTTTAACTGAAAAGGACCCGTTATTTGCACAAGAAATTCAGGAAGCACTGCACAAACTAACGTGGGCAAGCGAACAGCAATTCCAGAGTGGCCTTCACTATGGCAATTTGGAAATCATTGCCAGTATGCAGTTTGGATTGAAAATTACATCAACTTGCCTGCAGAAATGTTTTGTGGAAAAAACCGAGGGAAGGTCTGAAGCCGTGGTAAAACTACTGTCTGCAGCGAAAATCATATGTACACAAAAGGGAATGAGCTACCCGCAGTAAGTCTCATTTCCTATTGATGAGTTCATAACTCAATTGATATTGTATTTTTGGACATATTTAATGGTTTTGATTGTATCATTGGGATATATATTAAGCTGATAATAGTATTCATACTGCTAAGTACAATTCATCTATAACATATTACATTAACAACATATTTATACGTAATCAGACTTTCCTTTTGGAACTTGGTTGAACCCAAAACTTTGACCGATTGAACATTATTTTATAAAACTTTATAGCGTTTTGAACTAAAACATGATATTGTGTCTAGTACAACAAAAAGATCCGTGAGTAGTTCGTGTACTCTGTAAAAAGTAAGTCTTCAAATCACTGCTGTTTTACAAACTGTAATAACTCTTTTATCACTTAGCTTTTTATTATTACACTACATCTTCAAACATTGAGAAAACGGAAAGAGGTTATTTTTTTTCTAATGACTGTTCAGAACTAAGCTCCCTAAGTTCTGAAGTGTAGCGTGTCTGATACTCCACATACCTGTTAAATGATTTTAACATAAACAATCAAAAGTCAGCTACAGGTATGTAATATGATTGTCCCGGCCGTACCTTTGGAATTGCTGAAACTAACAAGATGGTATGTATCCTAAAAGTATGGTGAAAACATAGGTCAAAGATTTAACAACAGTAATTTGTTTTGTGGCTTAAATTTTCTGATAGTTGAAATATTTGTACTAAGTTTGGTTGCCAAGTTCATAGAAAAATGAAAACTTCAAAGATATATTTTGTGTCTCATATCAAGTATGGTGAAAACATAGGTCAAAGATTTAACAACAGTATTTTTTTTGTGGCTTAAATTTTCTGATAGTTGAAATATTTGTACTAAGTTTGGTTGCCAAGTTCATAGAAAAATGAAAACTTCAAAGATATATTTTGTGTCTCATATCAAGTTACCATAAAACGTTTCGGAATAATATGGCCTTTGTTCCCTGACCCCTTCCTTGTAGAAATAGTAGTGTTTGTTTCTTCGATTTACAAATTGTTATGGGGCATTGAAAAATCTGAATATCTGCTCCCCGGATTGCGACACTACAATTTTTTTTATTCCATACATATTTACTGCTTTATCGGTAGAGTCCCATAAATCACGTCATGTTAGTTCTGCTGCAAGATGATTGTGACTGGGTGAAGATTAATACGTATGTGTCCAATTTACGACATTTCGAAGATATTGCACTTCATAGTGGTACTTGAGTGGGTTATTATTTCTAGAACCGTGATCACATGGCCTTAAACCAGCAAGGTTCTGGTTTTCCTTCTAAATAATACCTTAAATTCCTACACCTCACATTGAGTTCGCTATATTTTAAGTGAATACCTTATTCGGGATCTGTGCGAGAAGTATGGCAATAGCAGCTACCAATATCTGGTCAAAGACATTGCCACTATGGACAGGAGTGTAACATGGTTTGCCTTATGCCCTGCTACGAAAGGGGTAAGTACAATTATTTACAGTGTGTTTCCTTCGCGATAACAGACTGTATGAATAGTGTATGGTACAGCATTTCCAACACGTAAGTAACTATTTGGGGCAATGAAAAGTTTTTATATCAACTATCAATTCATGTTCCCCCTGAAGGATAAAAATACTGTATCTTGCAATACTTCTTTTCATTATAAATAGTTTTTATCACCGCAATAAAATGGATGGAATTTCAATACATTCACTCTCATATAAAGTCAACAATACCAACGGAGTAAATAAATCAATCAAATGTTTGATATTCTTTGGTGAAGTTGAAATGGACCTGCTCTAAACTATAATAATAACCTATGTGTTGTGTACATCAGCGTGAAAAAAAGATCTACAGGAACTACATATATGATGTTAAATCTAGTATTCCCGTACATTACAAACGATGTTTGCCAAGCGGAAATGATAATTGATTCAATAACTTGTTAGACACACATGACTTCCTTAGTATGGATGCAATCATTATTAGGGTTGTAAATTGTTGTTGGTTTATAATTGAAATATTATTCTGTTGAACACGAAGAACCTAGAATGTGAACATCGTTACCTTGTGTGTGGACCACAATACAAAAAAGTACGAAACGACCTGAAGGATACCATACAACAAATACTTAAAGATCAAAACCAAACTCCGACACATGTAAGTATTAATGCTTGAAAAAGATAACAAATTTATAAAAACTGTTACCTATCATGGCAAATTAAAGATGTAGCAACCTTGCATCTGACTGAAATCAAAAATATAAATCGGTAACAAGCTTGTTTACTAATGTGTATTTGGTCACAAGGTAATTGACTAACTGAAGGAATATCAGTACCTGTTAATATTAGGATGTGCATGTAACTAGCGTGCCGTATTCTAGCACATTTTACCTGAAATACTTGTTTAAAAGAAAATTATCTGTAATTAGCAAAATGTGTAACGTTTTGGATTGGCACATTTCCTCTTACATGTTCTTGCTAGATACGTTTAAGACATTTTTTACGTGTGTGTGTTTATCTTTGACCCTGAGTACTACCGATTAGAACTAAAAGGACAAAATAGTCATACGGTTACACTGAAATATTCATTTTCTTCGCCCCCCCTCTCCCCCCCCCNGGTATACTGGAATCAGCTTGTCCAACTGTCCGTCGAAAGTTGTGCATCTAGGTATTATTTCATCCTGGCCCTTTGTTGAAAAATCCTGATACTTTTTGTCCGGACAACTCCTTCTCAAGTTATAGATCGTTTTCAACGAAAGTTACCAGATATGATAAAAAAAAAACTGAAGTTGTGCATCCATGTATTCTTTTTTCATGTACTTTGCGAGTTTTAATGAACGTTTTCACATATGATAACTACCACCTGATGCGGTGCATACAGGTATTATTTTTTTAATCATTTTTAAGGAATTATGGTCCTTTGTTGAAAAATCCATGTCCTGACAACTTCTCCTTATCTACACAATTTCAAAGAAAGTTTACAGATATGGTAACTGTCCACTGACGATGTTATCCAAGTAGTACTTGTTCATTCGACCCTTTTGAAAGGAGTTATGGCCTTTTGTTGAAAAAAAAAACTTTGTCTGTCTCCTTAATTACTCGGCCGATTTCGACGAAAGTTTACAGATATGGTAATCACCTCCTGATGTCATGCATCAGAATACTTTTTCATTTTGACCAATTTTAAGGAGTTATGACCCTTTGTTACAAAATCTTTGTCCTGATATCTCTTCCTTAACTACTAAGACGATTTCAGCAAATCTCGTTGATCTAGGCTAACAAGATTTGGTTTGCAAGAATGTTTTCGCTTTGGGAGGGAGTAGAGGAAGTATGTCAGTGACCTATATACTTAAATAAGTGGACAGCTCAGTCAATAAAGAAAATATTACTGGTGGGAGACTATGGATTGCTTTGCAATGCTTTGCCTTAGGAACCTTTGGCTAACAGTTCTAGTTTTACATTAATATATCATGCATCAAATGACCACGAGAGAGAAATCTGAAGCTACTGTAATAGGTTTTGTTAAACTATGTCGACGTCTGGCTGCGTCGAATATATAATTGTATATGAATGGTATTTTTGAACATGAGAAATCATAAACGTAGCATACATTTTCTTTCATTTTCTTGACGGAACTTTAACTATACAATGTGGTATTGCATGATTTGCATATATCTGCAGAGATATTTAAATATACTTTTTACTGTAGCATGGTATGGATAGTCAGATGCATACAATATTCCTCACACTGGCTGTCCACAGAGAGATCACGTTAGCTTATTTGCAAGGCAGTATATTGTATCATACTGAGGTAAGTTATTTTTTATATGGCTTTAACAATGAGATCTATACCATTTACTGACGATGTAAATATATTTCTATTTCTTTTGATTCCCTCTATTTCATCTACATCCTTCCCTGAAAAAATATTTTAAACACAGAATATTCAATTGAATTCTTTTCGTTACTTTATTTTCTATATACCAGAATCAATACCTATTTTCATTTCGAATGCTGGAGTGCGATTCGCATATCCCTTCAGGAATTGAGGGTTTTAAGTGTTTTTTTTAGATCAAATCAAGAATCATAGAAAATCTTCAGGGAAAAGTTGCTGAACAACAAAACGTAAGTGAAAAATATGACATGATTCCTTAATAACATGCTTGTAGTGTTTGGTTTTTAACTATTTATTCAAACATGCAGGCAACCTTTTATATGCGAAAAGTCAGGAATTATATAATTTTCATTAACAGTAATAAATAAGCCTGTGCGTTCTGCTGTAGCCTGATATTGATTGTGAGTATTACATGCATCCTACTGTCCAAGATGTTGTGCCGGTCTTTCTGACGTCGAAAACTAGCGCAAAATTCGCGTGGTCGTCTATCAATGGAATTTTGTGCATAACATTTTAAAGATGATGTCTTAGATCGTTATATTTTATAAGACATGATGACAGGACTCATAGTGACTTGAGACATCCTGCCAAAACACCATGACAGATTGCGACTCTGGATAAAATCTTATTTCTTCTCTTGTTTATGTAGGATTTCATGAACACATTTTTGACGGGTTTCTAACTTGTCTGTGGATGTTGAACCTGCTGTTGATGCTATCATTAATCGTTTGAATTAACTCATAACCGGTGATCACCTCTTTTAGAACGGAGAGTCCGAATATCGACCAAAGTACATGTTCGTTTGTAGATAACAGCACATGTGTGCGACCTGGTCAATAACCAGACAGCCAAGAGTATGTCTTACTTGAGCTTTAGAGAAGGACTTGACCTCCAGCAGCAAGGGATAATCTGTCTTCTGGAGCATATGTATGTGCTGTTGGTGGTCTTAGAGGATTCGAATTCCTTGCTGTCTCCATTTGCAAAGGTTGCTCTTGCGCCTAAATGCATGCAGGTAGGACCTGTAGATAGTTTTAAAATTACCTGGGACATAGATTTAAGTGATATATTGCGATCGCATTATATCCGTTGCCGTTCGTTTTCCGGCGCCCATATCTGTCGTGCGTCATCACATTTTGTTTCTAAAAAGTGCTGATCCGTTTAAATGTTTTTTTTCCCGTGAACAATTCATTACCACAAATATGAAGTATATGCCTATAACCTACAAGGGATTGAAGGCACAGACCAAAAGGTCAAATTTGCTAAACTATCAAAATTCTCGTTCTTATTCAGATACGCTAGGAATACACTCAACCCAATGCTGCCTAGTCAAATTATATGTTAATCCCTCCGGAAGGGTTTTCAATTTTCTTTTCCCTTTTTAATAACACGTTTGAGCACTTTTTTGGATATTAATTAGAAAAGGTGGTTAAGGTAAGTGTTATTTTTTAAAAGTCATTATATAGGAAAATGTAACATTGGGTTAACTTAGTCCTTTTCCAGTAGAAAATAATTAAAATAACTTTCGAGGAAATTTGATAATATGAAATCAAAGCCCTTAATGAAATAATGCTATTAAGAGAATGTTGCAATTATATGATCATCAACAAATGTACATGTAGCTAGTATACCGGAAATAGAGACGTAAATTGGCCTTGCTTTCTTTAGGATTACAAGTCATATCTGGTTTATTTGGGTTATTTCCAAAATAAACTGTTTGTACATCATGTACTTTCTTTCGTTGTAAATATGATAACAAAAAACACAAAATTACAACTCGGGTAAACATGGTCCTATCGTCTGCTTTAAATTATAAGTTGTGTTCCTTTATCTCAGTACAATATTTATGATGAAACGATTTTGTCTTCACGATAACAGTGCATGGATACTAAACATCTTAAAAACAATAACTTTATAAATATGGAAATAATATTAGCTGGTTCAGCCAAACAATTTTAATTGTTTTAGAAAGCCTATCTCCCAACAATGCCAGAAGAAGTAAATTATAAGCAAATGCTGACAGAAATTCGACGTGCAGATCCTGGCGCTACATTAAACGGTAAAGTTTTATATCTTTATTGTTGATAACTCACAGAAACACAAGCGCTCTCTCTAAACGTGTTTACAGCATTCTGACGAAGCAAATAATCTAATAATAATAATATTCTTTTTCCAGTATGTCCAAACGGTCATCCTTATATCATTGCAAACGTAAGTAATATTTTCTTTGTCAAAAAGCGTGATTTAATGTCATATCTGTATGTCATTATATCAAAATCTGGTTTTTGTAAAACGTCAATCTTATCGTATTAATAACTCAATTTAGGCCCTTATTTTTATCCAATTTTAAAATTTATATACATGTAAAGTAGTTTAATCTTATGGCTTACTATATAACATGGGTTAGTCCGAAAGATATATTCTTTATGCACTAGGTGGTATCAATAACATGTTTCAAAGATCATTACGAAAAGTATTTCCCAACGTTTTCTATACCAACCCATGTTTGTAATGAAAATTAGGACATGAGCAATGTCACATGACTTGTCAATTGAGATCTCGCGTTACCGAAGGTATTTCCCAACCTTATGACGTAGGCATGTTTTTAGTGATTGTATTGGTTGTTTGAGGCATGTAATTTATGTTCATCTTGTGCATAAAGAATAGATCTTTCGATCCATGGGCGACATGTGTGTGAAAGTGACGATTTGTTTCTAAAATATCAGTTTGAAGTGCGACCCGGGCGCGGGTCGCTTATTTCCCGCATATTATAGAGGGCCGGAATTCTGAAGTTAATCGACGACAGACCGATATAAAAAAAGTCGATAAAACGTCAGAATAGTTCGGACTAGGCATGGGTGGAAGTATTTGCTTACACAGATTGTATTTGTTATCTATTATCAACTATAACAATCTTGTCTGTTTTTACGTACGTATAGTGTGGACGCCCGTGGGTTGAATCTAAATGTACGGAATGCGGGGCAGCCATCGGAGGAACTGGGCACAAATTCTCGAAAGGAAACAGAAAAGTTCAAGAAAGGTAACTTTTGATAAACACATGAAACAATTGCATATTTTCCATACGTCGTTTCCGAAATACTTTTTATCTCCGGATTTGACTTGGTTTTTGATGCAAGTGTCACGTCATAGGGGGCATGTGTAATTCCGCTTAGCACTGAAAATTTGAGAGCTGCTTATAGGAAAACACTGGTGTGCAGTTATAGAATGCATGTCTAACTGATACTTATTATTAGAAAACCCTCTCATGATAATGAGAAAATTCAGTCATTTGTCCAAATTTGATATTTTGCGATGAATTGGGTTTGCTAATGATTAAGTATCCATGCTCACTTAACGTACCAAGTGACCGCTAATTCACGTGCTGTTTGTTCCGATAACTTGTATCTCGGCAACGACGTTTACAAAATAGGATACAAAAAGAAAGTTATTTATATTTACGTTTAAAATAGGGATAGATTGGTGTCGGTAGGGATTGTTTCAATCGCAAAGTCTATATTCAGTGACTATCATATTAATGTGAAATATATTTATGTTCTTTTTTGTACACTAAAATTGTAATATGAATTATTTATATTGTTGTCGGTGAGGATTGACCCAACCACACAGTCTACCTTTTAATGAACAATACATTATGTATATGTACGTGTTCCAGCGGACAAACCAATGTACATTAATAATGAAAAGATAAAAAAGGAAAAACAAATTTAAGAATGTACCAATTGAATGAAATTAAATGATTGACCTTAGTAAGTAAATAAAAGAATAAATGAATGATTGAGTTAATATGAGTAAATTAAAGAATGAATGAGTGAATATAAGTGAATGAAAGAATGTATGAGTGAATATGAATGTATGAAAGAATAAATGATTGAATATGAACGAAATAACACAATGAAATAATTAAATGATAATTGATCGGTTTTACTAGTCAATGCAGTGATTCATTAAAGAAAAAAACATATGCGACCTTTGAACCTAGCATCAAATTGTCTGATATTATCAAAAAATAGAAATAAATCATAATAAAGAAAGCACCATGATGAAATTTATAAAATGATGAATAATCACAGAACCAGCGCAGTTATAGTATGTATTAAAGCTATGCTATCAGAGAATAACAGAAATAAAGTACAATAATATGTAAGTTATTGGTCTTTGTCTAATTCTGTAAAACATATTATTCGGTCTGTTTTACATGTTTATTTTATATTATATATATTTTGTTATTATCATCAATATTTGTCTAATGTCAATTTTTATTTGTTTCAATAATGATTATAAATAATGATGCTCTAACAATAAAGTTTCCTTTTTTTCTCTCAAATACAGCAAGTAAAGATGTTTTTTGCTACATAAAGTGTTATTATTTATAATTGAACAAATAAAACTTTTCGTTTTACTATTTGGAACAGATATGTAGTAATTACAATTTTACAATACTTTTACCTAGATTGTGATCAGTGAACGATATTCGATTTATGAATATTAATGAATGAATATTAAAGTGATGCCAAGCTTTAGACGTTATAAAAAGCAAGCATAACATGTATGTTTTATTTTAAAAATAAAAACAGTTTCTGAAATAACTGATCGCTTAACATAATAAAATTTAAGTTTACACAAGAAATATATTTTTAAGGATGAGTACAAATTCTGAAATATTGTTTAGATTTAATAAGGGATACTTAGACATATGCATTGTCTTACATCGTACATGAATTCCTGCTTTGGTTGTTGTGATGATTTTTTTTCTGAGTGCTAAAACAAAAATGTTCATTCACATTTGAGTTTTCAAATTACCCAAACAGCTTACCTTGATTGCGGTATCTGGCATCTTGTATATATATTTTTTCAGCGTAATTTATTTTCATCATAAACTTGACTTTTTCGCTGGACCGTCTGCAAGACTTTAATAAAACTTAGTTCAATTCATCAGATTGAAATAAGCAAAATTGAGATCCTTAGATGATAAGAATCAAAAGCTGTGCTCAAGAACATTCTGACACCAAGCGGGCTGAGGGTGGGGCTTTAAGATGCCACTGTGTGAAAACATGCAAAAGAATTCTCTTCTGGAACTAGTCAGTGGATTTTCACTATCATATTGATAAGGATCAGCATGTATTCTCAACAGGAGGCTGATTTTAGGGGCAGGATCATATAAACAGTGGTCGCTCAATGAAACATGGATAAATTATGGCGGATTTAAATAAACTTTTATTGAAACGTTCTAGCTTAATTAGGATCACACAATTAAAAAAAATATTAAACGGAATAGGGTTCGCTTTTCAAAAGTGTGTAAACTCATGAAGGTTTTTCAATATATTCCTAAGATCATAAACGTAGGGATGAAACAAAATGCCAACGAAGTTCAATGGTTTTATTCACACCATTTTGTTGAACCTTAAAAGAAGTACTTGGGTAAATATTTTTTTAGAAATATATTAAAGATAATTGTTTAAACATGATATTTTTTTCTAAACAAATAATATACAAAACCTCAATCTTCAAAACCTGCTTCCCCCTTTTTGGAATGTTAAACATCACATAAACATTGGCGTATTGCAGTGATTTCGTCACTGACCCTACACAAGATCAGGGTCACGTACTCGGCGATCCAACGACGCGAACTGCCTCGAGTGCTGTGAGGGATTTAACACCAGTATCGTCAGGAATACTTCGGCTGTTCACACATGCTGCACTTCTTCTAGGAGCAAATACTAACCCGCAGGTACATACAAAGGACGATTACAAAATGTAACCTTACATAGAATTTAAGAGGAAAAACTAAATTGATCACTGCCGTATTATCGTATTTGTATTTAATGTCTGCTATGACATTAAAATTGCATATAAAGGGGAAATATGTCCTATAGTATTCAGATTGCCCTACCATATGTTTATCTGTCTAACCGACTGTGTTTTGCTCTCCGCGTGATATCTTATAAACAAAAGGTCGGATTTCAATCAAATCTGGCTGTTACATGTATATTGCTCCCCTTAATTCCTCTCTCATGATGATCGGCAAATTTTGCGCATATTAAATGCGGTTGCTGCTCTCTGGTTTGCTGATTGCTGTCAGCGTGATATCTTTTGACGGATTCACCTGATGTTGATCAAACTTTCTTGGTATACTTTTTATCTAAGATTCACACTGGAGTTTGATGTACGACATATTCCACGCATTCATTTGTCTGCTGCATAATAGGTGATACATGGTACTTATAAAATTATTGGATAGTGAACATGGTGAAAAAGAACGTATTAATCTGACCAATAAAAGAAGACGGCTGCCATGGCGTCTCATTTGCTGGGACCTTTCAGATCAAAAGGTTGTTCTATTGGTCTGAGTTTGATCATACTTAATGGTAACTGGCACTTGTCAGATTACCAACATGCATAATTCTTTAATACCAATACTTCAAAGTTCAGAATGATTGTTGTGGCTTCTGCTCTGCTAATATGGGGGATATGTACAGTCAAGGACACGACGGGCCCTTCCTGACCTCTCAGTGTTCTAGTTTTGTCGGCATTACTTATCTTTCTTAATTTTTTAACTTTCATAACGCTTTAAGTATGTTACTAACTTGTTAAAACTTGTATCATTTTACCAGAGAATACTGTCGATGATAAAACCAACGATTGCTTTCGGAGAACTACAGGGGTTCCTCGTAGGTCACCTGAGGCGGGACATTGACAACCTGCACCGAGACCTTGCCAGAAGCCATGACGATGTATTCCTACTCTGTCATTATGCACTGGATGTTATCTCACGCGGTTGTTTGAGCGGTAATCTCTGGGAGAGAATCTAAAATTAGAATATAACAATTCAAATATTATGGTTTATACATTTTTTAACATTTAATTCGCGATGTCTTTCCAAAGTAATAAAGTACTATATATGAATACAAGCCGTATATTTGTGATCGATTATGGTCATTGAATTTGTCTTTTTTTGTATGATCATTCTCCTAAAAAAATCGCAAAAGATTAATCATATTACCTTCAATATTTTGTGAGTTTAACATATATGATAAGCTGTTCTATAGCGGTGTGTCAGCGCACTTATCGTATCTTGCGTAGAACATAAGAAAATAAATCATACGAATGAAATTAAGTTATGTGTAGAAATCAGGTTGGCTGTACTAATTTTTCTAAGTTTAAGGGAACTTAGTACTACGAATTAAAATTGAATGATATATTATTAGCCATCCATTTAAGTCTATTTATGTTATAATTATATACAAGGAAAGGGCGTTCATAATGTTAATGTTATTTGCGCACAATCCTTTTGGGTATATCAATCTTGTGCATGATACCTACCTACCGCGTATCGAATTTGTACCGATTAATTTACCAAAAACAGTCTGCAAACAATGGCACATTCTTTTAGATAGTACACAGATCTGACATGCTTATGTTACGCCATGTTGTGGACTAATACGTGATCATTATTGACGAAACTTATTTGCAGGATCGCTACGGAGCAGTGAAAGTACACTGGAAAGTTCACAAAGGCGAACTACCTGGGAGAGAATCATACAGACGAACGTTTTAATGAGGATTGCAAGGGTAATCTTGTTTCCTTTTTTAGTTGCCCTTTGCCAGATAATTGCCACTCGATGGCAACGCTACTACATAACTTTACCAAGTTCAGATTTTATTCATTTCAGCTATGAATGCCATTGCAAATGTGTTTACGTCATATGGGTTCTATTCATTAAACAAGCATATAGGATACTTGTTGAAGTTTAATAAAAAAAACAATTTTATGAGATTGAAATATATCTTAAAAATGATTAATATAAGTATCGAACTGTAAGTCCTTATTCATATTCAATAGAAATAACAACAAAAAAAAGGGGAAAAAATCAACATATAAGCACTTGTTTCTTCGAAAGGACTTAGAGAAAAGATTGAAAATTCCATCGGTCCGTCATCTGCACTTCGTTTTTGGTAGCTCATCCTTTATTTGTACATTTGCGACTCGGCAGGAATAAAGCTATTAAAAACTTGGCAAAACAGGTGCTTCATCAGAACAGGACCCGGTATACATTTTTGTGTATATGATGGTAACAGCTCCCAAAAGTAATAAAAATGTAATTTGGTTAAAGTTTCAAAAATAAACCTCATAATAACCATGTAAAGACGGATGCTACTTGTTGTGAATAAGGGAGATTAACCTTACGGATCACCTAGTTTTGCCTGAGGTTTCTTTTGAATATAGTATGTCGATGTCTCTTCAGTGTCTGACTTTCAAATGTTGTCCTAATTTTAGTTTGGATTTAGCCCTTCTGTTTTGAGAGTTGTTATGCCTCATACTTCTGCGTCCGTGAGAATATCCAAATGTCTACTGCGGGATAAATATAGGCTATTTTCAATTTTATAAATTCAACAAGTAATAAAACGAGTATAACTGTATTGGAACATTTTAGGTTCGATACTAAACGGTTAAAATAAATGCAATAATTTCAAAATTATTAAATTATTTTTTGATTTTCTAACAGAACTGTCATAGAATAAATTCATGTTTAATCATGTATATTTTTAATGTTGTTAATCATCATGATCTTAATAATAATGTCAAAATTAATAAAGAAATAAGCCTATTCATAAAATGTGATTTTGCAGAAATCCATCTACGATTTGGCTAATTTTAAATCAAGACGAGATTTGTTTTACTGCTCCTCGTTCTTTGAAACAAGGAGGAAATGTATGGATTAATAAAGGATCGAAAACAGGCATTGACAAATGAAGTGTTTTTCCAATAAAGTATCCTATGTGTTAAAGCTATTTATATGTTAACGCATCATCCATTCTCAAATGCATATAGAATCAAACAAGGATTGAACGGCATTTTTTCAACGTTCATGCCGGTATAAACGCAAATCGGGTTACGTATAATATTGTATCATGAAGTCCGTTAGGTATGTGACATATTAAAGTTCACACTGGCACGATCAATTTAAAATGCTGTTGAATACGTATATTGAAATTGTGCAAACGAGGTTCCTGAAACAGCCTATCGAAACAAAACAAAATTGGCTTGTAATGGTTGTCTTATACTATTTGTGGCGGGAGGAGAAGCTTCAGCATGACGCTGATCAAATTGAGAGAGTACTGAGAACGAAATAGCAATCCGCAATTTGAACATAGAAAAGATTTAAAAAGAGACTTGTAAAAGTGCAGCGAAAATAAGACTGGGTGCTCTGAAAGCGTAATCGTCTTTTTTTTGACAACATCCGCAATGGATATATATATCGTCCAATTCTCATAAAACATAAAAAAAATATCGGCATCAATAGCGTAGCTGAAATTTAAGCCTCTAACGAGTCATTTTAATTTAATTTGCTTATCATTTGTTGAAAGATTAATTCTTTACTATTGTTTTTTTCTGTTGCCTATTAGAACATGCATACGTAGAATAATTCAAATGAGGGTTTTGCAGGATTCCGGACAGATCTTGAAAACGTGCCGAGAAAACCTTAAAGGAGAAAATGAGACTGGCGGTTGGTATAACATTAATACAACATCTTATTATACAATATGTTCATATATATTTATTAAATAATTGAGTTCAAAACAAATTAATAATTTATCCAAAAGCAGTTTTGGTATTATTAACGCAATTACTATCGCCTATACATATGAAACATTAATATTTTGGGTTTGAAAACAGTCCCTAATATTTGTCATAGGCTGGAACAGTGCTGAAACAAAAGCAAAACACATATTTTATACTCATATTCCAACTCGGTGTATGGTTTGAGCGAGTTGTAAAAACACGTATTTACTTATACATGATACTGTACCTAGCACTGACTAACGTTAAAAGCATAGCGTTAACTCTGAAAGTTTCTAAAATGTTGAGGAGCGCATAAATATAGATCTCCAAGAGCAATTTCCTGTTTCTTAAACATGCAGGCTCCAGTGTACAGCTGTCGGCTTTACTGGAGACAGACTGGGGATTAGATAGCAATCCTAGTTGTGACAACGCACATGAAAGTTGTATTTTGTGGAAAAGACATGGAAGGGTTAGCGTAGAGGGCTTTGTGACTGATTTTCTCAGCGGTAAACTAACAGACGAACAGAACAACCAGAGTTTGCTTGCACATTTCATTACTAAGGTAAATATGCGTATCATATGTAACAGGAATATATTATTTCTTCGAATAAATAGCAAAATACGTAAAAGTGTGTCCGTTTATCAATTCTTTCGATTGCTTATTACAGCTAGACAGGATGCAGTTGGTGAAACATCTTCCAGACATCTTAGATCTTCAAAGGTCGCTGCTTCGGATGTTTAAAAGAAAAATGGACAGGACAGGGGCAAAAGAGACCTCCATCAAGCAGTTCCTTATAGATATGAAAAAACACAACAACATCGATGGTTCGCATTACCTCCTCCTCTTCCTTATAGCAATATCATTTTTCAGACTTTTATCATGTTTAGATTATATCATGAAAAAGTCCTTTTAAATATAATGTACAAAAATATTTTTCAATTTTATGACAATAAAATAATCAATACTATTTTCCTTGTAAGGAATTTTCTAATGTAAAATGCCTATTGAAAACATTTTACATTTGTGATTCATTAACATTGGAACTATTTCGTGTTTACCTTTTTACATGAAACCTCGGCGACAATTGTACCGATGGATAGTTTTAGAAAAGATAAATAAACGATAAATTCAAGTAAGTAAAGTTAGAATAAAAGATCCGCCTTGTTATCAGAAGAATTGTTTTAACTGCATCCATTATATGCAATTAAATCTATAAAAACAACATTTTGTTTTGGAGAGTGCGATGTTACAAAAAAATGTATGTGTATTTAATTACAGAACGTGACATGGACAACATAAGAAAACAAATTCATATATGCATGGATGTATGGACAAAGATGAACGAATATCTCCAAAACTATGGTAATTGTATCGAAGTAATCTTTTTCATTCTCCCCTCGAAATAGATATTGTGTCTGTGTGGGGGATTGAAGTCTAGTAATAGTTTATTCTCTTTCGATAATGTTTACAAAGTTTGCCACAATTATAAAAAAAAACGTATTTTGAAAACAAAGAGAAAAGCCATTGAGGAATCACTTGATAAAACATGTTCCGTGGACAGGGATATCTCATCCCGAGGAGAAGAGTTTGGCCGGTCTCCAGCCAAACTCTTACACGAGGGTTGAGATATCCCTGTCCATGGAACAGACCCTCTGTTTGATTTTGTTCTCACATACTTACCAATAAACAGATTCCAGTCGGAATAAACATCGATCTTATTCTTCCGCCAAAATCCCAAGACCCTAGGGTTGAGACGGAGGATTCCCCATTTACAACAATTGTATGACATCACGAAAACAATGTTTTACTACCGTTACTTATGCGTTGTATGAGGATATTATATGTGTTGTATTACAATAAACATGCTTTTCGATATAGTCAAGATAATGAAAACAATCATTGATAAATATCTATTTTTACAGGATTGGTCATCGAAAAGAAAGGGTTTACAGTTAGAAGGGTAGTGCCATCTTCGATACGGAAATTGACCATTACATACGAAAGCCCTTTGGAATTATTGCTGCCATCTGTCGATGGTCAGGGACTCTGTGCGTTTGTCTTAGTGGAATTTCTCATCAGGACACAAAACGACTTCATTGAGGAATACTGTCGTATTTGCAACATTCAGTAAGATATATGTGAACGTTTTAAGATCGGAAATGTATCATCTATGTCTCTTATCTACTCTTTATCAGGATCATTAAGTTATTTAGTGGTACCAATCCTAGGGTTGTGTCTCAAGATTTATTTCCCATGCAGGAAGCTCATAGTGATTTTTATAAACAGACCTGCATAAAGATTGTTCATACATTCATAATTGAGAGCATAATGACTATCTAATATATATATATATATATATATATATAAAACAAATATACCACTTATACTAAGTATACGGAAGAAGTAATGTAAGCAAAAGTTGAAAAACGTTATAAATTTTCGAATTTGTTGGACCATTCTGAACACACAATGGTGTCATATCAGTCATACGATGTCGCCAGATTGTAACCATATTTAAAATGCTTCAAAACTGAAAATACTCAATAAAAAATTGTTTTACTTCGTTTTTTCCGCTTCTAGGTTTGCGGATATTCCTCTTGTCTACCCAAAAGATGTTATCCAGGCAAACGTCATTATTGTTGATAAAAACGCACATCTCCTGCCGTTGATTTTGTCAAACTGCAAATATGAGGTTGACGCAGAAAAGGGACAAAGGTTCGAGTATGACATAGAAGGCATTGCAAGACAACTGAAGGATCGATTTATCAGCGGACGATCAAGGATTGCAATAAAAAGTGTATGTACCTGAACATATAAAATATACTTCAAACTGAATTACATAATTATTTCAAGTATGATCTACTAATCTAATCACATTTGGACGGTCAAATTTGCCGTTTAAATCGCATGAACTGCAAAATGTAAAGTATAATTCAAACTGAATTATAGATTTATAAAATGACCTTATATTTTATTTACATTTTTGGTTAGTCAGTCTTAATAATATCAAAGTGGCAAAAATATAACAGAGCAATATTACTCTCTGTTTGTATACTAACATTCTTAGCGCATACATACATGCATGGATAGTCAATGTCAATATAGCGGGCACACATTTTAAGTTCTACGTACATATTATTAATCACTATGATATTTAATAATTTAAACATATTATTTGTATTTTTAAAACAAACCAAAACATAAAAACATTGGTGGGGTTTTCCATCTGCCCTGCATGGATTTTATTCAAACTTTGCAGTTCAAATGTTCAGGTGAAATCACTTCAGAAACCGATATTATTACTTGAAAGTTTGTAAAGAAAAAGCAGAAAGGCCTGTATTGGTGATTGCCCTGAAAATTAGAGGGTACCCCGATATTTGATGGCATAAGTACACACAATCAGGATTGATGTTTGTAGATGTTTCAAATTATGATTGTGGACACACTAAGCATTCGATTAATATATTTTTGTATGCTTTAAGTCAGTAATACAAAAATCAACTTGCTTACCATGACCACATTCCATTAAAAATATCGACCCAAAAAATCACACTTGAATATTCAAAGTCTATTCTTATACATTTTCTTAGATATCTTATCTTCGTCTTTAAAATAGTTTTAGGGTATGGTTTACATTAAATTTATTTAAATTGAAAACCGGGAACATAGTCTTTTAGACTGTCCTATATACCTACCTCACTAACACAGACTGATTGTAAATGGACCATCATCAACATATTGCCATCATCATCATACACCACCTTCTAACATCATCGACAACAAACTGTTGCAACCATCATAATCATCATCATCATTATCATCATCTCGCAGCATTGCCATCATTATCATTACCAACATTGTATAAAACCATCACATTCAATATCATCATCATCACCATCATCATCCTCATCATCATCATCATCATCATCATCATCATCATCATCATCATATCATCATCATCATCATCATCATCATCATCATCATCATCATCATCATCATCATCATCATCGTTATCATCGTCATCATCTTTTAATGACAAACCCCAGTATTTACCCACCACTCAGTATATACAAAATATTGTTGACTGAAGACATAACATCACCCTTTGCTCACAGTGCACATTTGATGTCTGGCTGCCTTGTAAAATATCCTTCCAAGTTGGCCTTTCTTGCTAATTTCATTTCTTATTGTCTTATTGTCTTATTGTCTCATTGTCTCATTGTCTTATTGTCTCATTGTCTTATTGTCTTATTGTCGCATTGTCTTATTGTCTTGTTGTCTTTTTGTCTCATTGTCTTATTGTCTCATTGTCTTATTGTCTTATTGTCGCATTGTCTTATTGTCTTGTTGTCTTTTTGTCTTATTGTCTTATTGTCTCATTGTCTTATTGTCTTATTGTCGCATTGTCTTATTGTCTTGTTGTCTTTTTGTCTCATTGTCTTATTGTCTCATTGTCTTATTGTCTTATTGTCGCATTGTCTTATTGTCTTGTTGTCTTTTTGTCTTATTGTCTTATTGTCTTGTTGTCTTGTTGTCTTATTATCCTATGACTACGGTCTCCTTTCATCTTCGCTAAATTTCTTTTGACATTGTCTTACATTAGTCTCATATACTTAACTATTTATAGAATTATTTTCGGTTTAAAACATGTATACAGTATGTCTGGAATTTGTTAAGCAAACAGTAGGATTTGTAGTGGAACATTTTACTTCCTCAGGTGACTTTGAGGTTAAGGTGCATCAACATTCAACTGGTTTGCTCAGGAGTCAAATTCATTCTAGACATAAATAACAATCAAAATACAATGTCTGGATTCAGTATGATGTTGCAGATTCCACAGATCCTATCAAAAACTATTACTGTACTTGCCCCACTGGTAAGCGAACTGTTGGAATGTGTGCACATATTGTTTGTATATCATACTTTCTGGGAAATGCTTCATAACAAACTTCATCAGAACTATCTTGTAAACGTGTGTCTAATTTTAAGAAGTCGGTTGTTTGCTGATATGGGGTATCGTCTGCGGTAGCCAAGTTGGTAGAGAGTCGATCTAGTATTTTGAAGGTCTTTGGTGTGTGTCCTAGTCTAGCTAGTGTGCTGATAATTTATATAACGGCCTCTCCCCATCCCTTTAGCTATAGGACGACGGGTGATTGATACAGATAATGGAAATAAACCAAACACTAACTGTTTTCTGCAAAAATAGAATACAAGTTGAAGGCAAATTAAGGTAGTATAACAAAATCCCTCCCCCCTAAAAAGATGAAAATCTGGTCAGTTTTTGTTCACTGTCAACTTAACTATGTTACCGACATATTCAAATTTGGTATCATTGTGACTGCTAGCATGTCTGTAATCAAAATAAGCGTTTCTCCTAATGGAATAAACTACCGTTAGAGAAATGTAATGGAGCTTCAAAAGGAATAAACATGCAGTCATTTGACAAAATGCATTTCAGGCCCTGTGGGGCTTTTCTTTTTGCATGAATTTGAATAAAACTTATTGTTTATGCTCAGCCATGGTATTATTAAAGTACTCGTAAAGTATCATGAAAATTTGTGCGTGGGCAGGGTCTATGGGAATTTTAACATAGGCAAGAACCCCACCAATTTGACAATTTGTTCAAGTGAATGATACGTTCGTTTCGATGCTCTGTTTAGAAGAAATCTGCATTCTGATATTATATTTCTTCACGAATTAAATAGAAGCCATTTAACATTTACTTATTTCACCAGGACTCTAATAAAAAACGATGTTCTGCCGTCCTCGCGAAATATATATTATGGCATTTTACGGGAAATCCATTAAATTGTCTATATGTTACATGGAAATAGTGCATCAAATAAGTGAAGGAATGTGTAGCGTGATGTTTGGCGCCAGGATCTAATGATAAAACGCTTGACAACTAGGCCTTCCGCCATTTTGAATTTTCTGCCTATGTCTCGTAAGATTTCCAAACAAAAGGATATTAATTGTTAAGTTATGTACAAACCATGCTGTATGTTACAAAGGTGTACCAAAATAGACACTTATTCTGCAATGGCTTCATTTGAACTAGAAACTGAAAATCTACCCAGTAAATAGGAATAGGACGAAAGTAAAAGTGATATCTTGTGAAGATTTATCACACTGCAAATTTATAATAGTAAATACTTTTATCTGTAATTTTGTTATTGCAGTATGTTCCACTAAGTGACAATGGTTTTAGTATTACAAAAACACCAGAATTATAATATTAAAACTTTTTTATTTAAGATTCCAACAATGATGTACAGATCGGATACAGCAGAGACGTGGTCTCACAAACAATTGACAGAAGTGTTACCTCAGGTATTGTTTTAATCACTGGTAAATTTTTAATTGAAATTGTATGCTAAAGTATTCACTTATGGAAATTCGTATTGTCATAGAACTGTTTAAACAAACTTATATGGCTTGTATGTTGTACTGAGTGAAAAGAATGTTTGATTAATATCATGCATAGCGTATAACATCGCAGGGGAACATTTCATAAAAAGCTTTCACAACCAAGCAGTATTAGTGCATTATGAACATGTATGATCTAAGTAATATGCAGCATTTAAAAGCTTATTAAAGTTTAGAGTTGAATTTTAAAAGAACAAAATGCCGCATTTGGAATAAAATGTATAGAACTTTTATACAGGATAAAGTATTTTCAATGTCCAAAAAACAAAGCATCTGACTTTTAGTAAAATATATAAGCACACATGTATATGTAAAAGCATGGGCTGTATAAATCAACTCATCTATGAAGTGAATGTCATCATATACAATGTACATTGTTTTACAGTATAAGCAACGTAATATTTAAGAGAATTAGCGATTACATGTACTTCTCTATCATTTGTTACACTGTACCTATAATGTAGGTTAATTAAATATCAGTAATAAGAAAAAATGTTACATTTGATTATATTGTAACACGCATTAAAACATCGACCAGATCGATAAATATTGTTTAATTCATTTCATATAAGGTCCCCATGTCCGAGACATTGAAAGAGATGGTGTTAGCTGACTTGTTGTCATTACCACGACTGTATCAAGCTCTGGACAATTTGGATATGACAATAAGTCTTCTGTGCTGCCTTCCGAAGGGAGTTGACAACTCGGACCGCTCACTGTTTGATTTCATGACGAAGACACTACGAATGCCCGACACTGAATTAGGGCAACAGGTTTGGATAACTACTCATTAATGTATTTCTTTAATTGTATAATACTCAGATATTTTCGTTTGTATGGGATCATCTTGGGGCGACTATTTCCAAATACAACCAGACCGTTTAATCTGTCAAAGTACTTCCATTTACATTATTCCCTAATCTTCTTTCTAATTACATACACAAGCATACATACCTGATAATTAAGATTTTTTTTCATTTTATCCTGTTTTCTTCTCCACAGGAAGAACATTTTTGTTGAATAATGAAGATGATTGAAGAGATATCATTCATTATTCCATGAATTCATTATAATTACGCGTATTTTAAACTTCAGGAATGAGTCAACTCTTTGAATTGTAAAGATAACGCTGAAAAGCGATAAGTCAATATATTTTGCTTACAATTTTCAATATACACCTGCAGTTATAAGCTATATTTTTTCATTGTAGGTTGAACGGTCGTGTAGGTTCAAGCATGTAGTATCCCTGTGGCTAGCGCTGTCAATGAAGAAAGATTTTCTCCTTCAACGAAATAATCAGGTTTACAATTTTATGTTTTGTAGCTATGAAGAACTATAATTAACATAAAATGGTAAAATTATAAACAAAGTTCGAAACGATTGTGGTATTTTAATATCAAATGTGATTCAGAAACGTTTGAAGCACTTCAAGTAGACCAATTTCAACCTTCTTCACTTTCAGGATGCATTTCAATGTTTGGAAATGAAGTTCAAGACAGAACAATTAGACGGAAACATGCAGAAACAATACCAGGAATTCCTTCGCAATCTGACAAAATCCAATCAAAGACAGCTGATAGAAACACTGTACGAATGTATCGTGCTACGATTTCCTAGCGATGAAACAGACGAAGAGCAATTAGACTACACTAGAATGAGGTACATCACCGTTTGTATAATATTTAACAGGCGCATCGATTGTATCATATCTGAAAAGTTAAACAGAAAAATAATATCGCTGATTAGGACAAAATAACCGTATGAGGCAGTGTAATAGATTGTTTTGGCATACTGTATCTATTACCATACCGTATATATTACCATACTGTATCTATAACCATACTGTATCTATTACCATACTGTATATATTATCGTACTGTATCTATTTCCGTACTGTATCTATAACCATACTGTTTCTATTACCATACTGTATCTATTACCATACTGTATATATAAGCATACTGTATCTATTACCATACTGTATCTATAACCATACTGTTTCTATTACCATACTGTATCTATTACCATACTGTATCCATTACCATACTGTATCTATTACCTTACTGTATCTATAACCATACTGTATCTATAACCATACTGTATCTATTACCATACTGTATCTATAACCATACTGTATCCATTACCATACTGTATCTATCACCGTACTGTATCAATTACCATACTGTATCAATTACCATACTGTATCAATTACCATACTGTATCTATAACCATACTGTTTCTATTACCATACTGTATCTATTACCATACTGTATCTATTACCATACTGTATATATTACCGTACTGTATATATTACCGTACTGTATCTATAACGTACTGTATCTATAACCATACTGCATCTATTACCATACTGTATATATTACCGTACTGTATCCATTACCATACTGTATCTATAACCATTCTGTATCCATTATCATACTGTATCTATAACCATACTGTATACCATATGTTAAAGGTGTAATCACCTGTATTTGCGTTACGTTCGTCCTTCTACAGAAACAACAAGTCCAAAACGAAAACAAAACAGAAACATATTCATCTTGATACCAATTTTTCCCGTGCAATCAACGATATGCTTGTGCTTGTTCTTACGCAATATCTCTACCTTTGTCTGCAAACAATATACTGCTTGCAAAACGAACATGGCTTGTTTGATAACCAAGAGAAAACCCCTCCTAATTCATCATCCAAATTTTGGAAAGACGAAGTACTAGCTGATACTGAATTCGTATTAAATCTTTCCGAGCGGAATTCAGTCATAAGGATAGGGACTTGCCGCGTTTTTACTGGATTCTAAAATATCACAAGAATCCTCCACAACAGTGATTGTATCGCCGGCTATGAATGAATGGATTAACAGATCCTGCAGTAGTCATTTACAACACAAGTGTTCAGAGCTGCTAGTTAAGAAGATTATGAGCAAATTTTATGGTTGCAACATCATGTTGTAATTTGAATAGCGGCCTATTAGATTATGCTCATTCGTGTATTGTGTGGTTTCGTTGTCAATATACATGTTCTCCCTTAGATAATTGGACATTACCTGGATTTGACCTGTTTTTTCATGACGTCATCATGTTATATGTGCCTTTATTCCTTTATTGGCCGAGTTAATCTATATTTTCTGTTTGAATGACGGTTCTGTTAACACTTTGTAATTATCTTGATTTGTTTTTATTTCCAGTTTATCCAATGTATTGTATGGCCATGTGTCAGCCCCCATTTACGACGAGAAACAAACAAGAGATGCAGGAATTGTGTTGTTAGATGAGGATGACGACGCCATTCTGAACTTTCCTCCAGACCTAGAGGGTTCGAAAGCTGTCGCTGCCTGGTCTATGGCGATGGACTTATTCCAAGCTGGGCAATAGATACCTCTAAATCTTTACTGACAGTTTGACAAAACGTACTGTAATGCAGAGGTACTAAAGGCTTGATGTTATGCTAACCCTAACCTTAAAACGTACAACGCAATACGTTCTAAATAAACTTCAAAGGGTGTTGCTTAGCCGAAAATAAAACGTTACATCTAGACTATACCATTCCGGATATTTATGTTCAGGAAATGATTTTTTCACTGTGTTTTGAATTTTCAATTGAAAGAATGTTCATAGCACTTATGATATATGTATATGATATAAATGACTTGTTTTGGTGTGTTGGCGCAATATTATTTTAAGTTTCCTATTTAGATTGCTTTCCATGTTCAATATACCAGTTTTAATATATAATTTGTAAACATAGATGACGTTTTTGTTTCTTGGTAATTAACTTTATTTCACTCGGGTACGCACTCATGAAAATGTTCCAAACAAATTTAACCTACAAGTGATATATTTATTCACGAAGAAACTAACAAAAATATGTATATTAATTTCTTTTATGAAAACACTGGCTTCAGTGAAGAGAAAATGTCAAGACAAGGAATGCTGTAAAAAAATATATCGTGTTATCAGCGACGCCACTATTGACAAGGCTCCTATTGTTATCAGCGACGCCACTATTGACAAGGCTCATATTGTTATTTTTCACATTGAACCCTGCGCTTTGATTGCGCGGTCTAGTGCGAAAGTAACAAAAAGTGCTTTTTGGCACAGTAGAAAATATCAGTATAATTTAAATCGTATAATTTACTGGTTAATCGTAATATATATATTAATATGTTATGAACGTTTATTATGAAACACACTTCTGCGTTACATATGATTGTGTGTTGTTGAGAGTCGTTTAGCATTCGTGTTTTGTAAACTTCCTTTTCGCCTTTATACGCAATTCGACTATAATATGAAGTCGTTTGTTATTCAAGATTTTTCTTATAATTTTGTAAATAGATAAATAATATTATATTCACCACTTATGTTAGTGCCAAATCGAAATGAAAAATATTTCACAAAATTATATGCAGCAACGTTATCTTTAACAATGCAGCTATTTGAGATGGTCGTATTTGAAAACAATGCATGTATATTGTGTAGGAGTCTTGTAACTTAATTAAATATTTCGATTGATGTTGTTTATATCCTTTTATCCATAAATGGAACATTCCTTTATACACTTATCTATAGATGTCGTCACATATCACGTCATTTATAACTTTTGATGCGTTATCAATATCCGTTCAACTTTAATATGTAGAGTTATTGTTTTTTTATCGATCTTAATGACAGTATATTTATACTATTTTTTTTATTTATTTTTCTATTCTCTTTGTGATGCTTATCATTACCAATGGTGTATATTCTAATCCCTAAAATAACAACAATATGGTATATTGTACCTTCATATGTGTTTCCACGCTGATGAAGATAAAACATTCGCACATGATTTCACGCTGGATAGATTAAAAAGTCTGTAAAGCGACTTCTTAACAGATTCCGATTGTCTTTGTAAAACTGCGTTCACATCACATCGGAAATTATGAAACACTGTATCAGAAATTCCTTTGTATATAGTATTTATTATTACAGGTCAGGGAACCATGTAATTATTATAAAATAGAACAAGTGAGATAACCATGTATGTATATATGATAAACATATCAGGCGAACCTATGGTACGTAAGATAATCATATATACATTGTTTAATGAATATATGAAAATATGTACTTAGTATGATATGTAGGATCACTTGTCATTTGTTTTATCGTAAATATCACTAAACAAAAAAACAACCGTCATGTATAAAATATAATAACAGATGTTCGTTACCAAAGTTATTATGTGATTTCTTAATAATGTTCAATATGTCAATACTTTTCTGACACATTCACTTTTACAAATGCCAACATATTGGATGCTAACAATGAGTGTTTAAATCATCATCATAGGACCACTTGAAGATTTCCTAAATTCAAGTTTTTATCTGGTTACATGCTTATCTTTAAATGTGTTTTTTTTTCAAATATCACTTCATGATCATTGTTATTTTGATGTATCACAATTTTGGATATAGGTTCTAGATCCAACTCTTATGTTATTGATACTTGTGCAACTATAAATACTTTAAGTGATTTCATTACATATTAAATAAAAATACAAAAAGCGATGTCTTTATATATTAGCATAGTTCAATATAGTTCTGTTTTAATCCGGCAGTCAGTGGCAAATTGTATTGGGTCTAGGTGTAACCATGGACTGTGCGGCCTACACACTGTGCCATCTGGCTGGGCTAGAATGTTCTATTGAGAAAATACACATAATTTCACTAAAAGGATAAATATTTTCCTCCAATATTGATATGCTGGAGCTCCTGATCTATGTATATATGTTTATTGCTATTTTCATTTCAAAATATTAATCTCATTTAAAATAATCATTATTAAGCCTTTGACACATTGACCACTCAAATAATTGCCTTCTTGAATCCATAAATTATGAAATAAGTATATGTACATCTGTTACCACCCGTATATTATTTATATGGAGAGGGCTTACATAGGCTGTACATGTTGCCCAATCCCATTGGCATTTTGCATTTTTTGTCAATAAAATTTGTTGTCATGAAATGAACCCTAACATACCTAAGATAATCCCGTATACAGTGTATAATACATGTATGTGAGAATATATGACAAAATATATATCTTATGATGTTAAGGATTAGTTGTCATTTAGTGCTTTGAAAATGATCTCTATTATGTAACTATTATCAATGTTTTATTATTACAGTAAAAAAACACTATAGTACTATAGTATCAAAGTGAATATAAAGATTTTAACACGAAGACTTGATGGTATTTGACGTGTGTGTTCTACATTTATATTTACTTAGAAAGTGACGAGTCATGTTTTAACTTTTAACTGTTCTATTTTCACAATTGTACATTAATCTTAATATGAAAAGGCAAATCCTATGGAGGGCATTGCTTTTTTTTATCTCTGATATTTACTGATTCGATCAGAATGATATATTACTGAATTCAGCATAAGAAACGATAAGCTTCATTTAAAGTTGGCAAGTCGAGGAATAACAATAAAACACATGTTGAATTTCAAATTTCGTTACAGTCAACGAGGTTTGACAGGTAAGGATGCCAAATAAAATTAAACATCCTCTGTCTGTAACTAGTTATAAATCGGCACGCGTTGTAAAACAGTAACACGTTGTTGAAAAATGGCGTTAAACTCGTGTTTGTGGTCTGGAAGATCATTGTTGGTTTCAACATAAATGCATTTGTTTCTTTTATGAGTGGTGATGTATAAAAACATAAAGACCATAACAAGACTTCAAATATGTTAGTTATTTTGTTCATATTTTCTACAATTGGTATTCAAAAGCTTAATTTTAGACGATGAACAAATAAATGTACAAGTAGACCCGGCAATGGTATAATGCAGGTTCTTTTAGAAGATATATCCCGGTAGAAATATTAACAGAACCTGGTTGATGACAAAAAATGATCTTCAGAAAATATCCGCATTTTTACTTTTTGTGCCTGTAGCAAAAAACTGAAAGTATAGAAATATAACAACAATTCTATTTACGCTTATATTCTGTTTCCTAGCACGGATGATACATATTGTCTTTGCTTCAAGGATACATTTCCGGTTTTCCCACTGGACGGCTACTTCCGGACGTAATACTAGATGTAGGTATTTAAAATAACGTCCTCTTATATATAAAATCTTATAGAAAAGTCTATATATTGACAAATACTTCAGTTTTATTGGCACGCGCTAGTTTGCTGTATATAAAGCAATAATTTGTTGTATATAAATATGCGTATGCTTTCTATATATAGATAAATATTTTAACCATCATTATTTGTTGACAGACATTAAATCGTTGTTTGAAATACCTATGAAATATGTGAATATTTTTACTTAATTGCTATTTACTCCACATAAAATGTCAAATTGATAGGCGATAGTTGGTTGCAAAAGATAGTTGTAGAATAAAAAGTGACTATTTATATAGCATAGATGTTGTTCATAGTTTTCCAACTATGTAATTTATAATGATATGTAAAAGGTGTTGTTTTGTTGTTTGAAAAAGAAGTGAACTGTTGTTCATTACATCTCTATAAATGTTCTTCGAATTAACATTTATTATAGTTATAAGGTAGACAGGCGATAGTTGGTTGTTTGGAAAAAAAATATGAACTGTGAATTTTAATTATCATACAGATATATCTAAATGGTAGTGAAACAGGCGATAGTTGGTTGTTTGAAAACATAATGAACTATTGTTTATATAATCGTGCATATTTTCAACAAATTTCAGTTATCATATCTTAATGGTTGGTAAAGCAGGCGATAGTTGGTTGTTTGAAAAAACAATGAACTGTTGTTTACATAATCGTGCATATTTTCAATATATTTCAATTATCATACAGATATATCTAAATGGTAGGTAAAACAGGCGATAGTTGGTTGTTTGGAAAAACAATGAACTGTTGTTTACATAATCGTGCATATTTTCAATAAATTTTAATTATCATGTCGTTACGGTAGGTAGAACAGGCGATAGTTGGTTGTTTGAAAAAATAATGAACTATTGTTTATATGATCGTGCATATTTTCAATATATTTGAATTATCATATAGATATAATATTGTTATATAATCCTGAATGTTTTCAATAAATCAACAATTATGCAATAAAATATCAATTATCATATCTTATTGGTAAGCAAAAAAGGCGATTGCTGGTTGTTTAAAAGAATAATGAACTATTGTATATATAATCGTGCATATTTTCAATATATTTTAATTATCATATAGATATAATCTTGTTTATATAATCCTGAATGTTTTCAATAAATCAACAATTATGCAATAAAAAATCAATTATCTTATTGGTAAGCAAAAAAAGGCGATTGCTGGTTGTTTGAAAGAAATATGAACTATTGTTTATATAATTCTGAATATTTTCAATAAATTTTAATTATCATACAGATATATCTAAATGGTAGGTAAAACAGGCGATAGTTTGTTGTTTGGAAAAACAATGAACTGTTGTTTACATAATCGTGCATATTTTCAATATATTATCGATTATCAAACCTTAATGGTCAGTAAAAATTGCGATGGCTGGTTATTTGAAAATATGATGAACTATCGTTTATATAATCCTGAAATGTTTCATAAATTATTAATTATAATATCTTAACGGTAGGTCAAACGAGGAAAGCTGGATGATTGAAAACGTATTGAACTTCTGATTATAAAATAAAATAATATTTTCCATAACGTATTTATTATTAAAATTATTTTGATATTTTTATATGCGATACCTACTAGGTTGAAAAGAAAATCAACTATTTTACTCAAAATACATAATTATGTTTATCAATGTATCCAATAAATGTACAGTTATTATAGATATTTTTATAATTGAACTGGCTGTTGTTATTTGGAAAAAAATGAACTATTGTTTATATAATCCTGAATGTTTTCAATAATTTTAATTATCATACAAATATATCTAAATGGTAGGTAAAACAGGCGATAGTTGGTTGTTTGGAAAAACAATGAACTGTTGTTTACATAATCGTGCATATTTTCAATATATTTCAAATATCATACAGATATATATAAATGGTAGGTTAAACTGGCGATAGTTGGTTGTTTGAAAAAAATAATGAACTATTGTATATATAATCGTGCATATTTTCAATATATTTCAATTATCATACAGATATATCTAAATGGTTGGTAAAGCAGGCGATAGTTGGTTGTTTGAAAAAATAATGAACTATTGTCTATATAATTCTGAATATTTTCAATTTCAATTATCATATCGAAATGGTTGGTAAAGCAGGCGATAGTTGGTTGTTTGAAAAAACAATGAACAGTTGTTTACATAATCGTGCATATTTTCAATATATTTCAATTATCATACAGATATATCTAAATGGTTGGTAAAGCAGGCGAGTAAGTGGTTTGAAAAAATAATGAACTATTGTCTATATAATTCTGAATATTTTTAATTTCAATTATCATATCGAAATGGTTGGTAAAGCAGGCGATAGTTGGTTGTTTGAAAAAAAAATGAACTATTGTTTATATAATCGTGCATATTTTTCAACAAATTTCAGTTATCATATCTTAATGGTTGGTAAAGCAGGCGATAGTTGGTTGTTTGAAAAAATAATGAACTATTGTTTATATAATCGTGCATATTTTCAATATATTTCAATTATCATACAGATATATCTTAATGGTAAGTAGAACAGGCGATAGTTGGTTGTTTGAAAAAATAATTAACTATTGTCTATATAATCGTGCATATTTTCAATATATTTCAATTATCATACAGATATATCTAAATGGTTGGTAAAGCAGGCGAGTTAGTGGTTTGAAAAAATAATGAACTATTGTCTATATAATTCTGAATAATTTTAATTTTAATTATCATATCGAAACGGTTGGTAAAGCAGGCGATAGTTGGTTGTTTCAAAAAAAAAATGAACTATTGTTTATATAATAGTGCATATTTTTCAACAAATTTCAGTTATCATATCTTAATGGTTGGTTAAACTGGCGATAGTTGGTTGTTTGAAAAAAATAATGAACTGTTGTTTATATAATCGTGCATATTTTCAATATATTTCAATTATCATACAGATATATCTAAATGGTAGGTTAAACAGGCGATAGTTGGTTGTTTGGAAAAACAATGAACTGTTGTTTACATAATCGTGCATATTTTCAATATATTTCAATTATCATACAGATATATCTAAATGGTAGGTAAAACAGGCGATAGTTGGTTGTTTGGAAAAACAATGAACTGTTGTTTATATAATCGTGCATATTTTCAACAAATTTCAGTTATCATATCTAAATGGTAGGTTAAACTGGCGATAGTTGGTTGTTTGGAAAAACAATGAACTGTTGTTTATATAATCGTGCATATTTTCAACAAATTTCAGTTATCATATC